TCGGCGTAAGTGTCTGTCGGAAGTTTTGATCATCGGATCAGCATTTTAGTATTTAGTATCAAAGGCCCCTTAATAAGGCCAAGGTAGAATCTAGATATCATGGACAACGTGGCCTGGCGAACTTAGCATTTATTAGGGGTCTGTTGGGTGTTGGGGGTTGCGAATTGCATGATACCCATTCCCTAGCGCATTGCTGAAGATTTGTGAATGAGCGGTCGCGCAAAGACATTGCACCGTCCGGGATTAACGGACTAGGCAGAAATTTCCGTCATTGAGATATGAACTCGGTAATGACGATAGTCGAATATGAGGCGCTTAATCTATTGTTGGATTCTATCTTATTCAATGTCGTATGTATGAGGTAGGAGGCCTGTATGTAGGTCCCATACCATACATGAACTTAACTGAGGCTGTACATAGCGATCGATGAAGGATATAATGGTCAATAGAGTTGCAGATGAATAAAAGCCACCTATAGAATTATCTCATGATATTGTCTGAGTTTCCATGAATATTGATTTGGCAGGATGTTGAAAGATAAGTTGAATGTGTAACGTTGAAGGTTTTTCGTTCTACTTGGTGTGGTGATGATATACGGTAGTACGGTGGTACCTACCTGTAGGTAGATGCCCTAGCTAAATGTGAAGGTGTCAAGGTGTCAAGGTAAGAACGTTGAAGGAGGGGCACAGATAGGAGGGGTTCTAAGGTTCTAAACTTAACCCATTTCCGTCAAGGCAATAGTCTGCGGGACCAATCATAATATTGAATAATCCATTAGCCTGTCTCAATTCTAGAATCTGAGATGGCTTGTAGGGCTGAGGAGAAACTTCGCGGGTTCGCGGCTTCTAGGGCTGGAAAATCCGGATTTTGGATGATGGCGGGATTACACCTATCTAGGACTTAGGGATTTGTAGGTCTAGGGTCTGAGCACTTTCTGAGAGCAGTGACGTTTGAGGTCTGCTAAGGTGTGCAAATAACCTAGCGAACGGTACTACAGGTACATCCTTAGGCAGGTATGTAGGTAGGTAAATACCTGTACCTTTCAATGTTGTACCTATTGAATTGCGAGGTAATTACACCAACACCAAATACATACCTCCATACCTTTAATGTTCTCATCTGCTTGCTGCATCATCAACTTACATATCCACATATCCAACGTACAACTTACATATCATATGAGGTATGTAAAACATTACAATTTTTATGCGAGTTTACTGCATATGTAAGTTCATTCTTCCATTTATTAAGCGTACTGCGTGCCATCCATACTGATCTCGTGTACTTTGATTTGTCACTTCGTATCGCGCCACGGTGATCTATCCGCCGCAGAGCACTTCAGAGTAAGCTAAGCCGCTGTCAGATTGTCTCGAACTAGGCCAACATACATATATCCGGCGGTCTGATAACTCCTACTACCTAGTAGATATGCCTTATGCGACTCTCATAGGCCACATACCATCGTACATATAAATCATGTTTGATGACGAGATTCCGCGTTGGATCCCGGGTCCTAACTAGAGGGCAAGGATGAGTGATCTAGCTGTCTAGTTCGCCTTGGTATAGGCTTTTGCTTTTACCCATGAGTGGCATGGAAAGTACCCGGACCGGCCTTGAAAATTTCAGGCGAATCTCACTGTTCACGGGCTTAGCGGTGGGTTCTAGGTACCTATTACGGTAACCTCGAATTCGGTAATTTTAGTCATCATTGTTTAAGAAGGGAAATGGGTCTGGTCTTGCTGGGTACGAACACCGATTATGTAACGAATTTATAATCATACCTATCTTACCTGCAGTATACATTTGCGGTACAGGTATGTAGACCTACGTAGTACTTATGTAGAAGTCCTCTTCTGCTGCGAGTTCTTGTTGTATCGTACGTAGGCTAATTTGCATGGTCGGAGTTCCATCAACGATCGCAATACATGGCACGTTAAGTATATTGGGAATTAGCTAATCATATTTATGTCCCTATATAAGGCTTTATAAGGCTGAAACCCCGATCTTTATCGCTGTCGTCTGATTGCTTATGAGGCTCAATTTGGAGTCATGACCGGTCCCTACCTACTACGTATTTACTACGTATCGGTAGCGGACAACGTGGGATAGCGGCATAGTGCTGGGTTCTCTTGGGAACCTTGGAAATTAACATGATCGGACCGAAGACTGCTCCCCAAAGACACCATATCCAATTCGATCAATAGATTACCAAACTACCTAACGGAGACGGAAGAAACCGAGTGCATCGTTACAAGACTTAATTAGGGGATGGGAAAAATAAAAGTACTTAGCACACGTACACATCATTCGATGATCATCGCATTACTATGTTCATCATAAAAAGAGCAACCGTAGAAGTCACTCGATTTATATGTATGTATCTATTTATTTACTTACTTAGATAGTACCTAGGTAGGTAGGTACCTAGTTATGTAGGTATACTACCTGGTATGTAATGTATACACACTTGCATCATATGCAGAGGGATCCGTCTGATGCCAGCAAAACAAAAGAGATGAGTTGAACCCATCTGTTTTCGAGACATGCTAAAAGGTGTGGCTATCAGCGTCATTTTCTCAAAATGGATGCTGGCTAATGCTGCATGGTATAGCGGGTAGCATGCAGAGGGTACCGTTGCTTGACTTTGGGCTTTTAAACTACCTAGTAACAACGCTCTTTTCAAATTCCCCCCTTCTTTAGGACATCGACATCATCGATGAGACATCTAACCCATACCGCGTACATCCATACCTTAGTAAGTAAATATATAGGCATATTATAGCACGCTTATATATAAGTTAATAAGTAAATATGTAACAAGTAATAGGTAGGTAATTATTGAAAAAATGAGTACACACTACGCAGTATATGCTCTCTTAGTAACCTTATCCTACGCCAATTTAATATTCCAGCCTTTAGTGGAAGGCGGGCTGGAAACGGTGCAGCCCTGTGCCGGCTAGAAGTCGCATTGATCCTACCACCCATAAATGCACCTCACTTCATCCATTGAAGTTGTCTAGTCGCATATGGATCCTGCCTCACCATAAGTCGGTACGTAGTTACAAGAGCGACCTGAAGAATAAGTAGGTAATTACGGACACTCCCCAAAGTAACCGTGTACACCCCTGTACGTAACCATTGTTCCCTTCGCTGTTTCTTCAAACCCACCCCACCCTAAATCCTTGACACCCTTCCGCCCTAATGATGCTCCACCAGGAGTACGACGAGCAAGGTATCGTCTGGTGTACCTAGGTACATATGTATTATGACTCCCTAGTAGCCCTAGCACAACATGAATTATCTAGGCTGGGACCCACTTAGAGAAACTTACAGGGTATCTAGGTACCTCCACTCTTGTAAGGCACGCTAAAGCGAAATCTGAAGACCCCTGTCTTTTCTAAAGGGCTGAACCCACGCAATCCTAGGTAGCTTCTAGCCTACTAGGTATGAGAAGGTATGTACCTGGTAGGGTAGGCACTATGTAGGCTTGGTAGGCTGGTAGGGCGGGTTTTGTTACGTGAGTGTGTGGGTTAGTTCCATTCTCGAATCTAGTTTTTAATATGCACCTAACCTCGCCCCTCTTCGTTTTCTGGGAAACCTTTCAAGAAAAAGAAAAAAAAAAGGTTGTGGATGGGTTCTCGCGAGTGTTTGGCCGAACATTGAAACCTCTTACAACGCCTTACCTCGTCTTTCCTGTTGCCTCCTCAAAGCAAAGGCCATAAGGACTTTTTATAGCCACACGAACTCTACGGATATAGAAAGTGAATGTCGAAAGAGGAGTCAAAGGGGCAAGGAAATTGAGTCAAACTGAGAATCTGGAAACAATTGGTCAAGCTTCGTGTTATTCTACGAGAGACCAAGACCAAGAATATATTCGACCCGACCCGACCCGGACCTGGCCTTATTACCCTGTTAGCCACCAGCCATCAGCCATCTTCTCTTCTCATAGCTGAGCTGAGCTTCAACTACTATTACCTTCAACCTCGATTGTTTCTCTGGAGGCCCAATCTTGTACCTATTTGCTTTGGTTTCTGCTTCATTGGGTCCATCTCGGTGTATTATCATCGTGTTATTATTACATGTTTATTACTATTATGACGCTTTACGTTTTCTTGTTGTCTTAGAATACCCTCGCACCATTCCTCTCTACTCACAAGTACGAGCCTTCAGCAACAACAACACCAGCACCAGCACCAACACCAGTACCAACACCATATTTCCGCTGCCTTTCACAGACGAAGTCGGCACTGCCGATACGAATATTGCCACCGCCCTCCCTACGACGTATGCCTCTTGATCCAGGTCCGGCCTACCGTCCGTTTCCACATACTGTCCTCAGCGCCGCCATCACCGCCTTGCCGACTCCACCATCTTATTACATGCTCTATACCCTTCTTGGCGAACTAATTCCTTGATTCGGCGAATCAGCCGCCAGCTTCTGCATCTACTCAGCTACTCTCCGTTACTACTAGGCTGTGGCGTTCCTGTCATTGGCCTACGTCGAACAAAACCAGCTTCCTCTCCTCAAGTTTTCAAAACGGGGAACACAATATGGATATCCCTAGATACGTATCAAGGGAGCCAGGAGGCTCACCGCCGACCATATACATACAGGGTTCGAACCATTTCGATCATTATGGAGGTTCAGGCCGGTCCCATATGCAATCCGGATTCTCACCAACTTTAGCCTCTTCTACTCCTATGCCGATATCTAACAGACACCGTATCGCCGAAGACGATGCGCCGCCACCTTTACCTCCCCCCAAATTTATTCCCGGTTTGGGGCAGCCCTTACAGCCTACCAGACATGACCGTATTCCTTCAATTGATTCGAATGCAAGCTGGGACAGCACGAGACAGGATTTGGAACATGACCGACCTCGATTCGGTAGGGCAGAGACTGAGCATGGGATAGCACGGCCTCCGAGGGACGAAGGCTATCACAGCCTCAATTCCACAATATCGTCATTAGGGTACAGTCACTTAATCCCAAGATAGTATAGACCTAAACGAGACACTAATTACAGGGCTTCCATTCAGGTCTCAGGACTCGCTCCCCAAGAAATTGTTCATGTCCCATGATCAGTACCAGTTCAACAGGCCAAATGGTAACGACTACGACAACGCATTAATCAAGAAACTAGATGCTCGACGGAACTTCGACAACCGATCTCCACCTCGCCGGTCTGCTCTCAGTGCATCTGCAAATAATGCTGTTTCCGGCTTGGTTGCGCAAGAACACCGCTTGCACCCTCAGCTAACGCCACTTTCCCTTCCTATTCGATCGGGCAACAAGTTAGTTATCGACTCTCCCGGTCGTTATACGGATACTCCTCCACAATCTGCACTTTCGCCACGCGGTCCGTCTTTCTACGGAACTGCTAGCAGTGAATACCGCTCTCCCATTGAACCGATAGATCCAGATCGGTCACCATTCTCACGGACGAGAAGAAACAACAGCGGTTCATTGCCGGACGACGCAACAATATCCACGCATAGTAGCTACGACAATATGGATGATAACGATTTCCCAATGGAGGATAGGTCACAAGTAGATGACTACATGTCACGATCAGACCATCAGGCCATTGGACAAAAGAGGCGGGCATCTTCACCGCCTGGTGATGATCTCCCAATGCAGGGTATGCCCGGATCATGCGACCCATTGCGACGTCGCGAGGGTGCTTCAAGGGCATCACCAACTCCACGTCTTACCGGTGTCCTTCCGGGGTCTATCGCTTCGGTTCCCTCGGCGACACGAAGTGGATCTTTTGCTTCGAGCGCCTCACTGACCACAAACCTTTCCGGTATCAACTCATTTGCCGGGAGGTCACCTAGAGGTTTATCTAGTGGAGGATTATCCCCAGTTGACGTTATTTCGAACTCGCCTTATAGTATCCCTAATTCCCTTGCTCACTCGCCGAGCGCTTCATTTGCACGGGTACCTCACCAGCGCAACATAAGTAGCGAAAACCGACGGCTTGCATCTCCTCGCAAAGTAAGCGAGGTTTCAAAAGCAGGCATTTCAAAAATACCTGGTGGTTTCTTTATGTGTGAATGCTGTCCCAAGAAGCCGAAAAAATTTGAGACGGCAGAGGAATTAAGGTAAGTTGCAAATATTACAGCCCCTTGTCCGGTGCTCCTATGCTGTCTCTCACTTTACAAGTTGTTAACCAATTAATTAGTGCCCATGAGGCTGAGAAGCAATACGAATGCTCATTTTGTGGCAACCGGTTTAAGAATAAGAATGAGGCAGAACGTCACCAAAATAGCCTCCATGTCAGACGTCACAGTTGGTCGTGCTCTGCGCTGCTTCTTTCGCGGTACGATCGCGCATTTCACGAGAGTACGAATCGACCTGGGGAAGCCGACATATGTGGTTACTGCGGAGAAGAATTTGAACGGCGTGGCGGCGTTGGGCGTCCACGACAACCATCAGAGCAAGATTGGGAGGAACGTCTGAGACATCTTCAGGAGGTGCATAAATTTCGCGAATGCAATTCGAGCAAGAAATTCTACCGCGCAGATCATTTTCGGCAGCATCTGAAGCATAGCCATGCGGGAACAAGTGGTAAATGGACGAATATGTTGGAAAATGCATGTATGCTCGATGAGGAACCTCCACAGCCAGCAAGATGAGCGAATTGAACTGCCCACAAGCGATGGGGTTGGGTAGCAATACTGCGCGGGGTTCTCGACGAGAAAGCCTATGAATTTTGGATGCGCAATATTCGGATAGATTGATTCGTTGGCTTGGGGTAGGGGTAGGCGCCCGTTTATGCACGACAGCCGGACCTAACAATTGGCGCGCTGGGAATGAATGGGAGAGGGGGAGTTGTTGGAATCCCCAAGAGTAATCGTGCGTGGTGTATGGTGCGTGGTGCGCTTCCGAGTCTCACCGCATTCAAGAGCATCCTGGGTCGCGTCGCCGATCTCCCGCCTGCTGGATGGTTCCTCACGGAGATCAGTGGTCGGTGGCGATATGATTTTGAAATCGATATACTACGGATAGTTCAAACTGAGAGAGCAATCGGTCCTGTCTACCAAAAAAAAAAAAGACAATCAAAATCCAGCCGATGTATCGGACGCCACCAAGGCCATATTGGGACATAGTACAAGTCGATTACACGTTGTCAATGGTTAATTTACGAGACGCAGCTGCTTGCTGACGGCACTCCCATTCCAACGGGCATTTTAATGCTTGGCACATGTCGAAATGCAGCTCTTTAATGCTAAGTCGGAAGGTTAAGCTATTGATTATCCACCTATAGCAACAAAACTCAATTTAGTACGACATATTTGGACGTAGATAAATGATGACTTGTTAAATTTCAAGTTGTTGTGAGTCTAAGGTGAAGAAGAGAATAGGACCAGGCCTTTTCACCTATACGGATTCTGCATATTCTATAGAGGGCGATGGATGACTCTTCGCCATTTTTCTAGCAGATCATGTCAGCTCATGAATCATACGCTGACGACTCCACGTTGCATGCCCGTAATCATGTATCGACAAACTCTCGGTAAACGATGCTATAACGGGTTCATCACGATGCTTTGGACAAGGAGTAAGGGGATTTCATCGACTATTATGAATACCTGACATAATTAAATACTGTGGTATTTGTAAATACTGAGATATGTATATAGTCAAATCGAAAAAGGATATATAAAATAGTAGTATTTAACCATACCTCCTATCTAAAGAAAAGTGATATTTTCTACTACGGTAGCCATGACCTGAAAATTCCTTGTAAAATCGGAGCTAAGCGCTTTCTCAAAAAGAAAGGGAAAAAAAGAAAAAGAAACATACCTAGGTACAATGCTTGACCAAAGTCCCATCTCGATTGGATGGGAATTTGGAGAAAACTGGTGCCGCTAAGGATTCAGCAGAAGCACGAGCTGCAAGTAAACCAATTGATCACTTTTAAGGGATTAGCGCCATCACATGATTCAGCCCTATCGGGAGAGATGAAAAGTTTAATTCTAAGCCTAGGTGAGATTTGATGCGCACAGCCGCGAACGCCACATGCATGTATGGATGTATTTCAGCCTGCCTCAGGCGACTGACGAATGACTGAGGGGCGGGCTAAAGCTTGTACAGACCCATTTTTTGCCCGCGGCACCAACGACTAGAAATATTTGTTTTCACATACAGGCAGGAAAGACAAAGACAACATTTTGAAGGTTTGCTAAAGGACAATTTGCAAACTTATTTATTAAGTTACTCACTTACATATTATTTATAACATCTTATTCCGGTCTTAATATTCGTCGCAATTCGTCACTTACATTTATAAAGAATTTAATACACCTAGGACCAGGTACTTGATTCATATCCAGGAGCTTACTGGGAGAACGAAACTTGAAATACATAATACAAAAGCGCCATGTCGTTATCCAGGGTCCCCGGACCTGACAATCTTTACGTTGGAGGGTAATTTCAATTCTTAATTTCCCCCATGTCGTATAATCCCAGCTTAGAAAAAGATGAACTAACATCAGCACTTAGAGCTTGGGTCCTGAACACTGAATCGGGCCGTAACAAACTTCGGGAACAGAATATTACTCATATTCTCTCCGTCATTAAATTCACCCTGGAAAAATGGGGTGATGAAGTAAAGCGCTTTAAACATTTGAGCATTGATGTTCTCGACGATACGGATGAGGATCTACTGGCGTTTTTCCCGTCTGCGGTACGCTTTATCGATAGTGGTTTAAATCCCCCGTCGTCCAGCGGCGCAGACACAGAGGCGAAGCAGTCTAAGACTGGAGATGATGATGATGACAAATCCCCCAGCGGCGTTTACGTACACTGTGCCATGGGTATATCACGTTCCGTCAGCTGTGTGATTGCTTATATTCTTTACAAATATCCTCACCGCTTCGGAGGCAAACAATCCATCCCTTCAAGTACCTCGGTGGCCCAGCGGCGGCAGAACTCGAAGGAAGCTGTCCAAAGCGCGTTGAAATTGGTCCGTGAGACTCGCGAGGGTGCTGAGCCTAACTATGCCTTCATTAGCCAGCTCGAATTATGGTGGGAGATGGGGTGTCCCGCTGACGATGACAAATCGGTGGAGCGACATCCTATCTATCAGAAGTGGTTATATGAGAGAATGCTGAGTGAATCCCGGAACGTACACGAGGCGCCTAAGGCTGAAGACATCCGATTCGAAGATGAACTAGAGCCAGGCAAGGCAATTCCTGAAGCCGAGGCAGATCAAAAAGAGGGCAAGGAAATCCGTTGTAAAAAGTGTAGACGCATCCTTGCGACGGCGAAGTTTGTCGTGCCACATGCTCCTACCGGCCGAACCGAATCCTCAAATTGTGCTCACGTCTTCATCGAGACACTTTCGTGGATGAGGCCGATGCTAGAGGATGGTGCTCTCGAAGGCCGCTTGTCTTGCCCAAACGACAAATGCGGCGCTACAGTTGGTCGGTTCGCATGGCAAGGTCTCAAATGTAGCTGTAGCGAGTGGGTAGTTCCGGCATTTTCGCTAAATCGGAGCCGGGTAGACGAGGCGGCTCTTCGGCGTACAGACGTCCCTGGAATCCGGCTCCCACCTGGCCGGAGCGGTAATTTGTGAATCAAGCCTGAAAGTCCGATCTAGCTGAGGTCTTAAGCCTTACTTTATCAATTAGTCATCGTTCTTGCATTTAGAGGCATTATATCCCTACAAACATCAAGTAAGCCTCTTGTCCGATTCGTCGAAACTACGATCGTTTAGAATCTCATGCGTACCAATCTAGGGCGAAATACGCCGTTGAGCACGAGCCAACAGCTGCTGACGCTTAATAGCACACTCCCCTCCAGTTCCCTTCACAAGTATCTTACCTAACCCGCCGCTAAGGACTCAAGGATCAAGTCAGAACAACAGGGGTCAAGCTACTTTGTCAAACATATCTTTTTCCGTTCACACCTCCCCCTTCAGCTGCTGTGCCGGAATACATTTCGCAAAATGTACCCCAATCAGATATCATATTATACTAGGGGTACGTAGAGAGCGTATCGCTAACAAGAGACCTGTCCCCTTGTGGCAGCGTAATGTCAGATGCATACGCTACCTAACCCTACCGAATTTACGCTTCAAGCATAGGGCTTATCCCACCCCCTTTAGTAGAAGACCTGGGGTCGCAACCTGGCTTACCGTCTGATCCTCAAGGGCATTCCCGTTCCCCCATGTCAGCTTGCGATCTCATTGAACATTCCGCGCCGTCAGACAGCTTGTTGTTGCTGACGCTATCGCGCGCCCGTGGAGTCTTTTTCGACAAACTGACAAATAATCCCTGGTTCTTTGTTGGTGGTTTTAATGCCACGAGCGTCTTTCGCTCAAAGAATAAGCGAACTAGACAATTCACCCTAATCAACCCCTCTCGCCAGCTAGTCGACTCGGGATTAGCTTACGACCCTCGCAAAAGCTTTTTGTTTGGCCGTGTGCGCTTCCCCGAGATGAGATCACCTAGATAGTTGCGACCTGTCAGCCTAGTCCGCGACAGAACTGTCGGTGAGGAAAGGTGGGATGTTTCAATCGTCGATGAAGGTCTTCCACGCCTCATTTCAACCTGTAACGCCGCGTCACAAGTACCTACATATCTGTTACAACTACTGACGCTGGGGCTGGCCTTTTGCTCTGAACACAGGACAGCTTCAATTTTGGATAGCTAGATCGAGCCAAGATCCTCTGCTGACGCCAAGGCAAACTATTTCTCTGTCTCGAAGAATAAAGATCAGACGTTTCTTAATGATTTCTTGAATTTACGTTTCATATGCTAAAACTCATAGTGGTCGAATTAGGCCTCGGGGTTTGGTTTTCCAGTGGATGATCCGTGCCGCCTGTCAGTTTTCATATTGCTCAGCCCTCCGCTAATCATTCTGATCATCACACTCTCCCCACGAAACTCCCTAGGAAGATAGGTTGATGACAAAAGGGCAAGCTCTGCTTACGGAGCCAACTACGTTACGTTATTGAATTTGGTCAATCTTAGTCTGCTACGCGGGAGGTTTTTGATAATTTTCAGCACATATCTAATCACATCTCAATCTCCGTCTTTTCATTGCCCATTGGAACTCTCCCACGCTTCGGTATCGTACACACGTCGTTTACGCAACAGCTGAAGCTCTTTTCTTACTTGTGAATTCCGTAATTGCCTCAAGTTACGTACAACAAAAGCACCGCGCAGGTTCCATTAAGCAATCTCCCTGATAAGGTAAAAAGAAGCATTGATAGAAAAAAAAAAAAAAAAAAGGAATAAAAGGTAGAATAATTCTCCGATAGAGAATAGATACCCCCTGTAAATTAGATCTACGTCACGCCACGAAGCTCCTTTCCATGCAGGAACGGCGAAGATAGTGGGCTTTGTGACAGGTCACAGCTACGACCGAGGAAAAAAGGCAAGCTCCGTTACATGCTTTGTATGTATGTACGTAGTATGTAAACTCGCTAGGGGTGACCAGCCTGGTGGGTGTACGAATTCTGCCGCGTGCATGGAGTATTATTATGTATGGGATAAGTCAGTCGTATGGAGAGACGGTAGGTAGCTGACGCAGTCGCATTCCTATCGCTTCACGAAAATGACTACTTACCACGTATACATGTGAATAATATTATATTCCTAAATGCGCACCTAGCAAACGCCAACGCAATCGCATGAACACACCGCGTACATATGTTTAACAGCTGTTTCGATGCCGAGCCCAGGATCCTCAGGGTCCCAGCTTTAGCAATTTAGCGATTCATCGCAACATAAGACGATACCTATGCTTTTTATAAGGGGCGGGTTGCGCGGGTTGCGGCTTACCTAGGCACAGACGACCTATCATACCTGCGCGGGAGATGGATCACGCTATACATAGAAAGCCGAAGCGCGTATCCCTGGGCAAGCTACCTACCTATCCAGCCACGTACGTCTAGGGGCGTTTTATATGAGGGCCTCGCCATCGTTTCTATGGGCGCTCGTCAGCCGGTGGCTTTTTCGATCTCGCATATACGTCCATATACGAAAAAAAGAAGAAAAATACCTACCTACCTAATTTTTAGGTGAGCGACCCGGCGCCCCATCCGTGTCTCCCCGCCCCCTCCCCCCTTCCGCCTTACCGTGCCGTGCGTCGCCAACGGGGCGCAAAATGCCGCCTGCCTTGGTAGGCAAACCGGGCTGTCGTCTCATTCACGCCAAGACGCGAGCCGCGCCTATCTCAAGCAGCATATAGCTATTCTCGTAAAAATATGATAATTATATATATGTAGGACCTGGGCAAATTTGGGGTCTCTAATATTAACCCTTCTTACCAAGTACTGCGTTAGCCTACCTAATTTACCTACTTAGGCACTCGCCCGCATGGGGTCGGCGGACTTCAACAGTGCATGAAATCCCCGGATTTGGAAGCCTGAGTACCTTCCTAACTGAGGTATAAGCGGGATATATATATTTACACATATGCATAGGTATATATATCGAGGATTACTACATATAAGGTATGTACCTAGATAGATAGGCGTTCATCGTCGTCGTCGTCGTTACCAAAGACGAGACAACCGCGGTTCCTGCGGTTAGGGGCTTAAAAGCCTTTCTTATTTCGACCTGTCTTAACGACAGATACGCTACCTATATGTATGTACGTGCGTGTGTGCGTGCGTACCGTTACGACCTCCTGCCGCGGGGAAAACTGGATCGATCCCGCGGACCGGTTGGCGTCCCGGCGGCAAGGCAAGGGGGGGTGGGAGAGAGCCCGGCCGCGAGTGCTGACTGCAGACGTGCGCGCCATCGATCTCCGCGGAGTCGCACGGCAGCAGCTGGGTCTAGGTGAGGGCGACGGGGCTGGCGGCGGATGTGTAGATATGTAGGTAGATAGATAGATAGATAGATAGAGTGCGACGCGGTTATCGTACCGTCGTGTCACGAAAGACCTTTCCCCGGGCGTGCGAGTGGGGTGACGGGAAAAGCGGAAAAGACGGGCCATCTGAAAATGTTGGAACTCCCACCCCCCTTTGCAGCCTGGGAAGGATCGATAATGTAATGTAAGTATATGTAGGTAGGTATGCAGACGCGGGTAGGGGGGGAATTGGGGGGGCGGTCAGCCGGAGAAGTGTCAAGTTAGGTAGGTTGGCTAGCTGGTGCGTGCTACATACGTGCTTCGCTAGGTTATCCTGCTAGGCTGCTAAGTATGGGTATCCATTGTTGGCCGCTCGCCACATACGTGCCTTTCGAGGGTCTGTGTCCCCGTGACGAGGACCCCCGGGAATCAGTAAATCGGATCGTCCAATGGGTCGCAATGCTGGTGTCCGGGGCGATCAAATCGTCGGCGATGATACGTGTGCGCGTGCACGCATATGTACGTTGGGGGTCAAGCACAGAGCAACAGCAGTAACGCCGTAGGTATCCTTTCTCCCCTCTTCCTCTTCCTCTTCCTTTTCCTTTTCCTCTTCCTCAGCAGGCACGAGGCACGTCGGTTGGCCACTATGGTCAGATTCAGGTAACGACCGAGAGGATGAGCGGGTTTTGCTACCCCTCGGTTTTTGGTGGTCGCAGAGGCCGAAATAAGCGTAATATTTAGGTGATCATGTCAGCAGAGAGGGAACACACAAACGATATGTTTTTGGCAGCACTAAATAACATGACCTTGTGTCGCAAGCGACCGTGCGGCGCAGGCGTAAATGCGGCTGGCTAGGCAAGAACATTAAGTCCGAAAGGTGGCCGCCGAGAGAGGAAAATACCACCGAGTAGCATCTCAGTGATAATAGCCTCATCTGTCGGCTGTACCTCATCGGCCGGCCTCGGTGTGACTTAGATGGGGGTTAAGCAGTGTCAAGGAGATGTTGTGCAAGTACCTATCTGCTAGGTGTAAGCTTTTGATTTTTATTGTCCCATGTGGAATGAGATGTTGGATTGGTTCGGCTAATCATAAGGATCTTGCGAGATCTGACTGCGGACCGTCCGCGCTCTGCCAGTTAGAGGCGCATAGAGCACTCAGCTTAACGCCGAACTAAGCAAAATATGATGTATGACGAAACATATCATAGGTTGTGTACGGACGTATGGTTCCATACATACGCTGTATACAACTGTCCACTGCGTTTAGCTTCGTGGATATGCCGACGTATAACGCTGCGAGATCCTGTTGAAATACCAGGAACAGCAAGTCTCAATTGCCGGATTCTATGGGGAAACGTCCGATAGGAATCGACATTCGGGAGTCCCGAGTTTCGCGTATGCAATGCTGGTCTCGTATGCACAACTGTAAAGTCTGCAAACAACAAGAGGGATATGGCATGTTCCCAGCGTTAAGCACGTAACATATCCACGGCCGTGTACATACCTAGGTAGCACGACGTTGAAACCCGCTATCAAGCCTCCGCAGGATGGTCATTCTAGAGTAGCACAAGAAAGATTTCGATTGTTAGGAATGTTTCGTCTTGTCCTGGCCCGACCCGAACTTCTAGTTCGTACTATCTATAGAGGTCTCAGGATCAGAGCCCCTCTAACTTAGGGAAGAGCTTGCGATGTAGCATAATGTCTGTGTACGGTGTGCCGTTAGGAATCTCGCGATGAGAAGACAATGCTCCTAGTAAGTTTCACGTCGGGGATTGAGGTGGAATTGATTTGGAACAAGTTCCTGGCTGGTTACTGCCAAGCCCATTTAGTATGTCGTAGGGCTAGCCGCCAGCCCTATGCAGCCCAGTTTCGATAGATAGGGTCGGTTTAGTGCATCCGTAGACTCAGCCACCGTCACGTCACAAGGGAGACGAGAAGCATAAAAATCAAAAAAGTCCCAAGTCTGTCTGTTTTAAGCACTCATGGTCTTTTTTTGTCGGAATATTGAAATGCGAGGGCTTGGGTAGTAAGCTGGCGGGTATCGAATAGTTCCCACAGACCTGCAACTCTTATTTGACGCATTGGACACCGAGGCCAAGTTATCCGTAGTAAGTAGCAAAAACGAGTTTCCCCTCACGGAAGAAGCCGAGGACCCGGAATCGGTGTCTGTGTAACATCAATGCGGACCCGTGAAGCGGGAAAACCACGGGGGTCTGTCGGTGTGCCCGCAATCCATCGAACGAGAAGGTGCGCTTGTGCCACTAAAAGGTTCGCATTGTAATATACCCCTGAAATAATGTTGGTATGTCCTATACGAGTTCTATCAGCGAAGACATACTGTAGTTACCCCAATCTATTCTTTTTCTTCGATTTATAATATGATGTAGTAGGATAATGAATAGATTCTTGCAGTATAACCATGCAGGGTTCAAATGCGAGAAATCGCTTCGGGGCTGAATCGGATTATCCGATCAGAAAACCCACGAACCGTAACATAATAGGTACTTACCTTGGTACTCGTATCTAAGTTTCACCAGGGGTAGCTACCTACATAGTCGGTTGGTAGCCATATACACCATAGCGTGTTAGCGATCCCTGGTGTACTTATGTAAGGGACGGGAGTTGCCATTTTGCCTTATGCATTGCAGAATGACTGTTAGAATTTCCCATAATGAACCTTGGAACATTACCAAATCAAAGATAGATATGTACCGACTTATAGATTTCTTAGGTGTGAGTGACATCATCCCCCACATTTGGTCAGCTCTGTTGAGGTGCGAGTCCGAGAAAGATAGTTTTCTAATTACTTGCTGACAGCCCGGCAATTCTGCAGTGATTGCAGTGATCCCTGTGCCGAAACCGTACCATGGAGGTATACTGGGTAGCTCGTAAGCCGCGGCCACAGCCGAGTGTAGCTCGATGTATGTAGTTAAGACTTGAGCAGATCCTTGTCCCGTGGGAGTGCACGTAGAGGCAGCGTGGACGAATTATTCGACAGTGTTATGAAGGATTGAGAGGGGGGTCAACCTAGAGCGTCAGCACTAATGTACAACTTTCAAGTTAGACGGTCCCCGCGCAAATAGGCAACAAGATAGCCCGGTCCATCAGCCGGACCGAAGACATTTAGTAGTACTTTATAGGACAAGAGTAGTGAAAGTACACCAAGGGGATATGGGGACGGGTCGTGTAACAAACCTCAAATACAAGCTTGAATGTGGGCCTATTGTATCTGGGATTGTATTAGGTACTTCCATATTGTGCCGCTTTCATCCATAGATGCTGTTGCGGGACATTGACGTCGGAAGCCTTGTGGGTTTAAGCACCCCAAACTAGGACAGTCAACATCCCGTAGTAATGGCAACAATCACCGAAACTAAATACGGAGAATCAACATGTAACGTGGGGGCGATGTGTGATAGTTACTGAGGAATCGTTAAACCCATATATTGCATCTCATGGTCAACAGAATGCCGGGTCTGTCCAGTTACACGACGGTCGTGACCGATCACCGGGACAGATCCGAACGCTCTAACATGTACCCCTAAAACTTACAACGGCTGAAGAAAGTCAGTAGACCCACATGCTCCGTGCTACCTCTCGTAAGGCTGATACTTTGAGGTGCCAGTCTGTATCCAATCTGCTTAGAGAAAACCCGAGTATGGCCGAAACACAATTTTTCGTGAGCGCAGGTTCATGTTGCACATCTTAACGTTACCTTTCCTGCAGTTTTGGAGGAGCTTCTCAAAAGGGGGCGGGTACGCGCAGTTCATTTGCAGGATAAAGTGACAGCACCCCTTTCTCGTCACACACTCGCTCGCGCGCGCGCACACATAATATGCGCCGAGTCCATTCTAGAAAAGACGAATATAACTTCCTAAATGCAAGCACAACCAGTGTTATCCCCGTGACCTTGTTTGAGACGTATCGGTTGCATTAATGCTGCATCGGCTCATCAACGCGAGAGATGACCGGTAGATCAACCACTTCTAGGTATTAGGTGTCACAACATACACTGCCTCGCTATTCGATATGGTATCATCAGACCTCGTGTCGTGTGTTGTCGATGCAAAGTAAGCGCTAATCTTGATGCATTGGGCAGCAGAAGCGACGAAGTCGTTGACTGAGGTAGGCAACTCGCCAATGCTTCTTAAATGCGCGTAGCATTTCCCCAACAATATGGGAAGCACATATGATGCGAAGTGACGAGGACAAAGCTCGCCAAGTACCTGCAATCGATATCCGGGGCGGAAGATAAGACACTGGTGTTATGTAACCTATAGAGTAAATTTTGTTGGTGAGAAACCATTGTCAGCCTTATAAGGCGTTTTGAAGGCTTACTGCCTTTGGCTTAGGAAAGCCAATCGATTTCGGTGGTCAGCTTTTCAATGTTTACCCCGTAGCCTATTGCTTTGCAGGGCAAGCCACCTAATCGAGATAGACGCAGCTAGGCCAATACGGCAAAGATAATCGTCTGGTGTGTCCCTAGAGTAGGAAGATGGTGTGTTGATGTGAAGTAAATGCGCATTCCCGCAGTGGTATGCCGGGCCAAGACACAACCTCGCCGGCTTACCAATTCTATCAAGCAAGTACTCAACAAAAGTACTTGGGGCTATGAAATAGGTGTTTTAAGGGTATATCAAACTCTTTCTTTAGCGACCGGGGTATATATTCCAATGATAGCCAATGATTCGCCGAATATTAACTGTTCTTCTTAGATGTCATCGTTTTCTAACAGGGCAAATTAGCCCAGATAGGGTTATACATGTCTAAGAGCGTAATGTAAATAGGGGTAGGTAGTATCGCGGGAGGTTCAACTTTGGAGCAAACTGCCTGGGCACTGGCACGAGGGGCAATTGGAACCCGAGATATTCGCCTGTCAAGGTAGATTCTTGGGGACGGAAGGAAAGAAATTGGGATTGCTTAAGCGTTCCCGATTTCTTTTAGCCATCTCAATTTGGCGTTTCTTGTCTAGCCGTTGCTGATAGAAAGTCCTATAGGCCATCAGCAAAGAGAGTTATCATTCGAAATAAGAACATATATAAACCTTTGTAATGAGAACACTCTTGGCTCCTCTTCCTCTGGTTTTGGCGGTGTCTTGTCGTCTGTTTTATCCTGAACAGGCCAATTAGTAAGGATGCAATAGGTCAATTCCCCAGGCAGAGATATACTTTGGAGTCCGGCTTTGGATCATCTTTCTTATCGTCCTTTTTGGTATCCTTTTCGTCGTTATCCTTGGTCTTGTCTGAGTCCTTGGCCGATTTTGATTCCTTTTCTTTCTTTTTACGCTGTTTTTCCTCATACTCCTTTTTGGCACGCTCAAGCTCTTCATCCATCTCTTTTTTCTTCTTGGCCGCAACAGCCTCCTGGTCGATGATAGGAGAACAGAACCCTCTATCTTTTAGATGGCTGGGGCAGACATAGAAGAAATCCTAGTGACGGATATATTAGGAAGAGGTGCCTCTAAACCTATGCTCTGTTACCACCTACCTTGCTCTCCTGTGTGATAAGGACACTGGTGCTAGGTTTGAAGCAAACCTCGCATGCTTTGGCTGAGGTGTCGGCTACCTTCCGATGGTTCCAGATGTTTGGAAAAGACATGACTCCCTTGCCTCTAAACAAAAATAGACAAGTAGAAAACGTACGACTTAACAGCTTCAGAGCCTTATACGCTGAAATGAGGTTGAAGCAGAGCTTAGTTGTTCAATGTCGGTGCACATAGTGGTAGCTTAAGGTGAGAAGGTATCGGATGTGGGATGTGGGGTTGGAGTTGGACCTTATCGCATTTCGCGCCACATTCGTGTGGCGTTAAAAGAGCGACTTGGCAGGCGCGGGTTACAGCCTTGGCATCTAAGAAATCCCCTTTTTTAGGAAGCCCCTGTACGTCATTGCCCAGTGCTTACGCTGTAGCAGTAGCAAAACTCTTAGCGCAAAATAATATTTATTCAATTTCCAAACAACATCACAGCATTGAAACCGTGATCTGAAAAGCGAACTATAGCCTCGTTGTTCCCTCAACAACTATAATCAATCTTATTGACTTTTTATTTGGGGTGATACCCCATAACAATTTCTCCTTGACGCCATGGCTGGTGGTCTGGATATTGAGAGATTGGACTCTGTTTTCAAGTCGCGACCAGATATCTTGAAGGATATCCACAAGGCTGCCGGTATTTACCAATTTAATTATTCTACGCATTTAAACTTTTTTACTTCTATCGTCGCTTACCCCGACCTCTAGATTCCCCATCGCGAGTCCAGCTATTTAATAAGATCGCAAGTTTTGTCTATGAGCAGATCGGCGACCAACAATCCACTTCATCATCGCTCAAACGCCGCCGAGTAGATATCGAACCTTCCCAAAATGGAACCACACAAGATGCCACGGCGCCAACCACCATCGAGGATGTGGCCAGCGAGAATATACTGCTGGAAATAAAAGATATATCCGTCTCTATCCCACAGCGCAAAAAGTTTGAGCTGTGCTTCACCCCCAAACACATATATGCCCGAGTTCCAGGCACAACGACACCTTTGCCTAGCATAGTGTACGCGTGGAAGGACATTGGTATGCGTTTTTAACCATTTGACGACCTAATTTTAAGGCTAATCATGATATAGAATATGCGTTCTACCTTCCCGTACCTGAAAAGTCACAGGTTCAACATAATTACATCCTGTTCCCCCGAAACTCCTTCTCTTTATCAAAATCAGGCACACCGACTGAAGAGCCGCTTGTATTCACCGTATCAGCCGCCGCACCGAAACCGGGTTCGATTGGTGGGCCGAATGCCGCCGCTGCTTCTGCCGTCTCTGACTCCTATACCACCTTATTCCATTGGGCCTTGAATAAGTGTCTTCAGGCAGCCAAAAACAACGTGCAGATAGTAGCAGCGGATCCTACGAAGTTCCATAGCAAAGTTCGTCAACCACACCGACCAAAGGAACCAGCCGTTCACGTGAAGGCTTTCAGGGGATCCAAAGACGGCTATCTCTTTTTCTTAGAGACCGGAATTCTGTGGGGCTTCAAGAAACCGCTGTTGTTCATACCACTGGATAAAATTGCCGCAGTCAGCTATACGAGCGTGTTACAACGCACATTTAACGTGGTGGTTGAGGTTTATACTGGCGAAGCCGGTGATAACGAGACGACCGAGGAGATCGAATTCTCGATGTTAGACCAAGAAGACTACGGAGGCATTAACGGAGATTATGTCATGAAGCATAAGCTTCAGGATCGAAGTATGGCAGATCAACGGAAGGCTAAGAGGGAACTAGCTGAGAATGCAAAGGGGAAGAAGGATGCTGATGGCGAAGGAGAGGATGCGAATGGTGATGCCGGTGAAGATGGCATGACCGAACTAGAAAAAGCCCAGTTGGAGGCCGAGCAACAGTTGCAAGACGAAGAGGATGAAGACGAGGAAGATTACGATCCTGGTTCGGAAGGCGAGAGCGAGGGTTCGGGAACTAGCGACGAGGAGGACGATGATGATGATGACGCAGCGGAAGACGACGAAATGGATGAGGATGACGAGTAAGAGGTAACTCCAAGACGTCGATGGTAGGATCCCACGCATCAACGGCGGACATGTAATAATACCTACAACCAAGTAGGCAAGCGTTGTTTCTGCCGAGTAATTCGTTTCGGCGAGGCACTGTTTTAGGCAAGAGTCGAAGGAAATCCATGGCTTCGACCCTCGAATATCGTATCATAGTGACTACCTAGGTACGTCATATCAGCCGGCTTTAGCCCTTACTTATGAAACAAGCCTGTATGAGCCGCATAGATTTCTTTCAGCAATTTGGTTGTGGCATGTCGGATACAAATACATCTCGGGGTTGATACGACGGTGGATTATCATGAATAATGCAACATATAAATATATTCGCCTAATTACATTGATCTATATGGTGTAATTTAGGTACGAAATAGCCCGTCTCCTCCCTCTGATTAGTTGAGACTCACAAAGGAACAGTGTCCTGGAGATGTGCGGGAGGAACCGATCCGAGTTGGGTGTTTCGAATGCCCGCAACTTGTAAGTTCCCGATAAGGTCTCTGACTTGCTTGTTCTCCTCGGCAGAAAGTGTGACATTCAGCGCACCTAAGTTTTCCTCCAGGTACTTGGGTGATTTAGTACCAGGGATAGGGAAGAAGTCGTCTCCCTGCGCCATAATCCATGCTAGTACCAACTGGCTTGCAGTATGGCCCTTCGCATTTGCGAATGCCTCAAACTTTTGCACCAACTCTAGGTTCTTCGGAAAGTTCTCTTTGCTGTATCTTGGCACCAGTCTGCGGTAATCCGTTGGCTCGAAGTCATCAGGAGACCTGTAGCGGCCTGTCAGGAAACCTCGTCCGAGAGGCGAGTAAGCCACGACGGCGACTCCCAATTCCCGGCAGGTGGCAAGCAAGTTGGTCCCTTGTTCGTTTTCGATATCCAACGTCCAAGGGCTATACTCGATCTCGACTGCGGTGATCGGGTGAACCGCATAGGCTCGTCGAAGCGTGTTGGACGAACACTCGGACAGCCCAAGATACTTAATCTTACCTTCCCTAATAGCATTGGGTTAGTGATTCTGCTCATTCTGCGCTCGGGTCCTATCTATTTAGGTCCTTACTTCTTAAGTTGTGCCATAGCCTCCACCGTTTTCTCGATGGGGGTTTTGTCATCAAAACGATGGCAATAGAATAGGTCAATGCTATCGAGCCCGAGTCGCTTCAGAGACCGCTCGCAGCTTGCACGGCAGTTCTCAGGGGAACTATCGATGAAGATATTATGCGCGCCGTCGGGCGTCTGATTGAACTCAAGCGCGAATTTTGTGGCCAAGAAGATATCATCTTTTCGTTCCGGATGTTGCTTGAACCATTTGCCCACGAGGTCTTCGCTATCACCATAAGCATAGGCGGTATCCCAAAAAACCTCACCCAGCTCCCAGGAGCGGTCGAGAACCTTTAGTCGTTCCTCATCAGACCTTTGCACAGAGTTAGTTTTCCGAGTGCCAATGGCGTTTTGGTGGCTTTGATCTTACCCCGCTTCGCCGTATCCGACGCTCATGCCCATCAAGCCAAACCCAAGTTTAGTTACCTGAGGGCCATCCTTTCCTAGTTGGCCAGTTGGGAGCTTGACTGGAGGAGACATGATGCTAGTTGATATCGACAGATTGATTCTTCTAAGTATTACTAAGCGGCCGAGAGAGTTGGAATCTTGCTGGTTGATGTTCAAATTTGTTTAATGGGTAGCATGGCAGATTTATATATTCAATTACCTCTTCACTATCGCGCGAAATAATTAAGTAACAATACTTGTCTACAGCGCTACCTCGATCGCCACTTCAAGATATTCTATGAAGTTACTATCTAGTTGCGTAAGTCACCGAAATTGCTGGCGTCATTCACTTAGGAAATAGAGTGCAATTCGGCAATAAGGGCTTTAGGCGGCAATTTCCTCTTCAATTGACTAAATATCATATTTCATTGAAAGAAAAAGATCGCAATGAAGTCCCTTCGGTGCTCCGCGGACTCAATGCAATGGTGTTTCTACATAATTCCGACTGGCACCGTAGTTAAGCATTCGGATGGGATTAGGGTCATCGTGCATTAAATCCGCTACTAGCAGAGTTCCCGCAGCCTTAGCCTCGATCGCGCCCTGACTAAGAATATGAAGCCACGAATATGTGGAACGTGAAGCATCATGCTCAGTGATGGATCGGCTTTCTCATGACTAATATTTATATGTTACGTAAGGTAGATACCTACTAAGTATACCTATTATTTGAGGCTATGATGTAAAATCACCTACTCGACGTCAAAACCGACATTCTTGATCGTCAATGAAGTAGTTACCATTTTATAGAATAATCCATCTGTGAATATCTAACCTACTATATTGTGTGGATTCATTCCAAGCTTCTTCAAATCCCACCATCCACTTCCAAGATGCGCGTTTGGCGATGATCGCTTTTGATAGCGACATTCGGACATCAAAATTTCGATACTTACTGCTTTCCTATTTCTACAAGGCATGCATTTGCTATCAATTATTTCATCCATCTAGGAATATTCAAACCGAATTTGAGGTAGCATCAACTACGAATCTCTGTTTGCGGGGAGGAAGAAAGTCACCATGTCTGGATATGCGCCATGCTTATGTCATCTTGAAAAGGGGGGAACTTAGAGTCTCGATATACAATATTTCATCGAACCAAAGAAATGTATTGTGTCAAATAAAAATGACAATATTGTTTATTGTAGAATTGGAAGTAATTCGAAGTAAAACACATATTATTAAGTTCTTCCCTACCCGAGTGTCTATTATATGAACACAATTAGGAGTTCAAATAGACTCGCACATTACGTAAGCGCAATAAGGGGAGCTACTTCCCCTATTTACCCGTCAATGCCATTAATACTACGCATTTGTCCCCTACTACATGTATTGTTATATAAAGACGTATGCCTGAATTCTTTACTCTACCTACAAATTCCGAGGAGACCGTTACCTACTTCGTAGCGAAAATACTTAAACCTAACTGATGATGGATTATTACCTAATACACGACGCGGAATAATCATTATGAGGAAATTACTATTAGCCTGTAAGTCCTTAATGGTAGAGAAATAGTGGCTTCATAAATACCTTGAACTCTTTCCGTTTACTGGCCTAGTAAATGAAGTATTCTAATAACGAGAGGGTATTTACATGACTAAAAATACCCAAGGTATCCCAAAAACTCACTATTCATGGTGGGGGTTATGCTTGTGTTAATCACCTGGACAGTCTTACGGTAATAAGTAGGTAGGTAACATACCTAGTTTTAATTGAACTGCTCCTGGGAAAGTGTATTTTGGAGTATTTACTCTTAGGCTGTAGTTTTGCTGCATAGTCACGATAGTATGCCTACATAGTAGGTCAATGAGCTAATCCATATCTCGACTAGAAGAGTTCCTCGAGTACTTCCTAGGATATTCGCTGGGGGGTACTTGACGTTACTAGTTGCCATTTTAGTGTCCTAGGATCATAGAAAAGGCTCGAACCCCTTTAGTAGGATAGTAGTCACCTCGTATGATTTACACCAATGATAAAAGTCGCCGTCGAGAATCAAGACGAAGGAAGGCTCGTTTCAAACGAATCGGACTTAGACCCATTTCGGCCTCATTGTTTGATCACCATGAATGCCGTGGGAACGGGATGACGCCAGCACTATATCGGTACTGAATTGGGAATACTAGGGCTTAGGTAGCAAACAAATTAGACCGGTTCCGACCATTATCTACCGAAGAACCTGATTCATTAAATCCGTCTATATCTCTTTATAAAGTCCTATGCCAGAAATAAATAATACAAATTTATCCTTGGTCGTGATATGCGCAACAGCATTAAGAGTCGATAGCCCCTGGTAGTTAGGAGGGTTCAGACTTTAATGGTGCTATATTATGTTCCAACATTTTTTATCGATGAGCGTACTGTCATAGGGATTGGTGCCAAGTTACTGTTGGCATCAGACACATACTACCTATAAGCTTCCTTTCCCTAACATTTCCCTTATTTTCTAACATTGGCCGAGGAATATTGTTTCCGGATCCCTCAATGAGAAAGAACTTGCTTCGCCTTACATAAAAGCAAGACCGATGCTATTCGAGAGCTGCCCCACAAAGCCATGAATTAAAGGACATAAACGAGGCCCGCTGGAACTAGGCGCCGACTACCGGATACCGAAGAGAGAGGGGCTATATGGGACACTTCTTGGAGTATCCACGGCGTTGAAACTGTGCCGCTCATGAGTCTACCTATGGGAATCATGCGATGAGTACAATACTATCACGCGCCATTAGTTTCGGGTTGTAGGATACCTATATCTTGCCGAGAGCGTCATTATCTTCGGGTCCCGCGTCTGTTGGAAGGGATTTTCGTCTCGGTGGCGGTTAGATATACCAACCAACTAACCTATTAACTAATATTTAACTTTGATATAATCGTGGTTGCGTATTCTTGGACCCTTCGCTTTCACAATTGCCTTCTATGCATATCGGATGTCTCTCATTCCGCTGTACTATTTGGATCTGGCCAGAGAAAGAAGCAAAGATTATCCAAGACTGAGTGACGATCCACTTAGAAAGTGCAAAAGTCCCGAGAAACTCAATGAGAGGCATTAAGAATCCTGTGACCATACGATATATTATGGAGGCTCTTCTCTGATATCCACTTTCTGCTATGACTCGAATCATGAGCCACTCTAGTTCCTTGGTAATTATGTACGTGCTTGCGAGCGTGAAAGTGGCACTTGGTATAGGCTATTATATGGATTTTACGTTAAAAAAAGAATGTACCTATCTATCTGGGGAGTTCGTCTTAAAAGAAAACCGCCAGATAGCATTGCGGGGCGAAATGCCGTGCCGTTTGAGCTTGGGAAATGCTATAGGGAAGATCCAAGAAGCTCTTGTTCACCCCGACGATTATATGTGCGGTTGAGGCAAAGTACTTATAATTACGCGCCGCAGTGGCTATCATAGATACTTTAATTATGTATGAACTTTCTTAGGTAAGTACCTAGTAGTCATCCTTCGAGGAAGTATGTGCCGCGCATGCAGTAGTTCTGTAGTTTAAATGGATGAATCCCGTGTACTTTCGTCGAATCAGGTAATCGTATTCGTGATATAATAATCCCGATTGGTAGGAAAATCAAGCTTAATCCGCTTCCTACATGGGTTACGTCAACAGCAACTGGCACTCTTATAGTGTAATTGTGCAAATGTGAATTATGTTTCGTATAGCGTATCCGTATTCGGAAAGGAAAGCCATGCCTGATTGGATCCTAACCCTTGGGAAAATCCTCAATGCTACTAAACACGATCAATATCATGCAAAACATTGGTGATTCTCTCAATTGTGGGGTATTGAGAACCTACATAGGCGGGTAGGTAGATATCGAGGAGGTAGAACGGGATCAGGTACGGCTCGCTTAGCACCTCGGAAGCTTTGTCTTATGCAACCGAGTAAAGTGATGAAACGGTATCTGCGTATGCAGAGGAGAGCTGATAGCGAGGCAGTGAGCGTTAATATAAAGTCGTTTGCTTCTGTGCAGGTTGCATCGTGATCTTTGTGTTCCCAACTCTATCTCGATACACACACCACCAAAAGCTGCGTTCAAGAATGGAGGTCCTCCAACGTGTTCTTCCCACAGGATTACCTGTATCCATCCAGGTGATCGCTGCAACCATAGTTCTTGGCATTGTCTATTCACTCGTTACCGCAGAGAGACCGTTTACTGGATTTCCAGTGGTATCATTCGATGGAAAAAGCCCCGCAGAAAGTTGGATGTTCCATGGCAAAGAAACACTAGAAGAGGGATTGCGACGGGTATGATGGATATGATCTTCGACAGACCACTACCTGCTAATGAAATGTGCAGTTCTCCGGCCCATTCCAAGTCATCACAGGAACCGGTCCAAAGATCGTTTTGCCTAATAAATTCGCCGACGATATTCGCAGTCATCCTTCTCTGGATTTCAATAGAGCCTTTGCCAAGGTACATATTTGCGGCTTGTATTTATGAAATAAAAGAAAGTATTGACAGATTTAGGATTTTCTGGTACACTATCCAGGCTTCGATGGCTTCCGCGTCGGCTTAAGCGGTGACGAATTAATCCAAGAGACTGTACGAGTGAAACTAACTCAGTCTCTCGGCCTGATCACGGAAGATCTCGTGGATGAGACGACAGACGCGCTGCACGTTGTCCTTGGTGAGAGTAAGGAATGGACTACTAGGTTCATTCGGGATGATGCACTCGAAATTGTCGCCCGACTTTCGTCTCGAGTGTTTTTAGGAAGCGGGATATGCCGTAACCGAAGGTGGCTTGACATCGCGAAGTCTTACACCATCGATTCATTCGTGACGACACGTATTTTGCGAGCTGTTCCATCGTTCGTGCGCCCTATTGCTTTTCTGTTGCTACCACAAAGCAGAACTCTGAGGAAGGCCGTCCGGGATGCACGTGATCTCATCGATCCCGAGGTGGAACGACGTAAGGCTGCCGTCGACGCAGCTAAAGCAGCAGGGTTGAAACCGCCAAAAGTTGCGGACACGATCGGTTGGATGTACGAGATTGCCAGAGGCAGAAAAAAGGACTTTGTCGCTGGACAGCTTTCGCTAACAACTGCTGCTATTCACACGACCACGGAGACAAGCTGCTCGGCACTGCTTGACATCTGTGAATACCCTGAAGTTGCTCAGCAACTTCGAGAAGAGATCATTCAGGTTATTGGCGAACACGGTTGGGCTAAGACTTCGTTATCTAAGCTCAAGCTAATGGACAGCTTTTTGAAGGAGGGACAGCGAGTCCGCCCGATGAGTAGTTGTACGTTTAACATGGCAGCATGATTGCACCGTTTTTGGCCGAGCTAACGAGAAAGCAGCTACGATGCATCGATACGTGGAGAAGAAGGTGGAGATTTCCGACGGCACGACGTTACCACAAGGATCACGGGTGGTAATTGCTTCCAACTTCATGGACCCGACCATATATCCCGAGCCGGAGAAGTTCGATGCCGCTCGATTCCTGAAGATGAGACAACAGCCTGGCCAAGAGAATAATTGGCAATTTGTTACGACTAGTCCATCTTATACTCTGTTCGGACATGGACAACACGCTTGTCCGGGTCGATTTTTTGCGGCAAATGAGGTGAAGATTGCGTTGTGCCACCTACTGCTCAAATACGATTGGAGATTTGTTCCAGGCGAGGGTAGGCCGGCACCGACAAATTTCGAGGGTGTTAACGGTGTTGATCAGAAATCGAGGGTCCAAATTAGGCGAAGGCAAGCAGAAATTGACCTCGATCTATCGCCAAATTGACCTGACGAATTGTTTTACATTGTACCTAGGTAGGTAGTAGGTTGTTAGCTGTTGATGTATTTTAAAGTCTTAGACTATTCCTATTTACTGAAATTATTAAAGATTGATCTCTCCCATTACCCCTCGTTGGCTTGTTGGTGGCTTGTTCGCTTGTCTCAGCCACCCAGCATAGATCGGAATGAGGCCCACACACCGATCGTGTCTGAGAAAAGAATCGAAGTTAGCTCTACCTTAGCACCCCTCACACTTTCCCATAGATGAGAGTTTATCTCCTTAAGAGATAGAAGGTGCTTTCAAGATTGCGAAGAGGGAGCCTAGGTTCTTTTGAGCAACTACAACTGCAAGATACAGTTCTCCAACAGTTTTTCTTAATTTGATTAATTAATCATTGGACTAGAACCCCCCTTGAAAACTGCGCATTCTCGAGCGGGTCTATTAGCTGCTGTGGATGAATGTTCAGCTCATTTTCGTGTTCAACAGCCCAACAAGCTACCTACCTAGGTAGGTACCTGGTAACTAAGCGTCTCCCCCAAGGACAAAATTACAGTGCATAGAACGTTGCCAACTCTTGAATCAATTGGGCATCCTATACCACGAAGCCGGTGAAGCCGAAGCCGGATGCGCTAGGCTTTAAAAGCCAGGTGTTCTAGGTAGTAAAAACAGCCCTGGAGATCTTTCAAGCAATTTGAAGATCCCGCAAGTTGATATTCACATTCATACTCCTGAAATTTCTGTGATCGATCTAACAGATGCGGATTAACAAACTTAGGTGACTATCAAAAATCGGATAGTTACCTAAGTATCCATGAGACTCTCATGTTTAATTTTGAAAAATCAGATAAAATTTGACCAAACTGATAATCGACGTTGTAGGTAGGTCTCCAGTAGCGGAAAAGGGGCACAGCATCCCTCTTGTAAGCTTTCAAAATGACGAGGTCACATTGAACTTATTTAATTGGCCTACTCTGTCGAATCCCTGGTCTTATATCGGCAGTAAGAGGGCGCAGCTTATACATAAGTGCGAGATCCAACATTCGAGATGTCAAACGAATTTTTCATCCCTCATTCTCCAATTACTGTCTTTCTCACCCTCAGTGAAAATCACCACTTTCACCCACCTTCTCTAGCCCACGATTCAAGACACCCTCTAAAATGCCCTCCCTCAACCAAAGCGCTCAACCAGAAAACTCAAAAATGTCGGGTTCAGAACCCGACACGGATGGCTCTGCGGTGATCACCGCAGGGTCCAGTTCGCAGATACGGTTGGTAATAGCCGAAACTAATAACGCGAGTACTGTTGCTAATCACGGCTTGTTTTCTCCTTGTATAGACCCGGAGCGTTCCGAAATTTGTTGTGAGAGCGACCGGTCGCTTTCGGATGCGTCAGCAAACAACGATGACGGTCGCGCTGCTACCGACGACGAGGTGCGCGATCTACTGCACGTAGTCGATCGAGTCCCCGTCCGGCTCTGGATCGCATGTGTTGCTGGCATTCTGGAGCGCTTTGTTTGGTATGGGGCTACTTCCCCTTTGCGTAAGTCGAACTCCCAGTCTGGCGAAGATCCAAGGAGTAGAAGCTGACTATTTTCTAGAGAACTACCTGCAAAATGCACCCGGCGGCGAAGTCCCCGGTGCCCTGGGCTTGGGTCAGGCAACTGCATCCAATATTGTGAATGCGCTTATGATTGGGTCTTGCATCACCCCTGCAATGGCTGCTGTTATTGCGGATAGTTGGTTGGGTCGCTATAAGACGATGTTATATGCTGCTATGTAATGTGGAATTCTTCCTTCTGTCATTTCTTTTTTTCTCGCCCTGTGGATAGTTGCTAACATTATCGCAGCATCGAATCTATCGGGGCAACTATCCTATTTGCGACTTCGCTGCCTGTCGCTATTGAGGGGGGAGCTGCTTTGGGTGGGGTGATTACGGCTTGTGTTCTGCTGGCTGTAGGATCCGGGGCTTTCAAGACTACCGTGGTACCGTTTATTGGTGAGCATAAAATCCTATTATTCCGATCCATCTATTTAGAAATCGTGCGTGAAATTAATCTTTACTAGCTGATCAATACGATCAAACCGGCTTTCGAATCCGCACGCAGAAGACGGGCGAGAAGACTGTGAGCAGTCGAGAGTTGACCATTACCTATATTTACAACGCGTTTTTCTGGTTAGTACCTATAATTCACCCATTCCCTAAAGCATAGGGTCCTAATAGTGAATGTAGGGCTGTCAATATAGTGGGGTTCTTCGCTGATTCTACGCCACTGTTGGAGAAATATGTCGGCTTTTGGCTGGCCTATCTGGTCCCATGCTGCTGTATGTGGCTGGTCCTGATTCCAATTCTTCTTGGCCGGAATCACTTTGGTCAGTTCATTTACCCTCTCACGATCTCTTTCAGGGCGAACTAGCTGACATTAGTTTAGTCCGAGCATCGCCAACAAGCAACATCATGCCCGACGTAGCAACCGCCTTACGGTACGGCGTAGCCGGCGGTTTTAGAATGGATGCGGCGAAACCAGATGCCCAGCTCCAACACCACAATCGCCAAGTCCCCTGGGCCGACTCCTTCGTCGAAGACATCAAGCGCAGTCTTCTGACCTGCCGAGTACTTCTCCTCTTCCCCATCCATTGGCTCTGCTACAACCAAACGTTCAACAACCTGATCTCCCAGGCAGGTCAAATGGTAACCTACGGCATCCCAAACGACATGATGAAAATCGCCGGCGCCATCTCCGGCATCCTGGTCGCACCCATCATCCAAAAAGGGCTATACCCACTCCTCACGCGGAACCAAGTCTCATTCGGTCCCATCGCGCGCATGATAGTCGGATTCGTCATCTTGGCTTTATCAATGGCATACACCACCATCGTGCAAAAGCTCATCTACGAAGCCGGGCCTTGCTACGACGCCCCTCTCTCCTGCCCCGCCGCGCACGACCACTCCGTGCCTAACCAGGTCTCCGTGTTCCTCCAGATCCCGATCTACTTCGGCGGCGCGATGGCAGAGGTCTTCTGCCTGACCACAGGCACAGAGTACGCGTATAACAACGCCCCTGAGCGGATGAAGACCTTGGTCCAGGCTATTTGGCTTGCGATGGCGGGAATTGGGTCGTGCTTGGCGCTTGCGTTTACGCCGCTAACGAGAGACCCCCATCTGGTTACTATGTACGCGATTTTGTCCGGGCTTTTGGGCGGCGCGACTGTTTTGTTGTGGGTGCTTTTTAGGAATGTGGATGATGTTAAGAAGGAGAGTGAGTGATGGAATCGATTATAGGGGGTTTTAGTGTGCTAAATGTGGAAAGGGGTAGCCTAGAGTGAGGGGTTATTTGGGGTGGGGGGTCAGAAAGATAGGGGACTTGTTGAAGTACAAAAGCTTAGAATAGAGGAAAATTGCTGGACTGCTTGATTATTCTATTCTATTCTGTGACAGTTTATAGTCATTTTAATAGAATAAATTTGTGCATGGAAGGACTAACCGCCTAGCACACGAAATGACAAAGAGAGCAGATATGGAGGCCTAATACGAACATCTGCGTCGAGGGGGTCCATATGTCGGCTATGTTCCTTGCCCAGAACGAGTACATAAATGGACGAGTGAGCTAATGCCTATGACTTAATAGCGATTTGTCCGCTAAATTAGTCGCTACAGCTCAGGGGGCTTGGTGCTAGAGAAGGACGCCACACAGCGCTAAGATATGCTCTAACATACCTCCAGGGCTGTGATAACCTACCTCTCTATATGCAAAGGGCGATATCAAGTGAAGCCTACAGTAATAATGTCACCACCAAGACATTTTAAAACGCAAAATAGATGTTAAAAACCCGTTCGTATTCTGAAGGCAAATATAACAGAAGCAAGGAACTAGTTACATCAAGCCCTCAAATACATGGGGAACATAGTGAGAATGATCCATGTAGCTAGGACAAAGATCTTCCACTAAGCCCTAGGACTGCCACTGTCCTGATGAAAGAAACTTGTAATAAAAGCCAGCAATCCACTCCAAGCATAACCCATTGATCAGCGAACGGAGACACATCCCTGTTCTTCAGTCGTGGCCTACTTATAAGGTTGTAGGAAAATAAAGCGATAATCCATTCACCTCCTCAACCCCTATACCCTAGAAGAGCGACGAGAAATCCTATTACTTTGCCCATCTAGTTGTCAGCATGGGGGTAGAACTCGTTATCATCTTCTGAATCGAAGCCTCTAGCGGCCTCCTCCCTAGCCATACGGTCGGCAAGAGTCTGGCGTCTGCGGTTCAGCCTTCTTGTACGGTGCGATCGACGCGAAGGTTGTGACAACGGGGTGTCTGGGTCCATCGAAGTGCCCATTGGACTGCCCGCCATCTGCAACTGGTGCGATTCAGCAAGCCAGAAGTCCTCCTGGTTCTGCTCACGGCGGCTTTGCAATGGAGCATACTGTGCGTTGAATGTGGGGCTGCTGACTATGACCTGACGAGGATCGGTGATGATCTGGCGACGGCTTGGCTTGAAGTCAGGTTCATAAGTGTCGTTATTACCAGAGTTCTGGGTCGAGACATGGAAGCTAGGGGGTCCAGGGACGCTTCGGCCTTGGGGTTGTTGGGAGAATCCAGGGGGCGCACGCATAGCTCGTGCCTGAGGTTGATGCTGGAATGGGTCACCAGACACAAAGGGGAGGAGAGACGTCTCTCGATAATGGCCACGGATGGGAGTGCGTATTCCAGAGTCATGCTGGTCCTGAAATTGCGGCGGGAGCACCACCTTAGGAGTGTTGGACGTCGTAGACTCCTGACCGTCTGACTCTGGCTCGGGGCATTGGATAGGGATCGTGGTCTTATCGAAGGGATACGCAGCGTCCAACCACGGGATAGCTTTGCCATAAGCAGGGAAGCCTCGGGTAACTGTTTATTCATAAGTAAGCTTGTGTTTCATTATTTATTAGATAGCATCGAAATAGGTTGCTTACCCGGCATGCGGTGATCTAATGCTACAGAGACACGACCCCATGTCTCTAGGGTAGAACTTCCTCCCGGCGAGCTAACGTCAGAATGCATGTCGGCATAGGAAGGGAAAACGAGAGGGAAGTTTCGAGAGCCTTCAGGTCGTTTCTCCTTAGGGAGATCGTAATCGCAAATGGTGGACATGACGATGAAGCTTGCGTAAGTGTAGAAATAGCAGGGTAATTTGTGTAGGATAAGGTAAAATGACGGAAGATATGAGATGATTCAAGTGTAGATATCTACAGTTGAGAAAATCTCGGGTACAAGAAGAAAAAGTTGATTCGTCGAATTTGGCGATAAAACCAAATTAGTACCAAGTTGAAGAGATGTTGAATTTGGTGCAGAGTAAGGCTGTGAACACCTTGGAAACGGACAGACATCCTTAATGTTCTCCACCAAAAAGTAGAATCCTTAGGGTTAAACTTTGAAGTCGGAATAGGAACGATGCAGTGATTTGTTTCTTAGATCAGGAAGGAAGCAAGTTGAACAATAGGAAAGTGCGGCGTCGTGGAGCGGTTATGCGTTAAGTTGGGCGCAGGTACGATTATATCAAAGAAGGAGCGACCCGGTTTTCCTCCGTGGCTCTAACAGATAACTGCTAAGAAGGCATCACCATGAATCGGCGTGCCTTCCTTACTTAGATAGGTAGGTACCTAACAAGTACCAAGATTTACAGGTACATATATGTATTCGAATACCGCCGGCTAAGTTTATGTTAATCTATGTTGATTCATACACAGAGCCGTCTTTTGTGATCCTGGGCACCCTTATTCTAGAAGGCATTAATTTGGTTATCGTGACATCTTCATTCCATAAACTATTTTTCTCTTCAATTTACTTTCGAGTAGGATGTAGGTAGGATAATAAGTATCTAGATATCAGCACAAGCTATCCATTGCCATATTTATGTAAGAATAGATTTTGAATATGTAGGATCTGTAGCCTATGCTGAACATCACCTAGACACTCTGTCGAAGCAGGAGCTGCAGTTGGTAGTTTATATGGAATTATTAATAGTTAGGATCTACGCCTTCAGGGCTAACATATGAATCTCGTACTGTACTATACCAATTATGGTTGCTTGTCTTTCAATAGCAAATGGTTTCATCATAGCAGAAAGTCCAATTCAGTGTATTGCATACTATCAATTCTGCTCGTGGTGGGAAGTACCTTATCCGCGTCCTGGTATTACCGGTGGAGGCGCAATCCTAGTGTCGAAGATCCGCCGGTCGAGGATTTTAAAATCGAATATTTTTTCTAGTTCTGCTTTCACCCCTATGAGCTCTTCGCTCGCTTTTCTAACCTTGTCTGGCTGGTTGTCGTCGAGTACGTTCAGCTTCACGTTTAACACCCACTTCTGCGCTGGGTCAACTGGCCGTAGATCTGTGAATGCCGGAAGAGTAGACACAGGTCGTCCCGGTGAGTCGGGTAGGTAATAGTATCTGCTGAAGACGAACTCGATATTCTCTCTGACGAAAGAGTAACTCTCCTGTATCATCTCATTCTTATACCTAACAATGCTCGTTAGTATTAATTATCGCAAGAACGTGGCTAATATAATAGTAATCTTACTGGAGACCATTGTCGCTCATAGCTAATAGGAGAGCGGGCTGGTCGGGTATCTCGATCTTTTTCCTTGATGTGACTGGGGTATCTCGGAGAGGATCCGGTAAGTCTGTCCATCGCAAGGTACCAGGCAAGGCATTGAAGTCCATCACAGACCCTTTTCCGAAATCTTTATCTAGAGAAAGCTCATACGCTACTTGAAGGACATATGATGACCGAGCTAGCTGGTTGCTCAGTTCCTTCCAGAATGGTAAGAAACGCGACTGCTGGAACGCGCGTGAGTTTTTGATGGATCTCGGCTGTGGCTGGCCTTGAAAGAATAGAATGCGGTGGACGGTCTGGCGTGCCGTCATCCATGTCAATCCTTGCAGGATTGCGCATGTCATAGAAAAGTCGGCATCCTTGACGGATGCGGTTAAGAAGAGCTCGCGCATTCTAGATAGAAGAACAGATATCTAGAGCAATGCCTTCTGTGGACGGTCGTCGGGGTTGCGCGTGTCCCGGCAGGACTTAGGCGTTCGTGGCGCGTTTCGGAGATTTTAAGTAATAAACGAGACTGTAGCTTTATTCTGAAGCATTATTCCGTATGAATTGATGGGATATATAGCGAAAAGTGCCTCTACGTGAGTGAGTAAACGTCATCAGACACAGATGGTTTAAAGTTGAAGATGTTGAATTTACCTTAGCTCTATATGCACCTGTAGACAATGTCACAGTGGGCAATAGGGCTGAAAGATGGACCCACCGTATTCTTGGGGTACTTTAATCGATACATTTAGTGCTGGACACCACTAGTGGCTACAGCCGCTATGAAAGTACTACACACTGTGAGGGGTACCTACTAGGCATTTCAAATCTTATTATTCACTCCCGTTCTATCTAGATTTAAGATTTAAGTGAAACAACAATATTAAAAGCACACTTCCTTCCAGAGTTCTCTTCAAGGTTCTTATTGAATGGCGACATATTTTTCCTGAAATCGTAAAGATTATTCTGCTACCTATCTAGCTACTGCTTTTCTAGCTATTATGGATTGTTATCTTTATAAATTACTTCCTAACTTCTCCCTATAATCCTATGAAGAGATAATAAGTGAGTCTGCGGTGTTTGTAATGAGTCACAAACAAGATTTCATTATCACATACATCATCATTTAAGGTGGGCTGATCGAAAACATGTTCAGGATGTCTGTCCTTGGACGAAAGGTGAACATTTACTGCAGAAGTGTATACAATCTGTCTTGTTCCAATTTCGCATATCATTTTCATATGTGAGAATCGTCAGAGAGTAGAGAATTAAGGGCTAAGGCACACCGGATCACGCCTTTTCCCTCCCCGATACCTCAAGATACTGACCTACCACATCTAACACTGCAGTCTCAAAACTCTTCAACTTCCCATCCATCAGCTTCTCTGCATCACTCGAATCATATTGAAAATCTAATGAAGGCACATTTCCCTTCTTGAGCACCCCATCCTGTATAGCCTTCGGAAACGCTTTCTCGACATAGCCCCAGACCGTATCATAGTCAACTTTCCTCGCCACCCCGAAATCTTTCGATACATCCGAGTTAGGTTCCCGGTCTAGAAACGCGGCTCGCAAGTGTATTTCCGCTATGTCGTCTATGTGTACGAAACCCATATGGACGGGAAATGCCATTTCGCCACCGGTAACGCCCTGGATTATGGCATTGTTCGAGCTGTTGGATTGGCCCATAGCCTCGACGGTGAGTGCGAGCTCGTTGCGACCATACACGTAGCCGGGGACTATATTTGCGACGCCGAACGGCGGTTTTTTCTCACGCACGAACGTATCCGTGTCGTGTAGCTGTACTATCTTCCCTATTATGTACGCTTCATACCCATCTTTGAAGGTCTGCGGAATGGGGTCAGGCAACGGCAAGCGGGTTGCAGCCGAGACGACGTGAGCTGGCGGCACGGACCCTAGGTTCCCCACGATAGACGAAGTGATAACGACGCTCTTAATGCCAGGCGTCTTGAGCGCGGAAGAGAGTATGTTTGAGCACATCTTACGCGTAGGCTCGAAGATGTCCTTATAAGGATCGTACCATGGCATAGGCACGGGGGAGCCGGTATGGATGATGTGCGTGACCCCTTCAAGGGCCGAGTCGAATGCCCCCTGGATGGTGAAGTCCGGGATCACTACTGCGGAGAGTCGGTCTCCCGGCGCTAGTTTCTGGACGGCAGGATTCGACGAAACTATCCGAGCTTTATCTTCCGAACGTACCGCGAATCGCACATTGTGCCCGGCTTCGAGAGCCGTAGTGAGAATGCGGAAGCCAACTAGACCGTTGGTACCAGTGATAAGAATTGTCGCGGCCATCTTGTTATGCTTTGAATTTAGGATAAGCTAGCTGTCTTGTCTATGTTCTTCTCAGGTAAGTATATGTCCTTTTCGATCAGTTTGTTCTTGGTTACATTCGTTTCTTTTCATTATGATCGATTTATGAGACGGAGTACTACCTAAACTTTATAAGGCAACCAATGCCTCGAGGGAACAGCCCGAACCCCTCAGAGATATCACCCGCATCGGCGATGGGCTGCGCATCCCTCCTACCTTGCCGCTTGATAAGCTTATTGATCGGACATACCATTAATTCCATCGGCGGATATCCTGTAAACCATTGTCCGCCCCAAGACTGTCTGCACGGTTAACTGTATCTGTACCTAGGTACCTAAATGCCGCGTCCGGAAACGAGATTTATGTACGCAAGAGGTGAAGAACGTTGGTACGCAGCGTAACATGACCCTAGTAGGAACAACTTTCCCTACCTAGTCAGAAAACCAAATATTGGTTCTTGTATTGCAATTGTACGATGAAGTTCCATAACTGGTTATAGCGTGCGGCTCAACAGAACGTCCATGGGGTCTTTAATCTAGACCTAGAGCGACGGCTTGGCGACCAGAGCTATCTAATTACTACATAAGAAAGAGCTTGAATGTATTCTACGAATAAACGTATCAAGACTTCTCCTACTTAAGGAAAAGGCGTTGGAATGCTTCAATTTCAATCCTCGAAGGCCGCTCGCCGCCGTATTGTCCGCTCTGTCGTATCCTAACTACAGGAATGGCCGCTTAGCTTATAAGTATTAGTCAGATGCGGCGGAAAATGAAGTACATAAAATCTTCTGTGCGATATAAAGATCTGACTTAACACGCGGCCGTTGATTACCGTTACATCCCGATAGCCTATGTCGAACGGCAATGCGAAGAGGGGAAATGGCGTAAGGTTCAAAAACTTACCTGTTCATCACACGTTATAAGATTTATAATAGAAGCGGTAAGACGTTGTGTAACGCATAATGAGGTTGGAATAAGGATAAAACGGGAAACTTAATGATGAAGCTAATAAAGTTTTGATAGTAAATGCTAGTCCATACTAGTCCATCCGACCCCCTTTTCTCCCTTACCCCTTACATACTTGGTAGGTAGAGATAACCACGACCACCACACAGCAAAGGGAAACCGATAGCCTACTGATGCTCAAACTTAACCTTTAGTAGTAGATCCGATATCTCCCCATCGAATGTTAGAGAAGGTGACGTGAGTGTCGGGATGCTGAGCCTGGATATTAGCCGGGGTGCTCTCCGCGATATTGCAGGGCCCGTTATTGCCGGCGTCGAGCCAAGACATCTGCTGTGTAGCGTCGTTCCAGATACTCATCGCCAGCACCACTATACACGTAAGTAAAACACGATGTCAGCATTCAGTCTCACGCAAATAAACAGGTTCTAAGAAATCGGCAGATAAATAGGTATGGTTGGTGTAAGACATACTCCCTCGTCCCAAAGCCGCTCCCATGCCAGCAAGTCCGCCCTGTCCGTCGTTGCAGGCGGAGATGGTGCCGCCGGGGGTCTGCTTGCCGTCCTGGATGTAGATCCGCGAGATGGAGGTCAGACTGCCGCTGCCGGCGAACTGCGTGATGACGGTGAACTTCTTGTTCGTGTCGACCGTGCCCCCCGTCGCCCACAAGTTGCGCTGCCCGCTCGCGTACGGGTTGTACCCGCACCCGGCCTTGTCGCAGTTGTCCCCCTGGCATGGGTGCGGCGTCATCGCGTTCGCCTTCGCGTTCGCTTCGAGGATGTCCATCTCGTTGCAGCAGTATCCCTGGCATTGCGCGTCGCAGTACCCTTGCCCTGCGCTCGCGCCCCCGGAGGACCCCCCGCCGTCGGCTTTCATCTCTGATAGGTAGAAGGCGCCGTTCTCGCCGCAGGGCACTTGCGAGTAGTCGACGTCGACGGATAGCTCTTGCCCGAGAAGCTCCATCATCACGTATTGCCCGTTTGCGTCGAGTAGGTAGATGCGCGGGGACGCCGGGTTGAGCGTGCTGCCCGACTTGACGTAGTGGTACATGGTGACGGCGTCGCCTTCGGTCGAGACGCCCATCGCGGCGTAGTCATCCGCTGTCCTAGAGCCGGCAGCTCCGGACGCGTATTTAGAGTCCTTGTCCAGCACAACGGACGTGTTCTGCTGGACGCAGCCTCCGGCGGTGGTGCATTTCCAAGTCGTCAGGGGCGGGTGGGCCTCGGAGCCCTGGGCGACTGCCGCGCTTGTCAGTAGCGAGCCTAGCAGGCCGACATACAGGAATTTGGAAGCCATGTTGAATGAGCAATACGAAGTCTCACAAACGGTGTAATCGAGAAGAAAAATGGCGCAAGATGGGAGAGAGACCTAATTTTAATCAATTCCTTCGTCTTGCTTCCTCTTTGACCTTCACGTCCTATCGCCTATTTAGGCGTAGTTACTAGTGGTGGATCTTGATATGCCGGGCCGACAGCCCACGACCCTTCAATTTAGGAAATCCGGAGAATATGGGGATATTGTAACATAACGGCTGAAATGACAGCCGTAGCCAAGTTTCGCGGGAGATACCTAGCTAGCTCTTGTTTCAACTTGATTCTGCGTGTAGCCATCATCTATACGCAATACCGACTAGAGTACCAAGACTTACTCTACCAAAGCACTGCTATAGCCCGCCCACCGGTGTATTAACCGCGCTAATGCCAGATCCCATACAAGTATAACAGATATAGAACTTTTAATTGGACATTATTAGATTCTAATGAGCGTGATTCAGTGAACCAGCCGGCAGCATAAATCTACATCACCGTATCCTCTTGCAGCGTCAGACACGTCATACTCGTCCACCCCGTTATGAATGCACCGTGGTATGTGGTATCCCCTATTATCCCCTCCCTTCCATTATTCAAAAATTGGACCCAACCCCTTTTGCGTAGCTATCGACAACGCATATCCTTCGAATTCCGTATATAAGTTTAGATGGTTTAGATGTTTTAGATGACATTTCCCTTGACCTGCTTGAAGTCCTTCACCTTGATGTCTCTCCACATAGCGGTGGCTACGAGACCCACACCGGTGATAGCAGTGGCAGCGACGAACATCCACTTGAGGGAGTCGCCATAAGCCGCAATGATAGCTTCTCTGGTCGCCGAGCCAACGGGGTAAGAGAGCTGCTGCGAAAGGTCGCTGTAGATGGTGAGGAGATCTGGCTGAGACTCTGCGGGCAGGTACTTGGCCAACGCCGCGGGGAACAGGCCGGTCCAGATGGCAGCAGAGACGGTACCGCCAATAGCACCGCCCACACTGCTGAACATACCCTCCATCGCAAGAACGACGGCAACGTGCTGGTGAGCAGCAGCGGCCATGACGGCCATTTGCTCGCCAATAACGCAGGCACCACCAGCGAATGCGTACAAGATTTCACACATGATAATCCAGCCAAGGTGGGTGCCGGGCTGTCGGAAATGGATAAGGAGACCGATGCTCAAGATGGTGACAGGTACACCGAAGTAGAGAGTGGTCCACTTGAAACGACCAGTGTAGCGGATCGCGAAACCGACGATGAATGAGAAGAAGCAGGATCCCAAACTGTAGATGTTGCTGATATAACCGGTCTGTGTGACGTTCAGGTTAAGAACAACCTGGAGGAAAGACGTGAAGTAGGCAGTCCAGATGTAGTATTCGACGAAGAGAACAGCGGCGAGAATGCAGGCACCAAGGACGGTTCGGTCCTTGAGAAGCTCCCAAGGCATGAACTTGACGGGGGCGAACCATTTCTCCCAGACAACGGCTCCAATCAAGAGTAGGCCACCGAAAATGATCAAGCAGATGGTCAATGGGTCCCTCCAGCCATAGTACTGGTACGAGTAGATGTTGAAAGGGAGCAAGAAGAGCGCGAAACCACCGGAAACTAGGATAAGGCAGATGACGTCGAATTGCCAGAAGTAGTACTTGATGCTCTCCCAAGTCGTTCGGCCGCTGGGGGTATAGACGATCAATCCAGCCCTCTTGGCCTTAGAGTAGTTCCATGTGAAGAGGAAGAACAAAGGCAAGCACATAATCGGTGTGATGATGGAGAAAATACCGAATCCCCATCTCCAGCCAATGCCGTATAGAATGCTCTGGGACATGGGGCTGGTGATCCAGACTGTGATGATATAGGGAGATGAGACGAATGCCAACATCAAGGCTCGGTTCTTCAGGCGAGAAGTATCGGCAATGAAAACTGATAGGGAGTAGCTGATTCCATTGTATCTGTTGATAGGTTATTTGTTAGGTGGCCCAATTGGAAGGCTAGAAGGGGGGTGAGTACTAACCCAACCCAGTAGAAGACCTGCGCAGCGGCATAAGTCTCGACGTTGTTGCAAGCCGCCATCATGACAAGACCTAGAGTCATCAATAGGACGACGAGCAGGAAACCCTGAGGACGACCCCAGATATCTAGGATCTTAGCTAAGGTGAGCTTCGAAACACCTCCGATAATGCCGGACATAACGCCGGTGGTAGCAGTCAAGGAGTGTAGGGCAAATGAACTCGTAACGTATGGGGTCAAAAGCGAGCTCATTCCCGATTGCATGGAGTCGACGAAGTAGATAATCCAGATGCTACATTTTGTTAACTCGCGGATCCACGGACATTGGCTACTTGTTTTCATAATAGTAGCCGCATAGCATTTACTTACAAGGCATAGGCTAGGATTAAGTTGGATTTCGACCAGACTTTGGTCGTAGCTTCCATCTTCTGGACACCAGCCTGAGCGTCAGCGTCAATGACATCGGGGTCGGACTCGGCATCGCTATGATGGGGTTGGTTATCGGTAACGCCAATCTCCTTGTCGTTGGAATCCGGAGCTGGTTTCTCTTCGACGGGCACCTCCATGGGCCGGGCGAACCGGGCGAGCGGTCCTCTCATCATTTTGCTAGATTTGAAGCTAAAAGCTGAAGTTGAATTTGAACAAATCTAAATCGATCCGATATCGATATTAATACCGGGGTGTCCAAGACCTGTGGCGTGTAACACGACTTGCTATTGGTAACAATTGCAAGCCACTTCGGTGAACGCGAGACCTCTATATACCCTTATATACCCATATATACCTTGATATATATAAGAATATACAAACGAAGCAAAGCTTCTCGGCCGGGAGGTGTTGGGATATTGGCTGGTGAGAGGGATGAAGAAGAAGCGAGAGTAACCTTAAGGCGGGAGAGATCTCGCTATCCTTATACTCTAAAGCATTGACGGAAAGCGTAGGTGGGAAAGGCGCGCACCCGAACCTTGATCTCTGGACCTGGCCGTTCACGTAGCTAAAATAGTGGGACTCTGGCGACCGAAGTGGAGGTTCCTTCCTTTGGTAGTGGTCGATAAATTTTGCATACGGTACCTGTACGTAGTACATGGCTTTTGCTATAGTTAGAAAAAAAAAATCTCGGCATGATAAAGCAATAACCCATACCTGAAATGGTTGACTGTCCCGCGATGGTGGCTCTAAACTAACAAAAAGCCATACCTAAAAAAACCATCTCGTTCCACTCCTTTTTTTCTTTATTTGAATAGCGATATTTACGTAAAACCATCCCTCTCTCTACCCCATGCCTTGTACCTGAGCTGAGATGAAGGAATCCTTAGCAAGGTGTGGTTGCGTGAGTTGGTCTAGAGAAGGGCTAGTGGAACATCGAATCAGTACCAAACGGGGAAGGTTGTTCGGGCAATCCAGGCAGTTTAGTGGAACAGTCAGTTCAGCGAGGACGACGGTCACCTATTCCCTGCCAAGCTAGACTTGATCCGGTACACTAGCCGATCAGATATTCTGAAAAGCGGATCCCTGCGAAAATTTATCTTATCAATCAGTACCCATCAGCTCAACCTGCGTGACCAAAAACAACACTAAGCAAAGCTAATAACGGGATCACATTCTCGATCTCGTTGGCGTATCCCAATAGTCCGGGCAGCATTACGTCGAGACCGTTACAGGCTTAATGCGAAAGTCCACTCTTTCCATCTCTGCGCGACTTTCACGGCCGAGAAGTGTGTATAGTCCATAAACGTTAGAGCTGTATGTAAGACAGATGCGACTGGTTGAACCGCGAGACTAGCCGGGAGGCAAATCAGCACATGATTTTTTTTTCTTTTTTTTCAGATCTAGAGTTCTAGAATAGACGCGACGGCGAGCTTCTTTCTGGAGATCACCGATCACTAATACATACTTGTATGTGTGTAACGTCTAGCACTGCCGACGTGGACTATGGCGTAAACTCGCTGTGGAAATCCAATGGATCATCCGACTGACGACAACCTGCTTGAGCTGAATTTAGCATCTGGACCGAGCTTACTTTCACGATCTCGTGAAAGAGCGAAGGAAGTTGGCACTAGGTCATCTGATTTCTTCGAGATCATCAAAACGGCCGAAGGTTGTGTGGTAATTGTGTGGTAGTTGTGTGTTAGTGTAGTGCGACCTCAGGATTAAGTCGGGTAGCGTTATCCCTTCTCCTGTTCATGCAGGGCACGGACCATATAGTGGACTTTGCTCAAAGTACCGGTACATAAACCCACTTATCTCTAAGGCTTTAATTGGTGGCTTTACCGCAGCTCCGTGGCAATCGAACCAATCAAAGCAAAGTAGCTTACTTAATGAAGCGCTTGCCACGCCAGTCATAGGCCAGGCATAAGAAGTACATCTTATTACATACAAATCTCAATACAAATCAATGTACCGCTGATACTACATACATATGTACGCAATTGAACTTGAAGAAATTCAACACGATATTCAACGTAATATTCAACCAACGCGAACACATCGCATCAATACAACATATATATCAATTGAAAGCGCTTTCACAGCTGATTCGAATGAATTGCATTTGATTAAATAATACCTAATATCAAGCAAGCTATGAATCATCGAAAACGCGCGTAGGTATATGTATGAAAAAAGGGTATCACGTGACTGACACGCTTTCGATGTTTACCTAACATTCAAGCTAAACCAGAGACATTAAAACAAGATCTTAAATACTGTAATTATACAGATAGATAGCGCTTTCAAAGAGCTTTCGAACAAGCTTATCGCCAAGGTTCAAGACCTAGAATTGAATGAGCTATGGCGGGAAGAAGATACGTGATTACAACGCGTAATGCAAGTCCAAAAATGGATACAACGGTGATTGTTAGGGACTTCTATACTGGAGACTGCTGTACTGACCTAAATAGCTTAGATATATCGATGAAATCGTTGAATAGCTTCAAAAACGCGATTGCAATAGAAATAATAATAATATGGGAGGAGAAAGAAGGAGAGAAACAACAATTACGCGTTGACGCGGTATCATATTTACTTGATTAGTCATAATTGGATCCACTTAATATAGCCGCGGCGCGTTTAGGTGGGTACAAAAGGTACAAAAGAGAGAAGTAACTTGACAAGGATTAAAAGTGGGACGAACAGGAGAGGGGATAACGGGACCGATTAAGTCGCCCAGTCCTGCCAGATCTGACAGCTCGTTACCACTTCTGTAAAACCGGACACCAACGGCGTTGGACGAAGCAAACAGGAGATGCCGATATTGCGGCCAGAATTCGGAGTAACCAAGATGTAGTATAGACTGTACTATGTAGCAAGTCTCGACAAGGTAACAGCCCGGTTTATGATTCGTGCCATCTAGAAAGGCTACATAGGAGGATTACGTGTACGACGTCGTATACCAATCATGAGTTGCGAATAACAGGACTGAGGACGGGTATGCCATGCATATGCGGGCTAAGGTTCTCATCCCTTCCCAAATACCCCCATCTCATCTCCAGTGGTGTGGGCGTGGGACTCGTGGGAGTGGACCATATAAGATTATCAGATTCCATGCGATCTGATGAAAGGGTGGTGTGGGTTGGAGCGCGTTGAAATTGAGGTGGAAATAAAAAATAAGCCTTACGCTGGTTACAACGGGCAGAACGGGCTAGCTGACTAGCGAGGACAAGCTTCTGAAGAAAACTAGTCCCAATTTGGGTTAGGCTCCGTAAACGACCGCAACGGCGCTTGACCCTATTTTATGAGCCGATCTCAGCACGTGACCAACCTTTTTCTAGCTAGATCCAACTTCTTGAGTTTTTTTTAGGTTTAGTTACTTTAGGAATAGTTCGAAAATCAAAAATCGGAAAAGCTTTATGTCGACCCACGCGATTTTCGATTGACGATTAACGATTGACGGTTGATGGCATATCAATCTACGATTTGGATACCCAGCTCGACCCTTCCAACATGTCTCAGAAACCAATTCGTCTCCCTCCACTGAAGTCGCTGCGAGTTCACAACCCTAATGGTCAGCGGGAGAGACCATGTGTGGCTCTCATGTCCTCCGTCTTAGGTATGCGCCATCAGCCTCATACTAGATATATCCCATCCTATATTATATTCCCTGCAATGGAGCAATGTCGTCGCATAATATTGTGCCTCAACTGACTTTCCGACTTGAATAGCTTGCTGGGCGTCCACAGGACACAACGCGGCAGGGTGTGCAAGCATTGAGCAAGCTTTGCGAAATTGCATGGACGCACCTCCGCCCCCGAAACCGAAATCTAGCGAGATCAACTACCACCTTTCCCGATTTAAGAATAGGCTCACATCTGTGGAGAAGAAGAAGAGATAATAAGCCTCAAATAAGAAGATCTGATATAGGACGGGAAGAGCTATTCCTCCGTCGTGGTATAAGAAGATTACTACCTATTACTGGATTCTGGCGCATCAAGGCCGAAGCAGTGAACAGGAATAGTTGCTGTCCTGTACGATAATGGAACAAGCTATTACGGCAGGAAGACATATCTCCTTTCAACAGTAAAAGCATGAACCGGCGTTCTGGGTTGACCTGCGAGGAAGCCAGGTCTAGGCTGAAATCCTAGAGGTGGTTTTCAACCACCATGTACTAAAAGTTGTACATTGGACTAATGCCGTTAGGAGATTACGAATACACAAACGAATTAACTATGAATTGGCATAGTGGTATTTAGATGTTCATGCTCTAAGATGCCAATGACTAACGGCATATAACTCTGTAAAGTAATAAAGGGTATCAGCTATAATGACATAATGTCATTACAACTCCATCAACCCCCTCTACCCCTTAACCACTCCACCCCCTCAACACAAGCAGGGTAAATGCAGACTCTGGTAGTTACTACAAGTCTTCCCGCTCGGCGTCTCACTCCCCATCTGCAAGTAAACCTGCCAATAGCTCCCGCTCAGCTGACACACCAAGAAGTTGAGCTGACGCCCAAAGCTGCTCCCCGTCGAAGTGATGATCGTGTCGCCCTCGAGCGCCCAAGCGTCTGTCGAGCCCGCGTCCGCAAATGTCAGCGTCTTGTAGGACGTCGAGTCGTCCCCGATGTTCAGGTATGCTGATGTATTGGTGCTCTGAATCGTGGAGCCGATGTTGAAGTACTCGCTGCTGGATTCCGGACCCATCACGGGGATTATTGCTGTTATGGGATATTAGTATTACCTAGCGCTTCTGCTCTGTTCTTGATATGCGTAGTAGAAAGATGAGCCCGGTGAATAGAATGGTGAAGAGCGTTGTGATGCGAAGGTGAGACGAAAAGGATGGGGACATACGATCCTGGGGGTAGGCTTGTAGATAGTAGTGAAAAATAGGAGATGTCACGGCGCGGATCTGCTCGGGCTTTGCCACCGTCGTTGGGATCGCCGCCGCCACGAGCAAGAAGATACGGCTAGTTAGCGATGGGAACATGATATTAAGTAGTGGGAAGTTTTCAACAATGTTTATGGACGAAAACGAATTAAGCGTGAGGTAACGGCACAAGAAGAGCTACGTAGGTAGTTACATAAGAGTGTAGATCGAGGATAAGAAATCTTGAACGGTGAATGATCATCAGAACAGGCTGACAGGTATACCAAGTTTCGTGTGCCACTGGCTCATTTATACGGTTCAACTCTGTTTTCACTAGATGCGACGCTGCATACATAGTCTCATAAACTGGGAATGGGGAGAAGGCAATGAGGGGACGAATAGTATAGAGCCAAGTAGACGAAATAGGCAAAATACGGAAGTGCATTTCCGCCCTTAACGGAGATAAGCTCATTCCTATCCGGCTCATTCAACGCCATATTTGAATAACAAGAACCTTTATTAGGTGTACTACTTAGCTATATAGGCGAATTGGTAGAGCTAAATGTAACAAGTACAAGATAGACGCGAGACAGTTTACGACATCTTCATTGTAGCCTGCCTATATACGGCAGCCACCTCTCAGAACTCTCAACCTCTCCTTAACACTCTGAGTAGGATTCACCAGTACATTCGTCGATGACTTGGAAAAAAAAAAGTCACGGCTTATTAGCCCCGTCAAGTCTGACTCACATTACACCGACAGTATGAAGCCCTAGCTGTACTCCCCGCCAATGCTGAAAACAATCCTCTTGCTCTTTCATGCTTGCGAAGTCAGATGCGCGAAACAGCAGAACCGCCATCCTATCTTAACTAGCGCCGATCCGTGCAAGGGGTCAAAGTACGAAATCTCTTATTAATCTCCTATAGCTCCCTAGAGGCCAGCAGTTGTGCTGCCAAATCCTGCCGAAAATCTCGAGCCTTGATAATCGTTCGTGCCACAAAGTATGAAAGTGAAGTGATAGTTGAACGCGTTGTAAAATATAGTATTTGGGTAGAAACAATGATGCTTGCCCATGGTGCTTCAAAATAGGCCTGATGATGAAGGCTTATCCATAACGATCGGGAATCTCCTGGTGTAGCACCTGAACTTGTAAAAGAATGTCGGGCTCCTTTAAACCTGGCAGGAACCCAAAGCCAGTTCCATCTATGATCAAAGAAAGATCTGGTATCAAAAGTATGTGCAAGAATCGTAAAATCATGAAATGAACGTCGTCTAGTAGGTCTGAAAGGGAAGGAAATGGTATCAAGCTGCGGCGTATTTGCTGCTGGCGTGTAGCGTATCATTATTGATAAAGTCCAGATTAGTATTATGTCTCGGAGTTCTTGAAAAAACGTCGAGTCTTATCCGTGAGGATATTTTGTTCGAAACGTCTTTTCAAACACCTTCACTCAGGCTCTTCGTTGCATACTCAACTGGTATCTCCGACGCAGAAAAGTTCTATTTCTCCAACGCCGCCAGAGTATATATCCTGCACGCCCTCGCGCCACTCCGAGAATGCAATTTGGATATCGTCATCGCTCTCGATTGTTACGGAATCACCATCCTCGTCACGATACCGCAATTTCAGATTGCCCTTAGCAATTGAACTATTAGTGAATCGTCCGAGCTTGGAATCAATGCGGTCCCTGAGTGATTGATACGAGGTATTAAACGCAGCGACAAGGGTGAAATATGTTCCATCGTCGCAGTTGACCTTGACCTTCAGTTGTGCAGGAATCGGCAAATCCGGACTCGAAAGCGGGTTGCCCTGTGTAGCTGTGCCGAGAGCTGGCGATACAGGTTGTTGGTTGTTGAGATTCAGTGGCTGAGGTGCAGTTGTTGCCGGCGCAGGAGTAGTCTGTCGGGGGTAGACAGGTTGAGTAGGAAACTGCGACATGGTCCCTCCGAACTGACCAGATTGCTGAGTCAACCTTACGTCGCGTTGGACACCTGGACTTTGGGTGCTAGTACGTACTGGCACTTCCTGCCTGGGGGAGCCGGTTTGGGATCGCGGGATATTTGCATCATGTGCCGGATGAAGATGAGGTGGGATTCCAGGTACAGCAGGGACAGGGGTACTATTGTTAGTTCTACGGCCATTTGGCTGCCCGTTGATGTCAGGTGTGCTATACGACCGACTACGTTGCTGCTGGGTTAGTGTCTGAGAACCCGAGGCCATTACAGGTAACGAAGGTCCTCTAGGGTTTCTCCCGCTCATCGGAGACGGGCCGTCCCTCGAAGGAGCTCGTGGCATAGCGGGTGCAGTGTACCGGTTATTATCTTCCCAACCAGCCTGGGGAGTTCCAGTTCTTGGAAATGGGAATTGTCCATTAGGCGCAAACATGGTACTCTGCGTACTCGTCCGCGATGATGCAGGCGATTCCGCCGTGGGTGAGAAATACGACTCACCAAGACGAGTGCTGGGGGACGGCGCGCCACCTTGTGTCTGAAGACTTAGCGGTCCTGGAGGCGCTGGGAGAGGGAAACGTGGTGGCGGCGCCCTGGCGATGCTTGCCAACGACTGGGCACTCTCAGCAGTTGCAGAGCGTGCCCTTAGACTTGTACTCGATGCATTGCGATTGGGCATGACTCCGCCAGTTGATACAAAGCCCATACCGGGCGGCGATACCTGTGATATAGGCGCTTCCTCTTCCTCTTCCTCCTCTTCTTCTTGTTGTGCGTAGGGATTCTCGAGGTTGTTCTGGCCTTGCATCCAGGTAAAGGCTGGCGTCGTCTGGTCAGGGCTCGTGGCTGAAGCAGGTGCATTTTCCTTTCTCTGCGCGACTAAGCCTGTCTCCCACTTTTTCATCGTCTCTTCGTTAGAGAACTTGATGATAAAGTTCTCCACGCCGGGGTCCCCTTTCCACCATATCTGCACAGTGTAGGAGCCTAGAAAGGTTAGGTCGAATTTTCCAGTTGAAGCTCTGTATAGCTTACCTGGTTTTGCGAATGACAAGACCTCGGTCACGTTCGTCATAAATATCCGACCCTTTAGCTGCAATTTGTTGTTTTTGTTAGGAATCTTTGGAGCGGTCTTGTTCTTGTCTTTCTTTTCCTTGTTTTTGTTCGGCTGCAGCTCCTTGCAGCAGAGGAGAATACATTCGAATAAATAAATCTCGTACTGAACGGTATCAGCATACTCCTTGGTAGCAGATTTGACCTTGACGAAACTTACGTCCTTCTCCTGATCGCTACGGCCAGTGACAACTGTGTATACACCGTGCAATAGCAGTCTTCCAAAAGATTCCACTCTATGATTCTTCCAGTCATCGACCCTACGTATCAAGTCCTCCAAAGCTTCGTCTAAGAGGTCGCGATCAACTGCCTGATTCGCCTTTGTGAGGACTCGTTCTGCCGCGTCGATACCGCCGGTTAAATCCGCCTTAATGGTGTCGTCTTCGCACTTTTTCAGCAAGGACTAGTATATGTTAGTGCCATCGAGTCAAGTAATAGGAATGTGTCTTCAAACCTTCAATAATAAAGGATATTTCACCAATCGCTGCATCGGTTTCAGCAGGAAACTATCCAATGTGTTGAAATCGAACGAAACAGGATGTTCGGCTAGTTGAATTTTGTCAAAGACCTGGTTGGCGATCTGGCCGGCTTTACGTTGATTTGCAATGAACGGCTGGTAGATATCGAAGGCGTCCTCGTATGTGAGAAATGGCGCGCCCCATCGTTGCGATTCTTGCGGCATTGAATTGGTAGTTTCGACGCGAATCAGGAATCGTCTCTGAAAATCCAGGATGGAGTTTATGTTCAGGAATATTTGATGGATGATGTCACCAGGAATCACACCCTTCTGCTCTAACGTTCTCTTCAAATCGTGTAAGTTCTCAAGATCTTGCACATATTTCCGCTCTGTGTCAACTAGTTCTTGGATAATGTGATCGCGATACGTCATCCGAGATCCGGGAATGACAGGGTTGATATCTTCCGGATATGGCTGTAGGAGAAACCCACGTTGCTCGGCGAGGTCTAAGACGCGATTCACGACTTGGATAACCTGTTTGAAAGAAAGATTAGTTTGCCAGCTCGTAACATACAATCGCCGAGTCCGATCGCGTGTACAAGAGTCGAATACCTCGGGTGAAACATACCTTAACAAAGCCAGTAGTATCGTTACCCATAAGATCACTGATGACGAAAGACTGAGAGGGTGGGATCTCGAGTCGTTTCATGCATACCTCAACAAACTTGAAGATAGCTAACTTAGATCGTTTATTCTCGCTGACAGATGGGTCGATTTCTAAGGGGACCTCGGGTTGCAGGCAATTGTATACGGTGAGCAGTGGCAGACCTGTCCGCAACAGGTTCCATAGTGACTCGACCGGGCCATCCTCATCGCCGGGTGCAGAGAGAGATTCGAGGTGAGTCTCGAAATTAGGGACTCGTGCTAGTCGCTGTCTCAATGTGATACAGATCTGGTATAGTGAGCGGGAAGCATCCGCTTTCTGGTTGATAATGTTTGTAGTAGGCACAACATTGCCATTGCTCCCCGGAGTAGAATTCGACATGGATGTAAGCGAGGAATTCGACGAGTTAAGGGCTGTCGAACCGGACAACTGGCTTGTGCGAAGGCTACTCATAGAGAGAGGACCGTACTTGTTGTCGGCTGGGAATACGGGGGCCGTGTTCGTCCGTAAAAGAGCCGGAGCATATGCCATGCTCTTCAGCCCATGCGAGATCCGCTGAGCTGGGCCGTGCTTTAATGGCTAGTAAGTGTCGGAGGACTTGATTGGGAGTACCAAATTTATCGGACAAAGTGGGCGCGGCGGGGTGTGTAAGAATTGGGTTGGTGAGATCGCCGCAAGAAATATTAGTGAGGTCGAGAGTAATCCTTGAATTCTATACTGTCGTTCTATGCCAAATCATAAGGCGAATCAATGGGAATTATCGTGCTCGGAAATCTACGATCGTATAATGCGAAGGTGAAGACGGATGAAATGACTCCTCTTTTGCCTTTTACTTTTTTCCCCTAATGTCTGTCTGTTCTTGTTGCCTTCTCCGTGAATCAGCGTCCGTCACGCGAACTGTTCCAAATATTCTGCGCCTTCCTTTTTTCCCTTTTCTCTCAGCGCAGGAGGATGAGGGATGAATAAGCAGTCGAATGTGGAATATTTCTAAGAGTCGGTATAGTGTTTCGAATTGTGAATAGGTTACTATAATAGTATGGTGACTTGAAACATCGAAAGTCGAGAGGGTCGCAATTCGCAAACTCGGGCGGTTATAGGTAACCAACGTTCAACTCTGGAAGAGTCGGGTGGGCTGGCGCCTCTTTCTCTTCTGCCGATCCGATTGTGGGTTGCGGACTGCGGATTGCGGATGGCGGATTTTGGTGCAGGTCAGGTGGGCGGTTGCAGGTCCTGTAAGGTGCTGTACCTACATAAGGCTATGTAAGATTGAAATAGTCGGGTTGGCTAGTTTCGTGGTTCATCTCTTGTGTGTTGTGGCCTTCTCGATTTATCGACGGTGTGTGGATTGCGAAGGACAGATTAGGTAGACTGGGGATTGGATTGTGTGAATGGTGTGAATTGTGGTGGATAGGTGGGTAGTGGATTGCGACGGAATGCGGATTGGTTTTGTTAGGTTTGGGTTTGGGTGTGCTGGGTGCTGGGTGCTGGGTTGCTGGGTGGTGTAGGTTGTAGGTTGTAGGCTGTACTATGTAGGTTGTAAGGAGTTGACGATCAGGAATGATTCAATGACCAAGTTGTCCCAAGTGGGTTAGTTAATGTTACATACCCGGCAGTTTTTACCCCCCCTTCTTACCTTCTATTCTTCATGGAAAGTGGAAAGTGCCTTCTTTAACACTTATTAAATTGAGCAAATTGCCAATGCTCATTTAAGTTTTCATTCTTTCCATATTTTATGGGTATTAAGGTTAAAGTAACGCCATATTTTGATGAATAATACAGTATATTTTTCTTAGGTACTAGGTATTTATCGTGCAAATCTCATCTTGCAAAGAACACACACTATGCACATGCCTACTGGGTACTATTAGAGACTCAGTATCGACAAAATCGAATACACCGCCAGTGCTGCAATCCCAGCTTGTGCCTGGAGATTATTGAATCGTACCTAGGCGCCTAAAGAAGTATCCACATACGGCATTAAGAGGTACCTATGCTGTACGGAGGCATTTTGGGCACCTAACCTACACCTAACCTACTTAGGTACTTGAGGTGCGGTAAAGCAACGATGTCTACCTCTATACCAAACCATAGGGACTTTTATGTCACCGAAGGGGGACTTGAACAAGCTCCCGCAATTGGGCATTAATCGTGATAGACTTTGATTGTTTCAAATTAGCGAACCCCCGTTGCTATTCCTGAAGGGGTTAAATCCCGTTGCACTGAGCAAGAAAACCTACCACGATCGACAAGCCTTTCCCGTGCTTTGCCTAGGCTCCTAGGGTCGATATCGTTGACAAACGACGGTGGATGTATTAGTGGTTATGCTATGCGTCCCCCACTAACGTTATAGGGAACCTCCAGGGCCACCTCGAAGAAGTATGCTTACTAGTATCCAACCTGTATCTGATACGTATATCCTACATACAAAAGGATCGACTTTGGCTTACGATGCTAGACTGCAAGCTCAGTAAGTAAAGGAAACAAAAAAAACGATGACGAACCGGTGGGCTGGACATCCCCAGGTATGTACGAAGCCTCACTGCAAGCAATCCTTAAAATATACCATAATTACATCAACTTGCGTAAATGCGACACGGGAATAGTGGTGCGGGTAGTATTTGTATTGTCTCTAACTCGCTTCAGCATTCACTTTTTCTTGGCTCCTCCTTACACAATGCAGTCAGCCATACGGGCACTCCACATAACAGGTCGGTCCATTTCCAACTCAATGTAGAGATTTTATAAAAGCACTAGATAAGTATACATATTTAGAAGATACTAGCTGTCGATATTCAAAAAAGTGCAAATGCTCTTGTAAGAAAATCGCGTCAAATTTCGAAAATGAATATGTCCCTTCGTCAGCATTAAAAAGGGGGTAGGGATCCTGATGAGCACATCACGATTCACCAGGCGGGGAGCTCGAATCCTGCAAGGCATATGGAGTGATCAGGGTGTGATGGAATTCTCCATGCATGATAGCCGCGAAGAGATAAGGTAGCGTAAGGATTAAGGACATAAAATATGGGACGACTCCTAAACTGGTCGGATATCGAAGTTCTGCGATGCTTCTATGCATGCTTCTCTCGACTTATTCAACATCACATGCTGAACTAGTTTCTATCTTGCATTCTTTAAAGGCTCTTATAACGTTATCTCTAACTACCTATTAATAACATGGTTAGGTAGTAACTATGTACTATTGTTAAAATAGTCTACCGAGGCTGTACTGATAATGGTTTCTTAGCTGAATGAACTCGGTCCTAAGCTTCATATTATATGATCACCTTTCTATAGCACGTATGAGGAAACTTGCATAAGGGAAGGTATTGTGAGGGTTAGTACTAATTATCTGACCCCAATGAGGGAGGTTATAGTATATAAAGGTTAGCCTATCGGGATAAACCGAGCTGCCGTTTTAGATCTCTAGTCGTTAGATATATCATTTATCAACCTGCTATATATACCGTACCTAGTAGTTGGTGCACTGGTGCGCCTATATACCGAACTGGCATATCCATCTCATCCATGTCATGATTCGTTTTCGCTCTAAACATGTCTTATTCTCCCCATCTCTTTGATACTTAGTGGTATCCATACCTAGCAAAATTTCTGTAAACATACGATGGAACGATCGACATTCGGCCGAGGGATGTGGATATGTACAACTGCTGGCGTTGGCTCTATTCAGCCTGTAGGCAGATGTATCGTCCACATTCGAGTTTATGGCCACAGGATGGAAATATTAGTGCTAAATATATGCCTTCCCACCTAGTACTATGTATAAGAATTGTCAGAGGTGTCATCCACAGATCTTCTTAGGTAGGTAATTGCTATGCTTGACTCGAGGTTATCTACATATGTACCTAGGTAATTACTTCAGTATTTCACAATAGAATATTTAGGAATATAAACCATATTATTCATTTTAGGTTTTACGTATAAAAATAAAATACCTAGTATTGTTCGTATGTAATTACCTAGGTATGGAATGGTTTGCGTTTTTACATGATGTCTTCGACGTACCTGCCTCCAGGCTAGGTCCCTACATGAAGGAACTGGAAGGAGTGACCCCTCACTAATCCTCTGATCCTGGCTTGCGTGGCACTGGGCAGCTGCTAGGTGGTGCCCCAGACTCTAGAACTTAATCAGTGGAGCCTGCCCTGTCAAACACCAATGGAGTCATCCATAACTTCCCGCTCAGGCCGTGGGTAGTCACATCAACTGTTCTGGTGCAACCTTGATCTTATTCTCTACCGCCCCAGTTCAAGGTTGCCCGGGTCTCTGACCAAATCTTCCTCAGATTTACGATTGTTACGATCACGAATCACCTAAGATAATTCTTTTGTTCATGTCTAATAACGTCAAATATTACTAATTGTTTTTCGTTGCCTGTTGCCGCATGGTATTTGAAATCGCATGGCAATTTTGGTCGGGGGGCAATACCCTACCATTCGTTTGGTCGCCTTATCTGCGACTCATATTTTGATACATCGCGACAGCCATCACAACCAATATTCGGCCAAGTCTGGCGCAGCGCGCTGTCCGCTGTCTTACTAAGTACTAAGTTCATGCTCCATCGCCTGTTACCGGCTTGCCAGCCTGCCAGCCTGCCTAGGTGTCGACTCCCCCTGCACCTCATTAACCTAACCCACATCGAATAAGACGAATTGTTCGAACTCGCAAAGATCCCATACCCAACAATCAACGAAACATCCATCACTAATCACAAGGCACGAGCCGAGTCTACTTATAATAATCCGATGGATCCTTTCTCTCCTGCCCAAGAACCCGATGAGGGTTATTCCGAGCATCCCCTAAATCCCTCCGATCCGGCCAGCCTTGTCAACAATGGATCACTGACGGCAAAGCGATCACCTGCCGATATACCGGCATGGTTGTCGGCTCAATTACCCACACTGTCGGTGCACCAGAAGTCTCGTAAGTTAACCCATTTCGGTTCCAAACCGGATACTTCTCCGTATCCATAATTGGATTCAAGTCACCGTCGTCACCTTTATTTTAATTTCCCTTCCGTCATGCCACACTGTTTACTTTCTTTCGCTGATGTGACCACTTAAAACCCGCAGGTCTGGCTATGCTCATCTTGAACGAACTACCAACTACCGTCATTGCAGATATCGTCATGAACGAGTTAAACCCCCGCCTCTATATCAATTTCGTCGAACGACTACCTCCCGAGATATGTCTCAAGATCTTGGGCTATTTGGACCCCGTGTCCCTAATCTACGTCGCTATGTCCTGTCGGGGTTGGTATGACCTGGCCATAGATCGCAAGTTATGGGAACGATTGTTTTACCTCGAGGGGTGGAAGGCTATACCATCCGAGATTATCGCCGCCGAGCAACGCATGAATGAAAACCTTTCCTCTCAAATATCCTCCCAGAAAGCTCAATCGTTCGAAGACGGTCACGTCAATAAAAAACGAGCCATTTCCGACTCGACGCCCCAAGACGACGAAGATTACGAGATGGTAGATGCCGATGCGTCTGTAGGACAGGAACCCGCAACAAATGTGTTTAATGTGAGTACTTCCTACTCTCATAAGCAGGGGGGTACGCGTATTGGAAAAACAAACGTGTCTAATATATATGTACAGAGCGCATTCTCTGTTCGTCGGCCGGGAGAGAGCGGTTCATCTTTCCAAAGTAATACTAGTGTCACCCAACATATGGGTAATCTAATGATGAAATCGCCTAGCCCTATGCCGGATTTCGGAGGACAACCTACTTCGCAGGTGACTAAAGGTAAAGGAAAAGCGACTGTTGAGTCCCTAGAACTTTCACGCCCGTTCTTTGAGGTGCCTGCCGGGTTGCCTAGCCTACCTAAGTCGACGCTTTGGATTTATGATACTAGAGACCGTCGGTACAAGATAAACTGGAAATACATGTATACGATGAGGCGAAGATTGGAGCGTAATTGGGATCGTGGCCGATTCGCCAACTTCCAATTGCCTCACCCGGATCACTTAGACGAGGGGCATAACGAATGCATTTACAGCCTCCAGTACAATTCCGACTATCTTGTTAGTGGTAGTCGAGATCGCACGCTACGGATTTGGAATCTACGCACACGCCGCCTCATACGACGGCCTCTCGGCGGCCACCAAGGCTCAGTCCTCTGCTTACAATTCGACTCGGATCCTGATGAGGATCTCATTGTCTCTGGAAGCAGCGACTCAGATGTTATCCTATGGAAATTTTCGACAGGTGAAATCATACAGCGACTTCGAAAGGCTCACAGGGAATCTGTTCTAAATGTCAAATTTGATAAGCGAATCCTCGTCACATGTTCTAAGGACAAGACTATCAAGATTTTCAACCGTGTTCCATTAAGACCCGGCGACTTAGGCTATGGCAGTTCCCAGGGCGTTAGTCCCGTGCCTATAAACTTGAGGAATTACGGGTTCGATGATTCCCCATTAAACCAAGCCGCCATTAAACAGCCGTATACCATGATTGCTTGCCTTGAAGGGCATGGCGCTGCCGTAAACGCTGTCCAGATCTGCGACCGCGAAATCGTCTCAGCAAGTGGTGACAGGCATATCAAAGTTTGGGATTGGCCCAATCAGATATGCCAGCGAACGTTCCTCGGGCATAATAAGGGTATTGCCTGCGTTCAGTACGATGGGAGACGCATAGTAAGTGGGAGTAGCGATAATGAAGTCAAGGTCTTTGACCGGGAAACGGGTCTTGAAGTTGCAAGCCTTCGGGGACATACCAACCTAGTTCGAACGGTACAGGCTGGGTTTGGTGATCTCCCTTATAGTGTAGAGCAAGATCGGCTAGATGCGAGAGCTGTTGATCAAGCGTACTTTAAGGCCTTAAACGCTGGTGATCTCCAAGACATGCAGTCGTTGAGACGACGGCCCCACAACGCGGGAAGCCGTCGGCCTGAGGATATCACGGCGTATGGAGCTAAGCTGCCTCCTGGCGGCGGTGGTGGCCCATACGGGCGAATAGTCTCCGGTTCTTATGACCAGAGCATCATAATCTGGCGACGAGATCGGGAGGGGGTGTGGAGGAATGCACACACACTTCGACAGGAAGAAGGCGCTGCTGCTGCTCTCAGACAATGTTCTAGTTCATCCTCGAGAGCGACTGCGCCATCAACGTCAAATCGTAATCTACCGACACCTCCTGCAGGCGCGCCGTCAGCACTTCCACAGACACACCCAAACTACACCCACATCGAGCATCCTATCATCGCCACCATCACTCCTCAAACTACTTCGTCCTACACCCAGATGATCGATAATTGTGTGCCACAAGGCCCGGCAGCTCTTGAACAGGCATTGGCAGCTTACCCGACGATGTTGACGTACCAACACCACATCCAGGCAGCCATCGAACGTGAAACAAACGCACTTGTGCGCTCACAGCTAAGGCAAGTTGTGAATACGGCTCTGGTCCGAGCGCAGATTGCGCAGAACCGTGCGAGAGAATCTATACAACGCGCGCTATCAGCAACATCCGGCGCTGGTGAGGCGTCGACATCGCAGCCAGGTCATCCCTCGACCCGACAGGCTGACCAGCCTACATCGCCGAGACAGTTGACTACTGCTGTCGCTAGTTCTGCTACTGTCTCGGCGGGTCATGGTATTGCTGGTAGCGGCGGTGGCCCGCCTCCTACGATCGCCAACATAACTACTCCACATGTCCAACAGCACAACCAACAAGCACAGTCGCAGCCACAGGTTGCAGCACCTCAGCCGCAAGCCCAGGCTCAGGGGCAGCAGCAGCAGCATCCTCATATCGCCCAAGCTGATACAAGCCCAGCACGGATCTTTAAATTACAATTCGACGCGCGACGGATTATTTGCTGTAGTCAGACAAGTACCATTGTGGGTTGGGACTTCTGTAATGGAGATCCAGAGCTCGAAGAGGCGGCCGTCTTTTTTGGGACAGTGGAATAGGGACTTTCTTGTGTTACGTCACTTCTATTAAACGTACTTTGTCAAGAGTTTGTACCGACGACCGCGGACATATACGACGCGAATGTGCTAAAGCCGGTCGTGGCAACTGTGAAATAGCATGTTGGAACTACGGTAACTAAAATAGAGTATAATAAATGATGATGATCCAATATCCAGACCCTGCTAAACCTGTGTCACCAACTCCCGCAACTCCTTTCCTTAGAATAATATTTGCATTTTACTTAAGTAGTTACTTCGTACGTACTCCTCGTATCATCACCGCGCTGCCTCCTGCACCTTGGAATTTGCCTCCGGCGGCTCGTCGATGAAATCAGGGACCTCGTCTCTCATGAAATCAGGCACACCACCAGCCTCCATACCCCCCTCCATCTCCATCTCGGCGCCTAGCAGCTCCAGCTCGGCATCGAGCTCGGCCTCGTCCACATCTTCGGGTACCTCGTAGCCACGACTCAAAGTCTCGTTGATCTCGTTACCGACGTCCATCAGATCCGCCATCTCATCCTGCATGCGCTCGATCTTGTCCAAATCCACCTTGCCGTACTGCTTCTTCAGCTCCTTCTGCGTCGTCTTCATCGCGTCCACCGTCGTCATCACGCCCGCTAGGTTGTCCTGCATCGTCTGCGCTTGCTCCATGTTCCACACTTGCGACTGCAGCTGGTCCCGCTGCGACTCGTATTGCTTGCGGCGCTGCAGCACTTTTAGCGCTTTGGATTTCAACGCGTTTTTGCCCGGCCCGTCGCGCATTTTTGACATTTTGGATTGGTAGGTCCCGAGCTCGGCGTTGAGACTGGCGATTTTTACGTCGAAGGAGGATATTCGCCCGTCGAGGTTCGTGATTGCGGTGTTGAGCGTGGGTTTGGGCGCCTTGGGCGCGCTGCCGAAGAGGCGGTTCATGGTGGGGGTGCAGGAGATGTGGTTTGGGTTTGGGTTTGGTTTGGTTGTTACGGATAGGAAAGGCGGGCGCGCGGATGATTAATAGGATACTGATGAGAGATGTATTCGTTTCAAGAATTTATGGTTCTGGTTAGAGTGTTACGCGTCGGTAGGGATATACGCTCTTGTCGTCGTAGGCAACTAGATACTAGAATGGCAATCGTAAAGCGGGATGTTCTTGTCTGCTGGCTTGGGTGATAATTGGATGTGCTGTTGGTGGGGCAGCAAGCAATGACGTCTCTTGGCGCTGGCAGCTGCTGCCCAGCTGATAGTTCCTTATGTCAGCTAAGAGCCATAACTTTATCCTAACTTCGAAATGCCAAAGTTTCAATCGCTAACTTCACAACTACCGAATATCACACACTCTTCTCGACTCGTACAGAAGGCCTTTTATCCTTCCGATACCTTTTCCCATGTTTAGTAATCAATTATTATCGTTCATCATTCCTAGATACTCATATATTGCCCTATACAATATACAACAAGATCATCTTCATCGCCCCACTTACGAACTTTCGTAGCTACTATGTGTTTGCTAATGGTGGTCGGGATGGATTGAGTGATTAAGTTCATGGAGTGAAATACATTCACATCTATGAATATAGAGGGAACTAATTGATAAATAAATATAGGCTAGGCTGTTTAATTTACACCTCGAGGGATTCTATGTTTCCAAGGTTGCGAAAAGAATCCCTAAACGCAGTCTAGGTCCGATGCCTTGCAGCTTCAAATACCTCACCCCTCAGCACTACTTTATCAATCGGAAATCGATGATAAGCAAACACACCCCTTCAGCTATACCGCAGTATGATGACTTGATGCGATGGGAGAGGAGCGGGGGGCAATATTGGGCTTACGTCAAAACCACTTTGTTGACCACCATCGATTCATGGTCGGATCCTTCCGTCCGGCTGTACTGAAACCTATTCTCGGCCGAAATATCTGACTGTATGGAATTACAGATGATATCCGAGCTTCTAGCTAAAGAGGATATGGAGAATGTTATAGGAGTCTGGTCGCTTGGTCGATACTATGCGGTCGGAGTAAAAGCGACTACGTGGACAAGATGTCTTGGGTCAATTTTCGAAGACTGACAATTACGATCGACATACAAAGCATACACATAGAAGAAAACCTTTTATGTAATGATTCAAATGATGGAAGAGAGGTAAGTTCTGCTATTTCACCCCGAACGTTGTCACCAAATAAAACAGACAGGCCTACTCAATGGCTGCTGAGCTCTGATGGTGGATACTTAATGTGAAATATAACGGATTGAAGAGATAGTTTCCTGGGAAATCGAGTGCGGGCTCGATGGAGGGATGAAGCAGAACCCACGATATTTTTCCACCTTCTAGGACGCCATGGATTCATTACCAACCCCGCCTCCCCAATCTCACTTTGGAAACAACACGCATAGTCAGCCCGCCGGAGAAAAATGGCCGCCGGAAAGCCATCTTTCCGTCCAGATATTAAGTTGTCTGAGGCGATTCAGCTTCTTAGAGGTTCCGGCAGCCCTTCGAGACGCTAGTTGAATGAGGGATTAGGAATAAGAATATGATTGGGCGGGCAGGACGGGACGGCAACCGACTAGACATTCGCAACCTGGGGAAAGAATGGAACGCTCATTCATAGGTAGGCTGGTAGGTAGGTATTCAGCATTTCATCCTGTTTTTCCGCGGCAAATGGTCTATCACTATATCTCTTACTCGCCCTAATGCTAAAACGAGAAGGTTAGCATATGCAGAGTATGCAATAGGAAGTGAGATGCTTCGCATTGCTCGCATTCCATGGAGATAAAATGGGGCTGAATCTAATGATGACTTAGTTCCAAGTTCTGGAAATTGACAAGTCGATTGCTGACTGCCATCCCATGATGCGGGAAGCTGCGCAAGTCAATTGCCCTTAGTTGCTTGTCGCGGTGAAGCGATCGCATCGTATGGATCTATTCCCATTGGTTGTATGTAAATGTAAGCATTCTCATCGAATTCCAGAAGATGCAGAAATTGCATGGCAATATTTCTTTTTGGGAACCGGTGAAACTCGCTACCAGAGACAGTTTTTGTTAAAGAGAAATGTTGTAATTTCGACGAAAAATGGCAACATCTCGACTACCGACCTAGCAGTCGCATATGCTAACATGGTCCTGATTAACGCCAAAATCCACAACCCAGAATGACCTTTGCAGGATTTTGAAATTTTGAATTATAAATTGCAGCAGTCAATTTACTTTTCGGAGAAAGTCGATGGCCTAGACCTGTCCTACATAAGCCATTTCCCGGGGGTTCTTCAAACGTAAACGTGGCGTCCGTATCGTAGCTTGCTTTTGGTACGCAGAAACCCCCAGAAACCCAACACAGCTTATTACGTCCTACCGGTCATGCAAGTTTAAAGCACCCTTTCATCTAGGCGTTTCTCGTTCGCCGGTCAGATGCATATCATAACATCTTCCAATAACATGCAGGTCCAAGCCCTCGTGTTGTGACATTTGACTAATAGTCTAGATTATCGTGGCCTGCTAGAAATATTGAGGGGTCGGGAACCTACAGCAATCAACTACTCGGCGAGCTGATAATGCCTGTCAATATACAAGTATGAATGCCAACCCTGCCTTAGGCACCTACTCACGAGGAGTGCATCCAGGTAAGGACCCGATTAATAGTACTCCGCGGTCATGCACGTTTCTGCAGGTCGACTTTTGGCTCTCAACTTTTCTTTTCGAGTATAATTTCCAAATTCGTAATAGAAACCTAGATCCTTGAACCGATTCTATCGAGCCGCATCGTCGGCTCCGGCTGTATGGGCCATGTGCGAAGGAGATGGTCTCCTAATAGGGGGTAACCTTACCCCTATCTCCAACAAAAACCTGATATTTCAACTTGGTTCCACAACACCAACACTGTTCGCCAAGTCTGAATTTCCAATTGCCGCTACATCGTAACTCGTAACACAATCAAGATTAACTAGCATCAAGAGACATTCTGACTATGTGGCGTGTAGAAATGTGAAGCTTTTCTTGGTGAGTTTAGGGTGCCGCTAGCTCGCGCGGCAATTAAAAGTCGCCTTAATCGTATGATCTGAAACCTCTTCCCTCTAAACTAACTGAACTATGTAAGTAGGTAATCGGCAACGGTTCTTGCCATGTCCATGTCCACGTCCAAGTCCATCCTCGAATCGGAGTTATTGCGTTCTCGAAAGGATTTCAAGGCTGGCGGTAGTGAGGAGCTAATTGTTCGTTTCGGCCGATAAACCGGCTACTGGGCGTGGTTGAATGGTTTTGAGCCCTCTATCTTGGATATTGGCTGCTTACTATCAGCTGGCCTTCGCATCGAACATGCTTACTTGGGAATAGTATCATGGTAATGTATGGTGGATTACGCGGCGAGTATAGTCGCAGAGGTGCCGTCTCGGCATGTAATGTCTCATCCGGCATTTTGATTTGCCAGCTGAGTTAAAGCCCATGTCATATAATATCTAGATCTTTATGACAGCCCCGGATAGCCGTCCCAGATCTCAATGAAAGGTTATAGACTACTATTGGTTAGACTCGATCTCAAAACAATATCATGTGTTGTTATAGCAGGGTTCCTTACCGCCCCTAAACCTTCAAGAGTATAGACTCTGATATCCCGTGTTGAGCTGTCATCTTTATCCGGTATTTTGATCAGCTTTAGGATCGTGTCCGCGGCTCGAGATGCGATTTAGACAAGGATTCTCCTACACCGCCATGGAGCTGTTGATCTAGCTAGATTTAGTTATCTAAACTTGACAATGTGTTCCGCGTTTTGGAAGAGTGAGAGACTAAGAACTCATCGAAGCTTAGAAGTCATGGGGAATGATTAGTTGATTTACTCCATGAGGCTTACATGGGTTCGTTTAGTGACCGCGACCTTGTCGCCAATCATGAAAGCTAGAGTGTAAGGCTGGTTGCGCCGCTCCTATAACTTGCGTTGGAGACAGGTTCCCAAGAGCGGCTATGACGTTGTATTCATATACGGTGCAACCACACGGTGGTTAACTGCCTAGTGACGCTGTGCGAGTCGTCCCTATTTCTTGCAGGTCAACCATTTAAATTTTGCGCTTATAAACTGCAGCTGCTATAGTAATATGTCGTCCGACCGTTATTAAGCATGTCTCATCGGTAATTAGCTGCAGAATCTCTTTGCTATCTCTAGTAACTTTGTTCACCACAACGGCCGCCTTGTGTAAGGGACAGATCACTGCACTTTTCTGCCTCGATCACGACCGAGTCTCTGGGTCAAAAACGGGTATTCCCGCCCACGATAGGTCATTTATGCAGCCTATAATGTGGAGTTAGGCTACCGGCACTCCCGGGGACTTTTGTCGAATATGAAATGCATGTCTCTCGACCATGTGGCTTGAGCTTGAGTCTAGAATGTGGTTACACGGGGAGAGCTGAAGGATGTACTGGGGGCACGGTCCTGCTTATTGGATGCGAGATGCTTGTCAGCACTTACCAGCGGTGATTGGTTGCTTGGTTCAGACCTAGTTAAAGTAATTTGTACTGCAGTGGCTTGCATCGATCATCGAAACCTGAATTTTCTCCATGACTAAACATATGACCAGGGTCACACGGTGAAATGAAATGGCCCTGTCAAAGAGATTGTGGTGGCGATCGAGACGCCTTCGCGGGACATTTCGAATTAGCTTTCATTTCGATCGGACAGATCAGTGCGAGATCACATCCGACACGGAACGCCATCTTGGCTAAGGAAACTAGGAAGCATGCAGCATCATGTCCGAAAGCGCAAGACTGCGGGTTTATAGGTAGCCTTGTACAACGAGTAGTCCTCGTAACAGATATATAAAGGCCTTCGAACCTCCTCAAAGTCCAGAGTTAGAAACAGCATCGCAGATCAACAATCCTCAGTCTTCAGTCTTCGCAACAATCTTCAGCTCTCTACAAGCACTTCAGTCTCTCTCTACAAACGAGTCCAACCCTCTCACAACATTCAAAATGCAGTTCAGCACTATCACCACTCTCTTCACTCTGGCCGCTGTTGCCGTTGCCGCCCCCGCTGAGGTCGCAGCTCGCACTGGTGGAACTGGCTCATGCAGCAACTCGCAGCCGAACGAATACTGCTGCTCTGGCCTCAACCTTCTTGGCTGCACTCTTAACATCTTGGGCAACTCCTGCGGTGGAACTGCCTACTGCTGTGACTCCAGTGTCACCGTAAGTGAAATCACATCAACTATGATGGTTTCTGACAGCTAACGATCTTGTGTTATTATAGGGATCTGTCGTCGATATCAGCCTCCTCAACTGCGTCTCCCTCTAAATGCCTATCGCTACATGGTGTGAGCTTCGCGGAGAACTGAAGTAACTGGGGAATTGGTTTGAGGAAAACGATGGTTGAAGGATTGAGTGCTTGGATTTGCTTCTATTCCGATTTGAAATTTGTCATGGCCTTGATCACACTCGCTTAGCTTCGGAATACTAATCACATACGTGATTCAACTCTTTATCATCTTGATCAGTGAAACTTGTAATGCGTCGTGAATCTAAACTGCTCTATGGGGCTCGGAGTATGCTGACTAATTGAACTCCTCATCCCCTGAACATGCTTAACAAGGTAGTAAATAGGTAAACGAAACGCCTCCCATTCCTCTGGAGACTCGATATTGAAAATCCAAAGGTATGACTTCCCGGACACAACTTTCACTAAGATGAACACTAACAACACAAGCAAGTCTTTGAAGATTCATAAGACTCTTACGAAGGCTCTGTGCCTTTACCTCAAGCCGAGCCCGCTTATTATGTTGGTTCAGGGGCTCGAAGCCGATCTGTAATAGGCCTTCATCATTTAATTCAGTAACTACCTAGGTACCTATGTAAAGTGAGAATAGTCCTAGGAGTCGGTTCATGAAGTAACGCCAAATCACTTGATGATAAGCGCTGTCAACGAACGTCCACATTCAAACTATCGGTTGCTGACTAATACACAAAGATCTCTGGAAAGGGGCTGGGTTAAGTACCTAGTAGATACATAGGTATCAAGTAGGTAATAAAAATCAATCTTGAAGTATTGATTTCGTACCATTCTAAGTGTTGTAGCTAGGCACGTATCTTACCCCTATTTTCGATTTAGTGCGACGCTACCTAAGCTGAATGTTTAAAGTGGATTAGTCAAACTGTATTGCTGCACGTGATACCCCTCAGAGTCAACACACATGCTTATTCAGCCACGAAAATTTACGTAATATCTTACATAACTCTGATAAAATAATCCGGTAAAAGTGTAACCATGATTAACTAATCTATTGGGCATGTATACAGAATAAATATATTAAAAAAAGGTTACAAGGTATCCAAGTAACATAGGATCAATTCGTACGCTTATTAATTGAAATGCTAACCACATTCACGGATAAGCTCTGTCAACTCTTAGAGGATAGTAAGCTCCTCATCAAGGATGTAAGGCTCCCACGACTTCCACGTGCCCTTAAGGAACACAAAACACACCCTTTCCCAAGAAGTAGTCTCCGTTGGAGAGCGTCTAAGGAGAAGACATAACGCACGTTCCGCGGGATAGCCTTCCCAGAATGTGTCTACCAAAGCGACACATAGGAGCCGAGATTCAAGTTGAGCACCTGAAGTCAAGACATCCCAGTCACTTTGAACGTCTAACTCCAATACCGTAGGTAAAGGGGGAGGGTATCCTGGGGGCAGTTGCACCGGCATAACTGTAAGATAATTCACCCTATCACCCCTAATTTTCCAAGTCGCATCGCCCTCATCCCACAGATTCTGCGCTATCTCCTTCCTCATATTCTGCTGCCTCTCCTCCACATTGACCTGGACAACCTTACTCCTAACCTTAAGGTGCGCCGAAGCAACCTTTCCAAAATCGCCATCAGAACCATTGAAGAGACACTTCGCCTCTATAACTTCCCAGATAAACCGCGTCTCCCTCGAAAGCGGCACGAACCGTATCTTCCCCGACACCGAGGCCCACGACCACGACGGCGCGACGTACTCCGCCGTCCTACGACACGGACCCCTCGCTTCCCAGAGAATGCCGGTATTCAATTGCTTACGCCATATCCCCCCGAGGTAATCCTGCCGCGGCGCCGGCACCTTACTAGCCAACCCAGCCAGGGCAATCATCCTATCGCTCTCGAAACTCAGGCTCCTAGTTGTGTAATGCTCCACTAGTTGCTGCCATAGCCACGCCGGCGTCTTCCACGGCATCTTCTTCGCCTTCTCGGGCTTGACTAGGATGGAGAAGTTCGCTGTCGGATCGCCCATGTCGGGCGGTGTTGGAAGACCGCAGTCGCAGTTGGCGAGGGTGGGACACTTCCACTTCAGCTCTGTCTCGGTGAAGTGGATGCGCCGTCGCGAAAGGCATTCCTCTTGGAGGATCCACCCGCGCCCGGAGAGTTGGCTTGGGGTTTGGTCGGCTTGGCAGAAGAGCTCGTGGACTTCGGTTGCGAAGTTTGCGGTGTTGGGGTCTATTTGCGTCTGGACTATTACCCTGGCTGGGATTTCGGATTCTTCGGTTTTGAAGTCGAGAAATCGAAGTGATCGTATGGTTTTCCTGTCTTTTTCATTCTGGAAGAGGCCTTCGTCGCTGTGTGTCGCCCGGTCCGCGAAGATGGTAGCGAATGCGTTGGAATATACGTCGGCCATACGGCTCGCTTCAGTCTCCCAGTCCTTTTCATCGTTTTGGATTATGCAGATGGAGTCTATCCAGATGTACTGGATTCCCAAACCTCGAGCTACTTCGATGGCTTCGCGGAAGGTTTTTGGAAATTCTTCAAGGGGTATGCCCTTACAGTGAGTAGATACATTCTCCTTCAACGTCAGAAGCCTCTTGTGCGAGGATTTCGGGTCGCCCCATCGGTGACTTAGAGCTAAGTAGCGGGCCTTCTCCCCCTTTTGGGAGAGGTGCAAGAAAGGTTTCTTTCCATCAAGCCCAACATCGATAACCCGGGTTGGTAAGTTTCCAAGGCAAGAGGGGTTAGATTTGGGACAGTTTGGGTGATTGTTTCGACAATCCTCGATGCGGTCTTGGATTAATTGGATGTCCCTATCCTTCGTCCGCAACATCGGCGATTTCTTTAGAATAGGAAGCCACTCTAATGATGGAGGACAATATCCTTCTATGTGAACCTATTAACACACTTCCTTAGGTAAGATATGTATGTTTAAGCATACCTCCGTCTAAGGCCAGTGTTACAGACACATGATCCCATAGAGATCCCGTCGTGAATCTGGGTTTAGCTGGGCCTACTGCAAGGTTAAAGAAACCGTAGCCACCAATTGAATCCACGCGCTCTATCGTTGGGTCATTGAGGTCGAGTTTCTCCGACAGTGCAGTGTAAAGAAGGGTACATGTTGCGCAGTGCCTATCGGAGGCCTGTCGAAGGGCGGCTGTACTGCAGAATCCCGGTGGCACAATCAGAGTTGTACAGACTGAACACCGAGAATTTAGATAATTCTTGACCGTCACCCCCATGACTGTGTGTATACAAGTATTAGCGAAACAATATTAATTGCAATCTTCAACGAAGTTATCGTCAGACACTGGATACCGATGAAGCACTGTGGAATTAGTGGGGCGGAGCATCACGATTCACGCCTAACTCAGCAGTGCTGACTAGGCTGGATCGCTAATCGTTATATTAATAGAAGAGCCAATAGAATTCTCGACGGATGTCTAATTCCTTGCACATAGGTAGACCTACCTAAATAGGCCTTATACGATACTTCGTATAGTTTTGGTAGGATTAGACCCAAGTTTTAAAGTTGATGCATTCCTTAATCTATATGCTGTCGCCAGCTGTCAATAGTCTAGACTGTATATCTATCGATCTAATACCTAGTGTAGCGTTAGCCACATGGATTATTTATGGTTCATGAGCCGTCTTGATAATCATTCATGTTCTGACATGTTGTTTTCCCAGATACTTCCTTATCCGGCTAACAAATATTGCCAATCCTTATGTAATGGCATCTTTCTTTAACCTAGACTTCCAAACAGGTTTACTCCGGAGTAATCCTCTATCGCCGTGATGCTCTATCTCTAGAGCCTCTACACCAACTTCAAAGTGGCATACGTCGATTGGAACGAGTTTTCACTCGTTATTGTGTGAGTGGTAGGGTTCGGCTTGGTATCGAATTCGATACCCACGTATTGGGGATATGCTTTTAATCTAGCCCTGCGTGCATGATTGATGATGCTGCTGCCAACTAACTCTTCATGACTTCGTCCTGTAGATGTGGATATTCAGGTGAAGACAGTCTCGGGATCGGTCTGTCTTGCCGGGAGCTATGGCGACTCACAATCCTCGATGGGTAGTTTGGCGGTCTGGTTGTTGTTGTAATATGTTTGAATCTTCCACCTCCTCATCATGCATATTCTTTCTTTTCAGACATAGCTGGTACTAGCGGTCTCTCTTGCACATGGCCCTCTTCTAGTGTCGGCTCAAACCAGCGCTCCTTCCTATCAATCCGCCCACACATACGTGGACCACATTGAGCGAGAACGCAAACCAATGTTAAGACTACCACTGTAATAACACATCCGACTGCAAGACCGATAATCAGTTGATTCTTAAAGTCGCTACCGACTGCTGCCATTTTGATGTCTTCTAATGGAGAAACTTCGAAGATAGGGATTTGGGTTTTGAGTGAATGGGAGACGATGAGATGAGTTGTGAGTGGATATCGTAATTTGTTTGACGTCAACTTATGGTAAAACGATGATCAAATGTGATATTTTGAATATAAACAAAGTATGAAGTAGTAGAGTATGGGTTTAGTCAAGAATTACTACCAAGGTTAGAGTCGACTAGTTCCCCAGAAAATAAACAGTCATAGATGGTAGCTTATATATATGAGCCAGTCTCTTACGCCTCTTTTCTGCAGCCGCCGGGGCTTGAGTCCTATTGTTCGTGTTAAAATACATACCTATAAATCTGTTGGTCCTACACGTATTTAAGGCTGCCATCACCCAAAACGTCGCTACGATCAGGCCTCGCAAGGATTATATTCTGGGCAACAGGGGATAGCTTTGGTAGGGCTGGGCTGAGCTAGACTTGCGCTGACGGCGGGTCGCGGTAAGCGAAACGTGCGTTGGGATCTTCAATCTATGCCTAAATCTGATTGGTTCCGATTGACGCTTGTTGGTGGCATAGCCCTTCCTTTTCAGTGGTTAACAGCGTACGAAATACAGAGGATCTATAAATAACCAAATATTGAAGAACGACAAGCGCGCAAAAATTCGGAGTCCATTCTAACTCTCAATTATTCGAATGAGTACCGAGGTATGTTGATAGAATCTGCTATAACTCGTTGAAGAATGATGAGACAAACGGAATAGTTAGGACAGGGATTTGTCTCTCAACCAACGGACGCGTGTCTACATGTGTGGACTTTGTGTGGACTTTTGTGTCAACTCTTGCGAGAAACGAAACTCGATGGTTTGGGATCGCTGCTGTTTGACACCTACTGGCGATGGGGTCTCCAACCCGCAATAGTCATAGCAGTCGGATGATCCTCTTTTTGGTAGTTGGTAACTAGTTCCTAGTTGTTTGTCTCGCAGATAGTACTATACGTACTTCGTACCATTCTTTAACGTTGGCCGCCAATCATATCTTATTCGACAAATTAGTTGAAACGATTGTGGAATACACTTTTGGTGTTCGGTCGAATTCTTAAGCCCGCTGAAGTTGTAGGCGAGACGTACTCCACTACCTCCTCACTGAAACAACTTCTGCAACTGCCCTTCCGCCAAGGATCCTGTAGCGAAACGTGTCTGGCACTGGGTAGTTCATACCAAAAAGCATACGTACGCACTGTTCAAGCTATTCGATGACGAATTTGCTTGCCATCTTGCTCAATTTAATCGTAGCTTGAGTCCCAATTTATGTAATATCGGAAAGTCTGCCGATGTTTTGCATGAAATCATCTGAAGAAGAATGATCGTCAAAACAGAAGATCCGATTTGGACTTTGCGGACTTTGGTATTGGTAATTGTGTAGGCATTTGATAGATTGGAATGAATTGGCGAGTATTCGCTCGCAGGAGACAAGGAGAATGAGAGTTTCTATGCTAATCACGTGAATATAAGCAATTGATAAGGTAGACTGTACTTTATGACGTCACCATCTACCTGGTAGCGAAACAAGGAAGGCATGGAAGAGTCTTTGGAGCTTCCCTTCCCGGCAGTCTTTAGACTTTAGAGCTGTTTAAGCTTAAAGGGAATGATGTAAGTATTTCATCGATATAAACAAAAAATGATCTACCTCGGAACCTAACCATACTAGAAAATTAAGCAGCAATGAGCTATGTGTTCAGGTCGTGTTCCCGACTAGCAGCCTCTACCTTACGGCAGTTTCCTGGTCACCGTCTTGGTAACACAAGTAATAATACAGCTTCAATTCGGCGGGAAAGCCCAGTACCTATTTCGCGGCGGCCTTTTACAATAACCCGGTATACGAGAAGATCTCAGCTCAATACTGAGACAGCGAGGGAAACAAATCAGAGAGATCAAGCTGTACATGAGAACGAAGTAAAAGCTGGAATTGAAGATGCTACGAAGCAGCAGATCAGGCGCCCCTGGCAGAGGGAAGGCGCCGATGAGCCCCCCGTTAGTGATTCGAGACGTAATATGAATAAGTCCATGACCAAGGGTACTTTGCATCTCGACCAACTTCAATAATAATAATGAATGATGGTGACTAACTATGAACACTAACTAGGCAAACTTCTTACCACACCAACCCGACTTCTTAAACTAATACTTCCTCTTCCAGTTGACGCCACACATGATGAACGGGGTAATAGAGGAGAGTTCCGATCACTCGCACAGAACGAAGATATCCAGCCCCTAGCACTGCTCATCCACCCCCAACAACCGCTATCTTACCTCGAGCGCCTAATCCAAGCCGAACTCCCCGCGGTCCACGACAGCGATGGTCGCGAGAAGATGCCTAGCGTTTATTTCCTAGCGGAAGGGTCTGAGCGAGATGAGACGGGCCAGAAGACCGGGATAGGAAAGAAGCAGCCGAATATCGCATCCTATTCGGGACTTGGCCGCGAAGGGGCTGATACGCCGCCAGAGCACAAGGACTGGGTTCGGTGGAGCAGCAGTACTGAAATCGGTGATTTTATCCGCGACGCCGCACGTGGCAGGGAGTTCGCTATAGAGATCGCCGGTCAAAACAGCGAATTGCGAGTCGGGGTGCCTAGCTTTAATGACCGCACTCATTATATGCGTATCCGATTACAGCGCATGTCCCGTAAAATTGACGAACTCTCCAAGATTAAACATGAGTGCGATATGCTGGCGCATCGCGGCGCTCATCGCATTGCAAAAGCTGGTTTTGTCGCTTTGGCGGGTTGGTGGGGCGCTGTTTACTTCTTAACATTTCATACTAACGCCGGCTGGGATCTTATGGAGCCGATCACCTACCTCGCTGGTCTGACAACCATCATGGGCGGTTATTTGTGGTTCCTGTTTATGAGTCGGGATCTCAGTTACCAAGCCGCGCTCAAGATCACCGTCTCAAAAAGACAGAACATCTTGTATCAGGAGCGCGGCCTTAATCTTCAGAAGTGGGAACACCTGGTACATGACGCGAACGCGCTAAGGCGGGAGATCAGGAATGTAGCAGAGGATTATGATGTTGATTGGGACGAGACTAAGGATCTTGGTGGGGAAGAAGTCAAACAAGTCCTCGAGCATGAAGATCAGAAGAATGGTAGGAGAGATCATGAACGTGAACGCGAACGTGAGGACCGCGATCGCGAGAAAGATACAAGGCATAAACCGGAAGAGCGTAATGAATCATGAATCATTATACCCAGATAATACATACACACATATATAAGTATAGAGAAGCCTTCGGTCGTTTTAGTATCATTCGCGGATTTGTGCTACCGGCAGGGAACTCGTCAATATATTTGGTCATTTTTGTCTATACCTAGTAGTTTTCCCCTCAATTTTCGGTTATAACGAATCCTTCTAGAAAAGGGGCTTTTCCTTCCTGTTCTGCGTTTCTTCGCTATATTATAGTTGATTAGGAATTGGTAGGATTAGGCGCCGAGAGTGCCCCTCAGAACCTTGATCTGCTCTAGGACACTCTCCTTGCTAGTACCACCCTTGGCGGCTCGCATCTCGACGCTGCGCTCATAGTCGAAGTACTCGGCAATGTCTTGCTCGAAGCGGGCGTCTATCGACTTGAGCTGATCGTACGATAACTCGTTCATCGGCGTATCGGTCTGCTCCGATAGCGCCACTACGCGTCCTGAGATGTGGTGCGTCTCGCGGAACGGCACTCCCTTTCGCACTAGGTAGTCAGCAATATCAGTGGCCAACATGAAGGGGTCGAGGGCCGCCTTCATCTTCTCGGGCTTGATGTCTAGAGTTGCTAGTACGCCTGTCGCGATTTGGATGCTGTCGCTGACCGTCTTGACCGTGTCCAGCATCGCCTCCCAGCTCTCCTGCAAGTCTTTGTTGTATGTGCTCGGCAGCCCCTTTAGCGTCGTCATGAATCCGGCCATCTGACCGAACACGCGTCCGCTCTTACCCCGTAGTAGCTCCAAACTGTCCGGGTTTTTCTTCTGCGGCATCAGCGAGCTGCCCGTCGAGTACGCGTCCGCTAGTCGTACGAAGCCGAACTCGGCTGTCGAGTAGATGATTAAGTCTTCGGACCACCGCGACACATGTTGCATTAACATGCTCGCCCATTGCAGTGTCTCGGCCACAAAATCGCGGTCCGCTACTCCGCCCATCGAGTTCCACAAAAGTCCGTCAAACCCTAGCTCTGCGGCCATCATGTCGCGGTCGATGTTGAACGGGTTCCCGGCTAGAGCACCACATCCGAGCGGGCTCTTGTTCACACGCTTGACGACCTCACGTAGGCGCTCGAGGTCGCTAGCGAAGGCCAAGCTGTACGACATAATCCAGTGGCTCCAGCGAATGGGCTGGGCACGCTGCAAGTGTGTGTAGCCGGGCATGACATACTGAACCTCGTGTTCGGCGCGGTCGGCGGCGACCTTGAGGAAAGTGATGAGGTGGTCCTCGATCTTGCGTAGTTCGTCGCGCAGCCACATGCGCATATCGCAGGCGACCTGCTCGTTGCGGCTACGGCCGGTGTGCAGCTTGCCCGCGACCTCCTTGCCGATAACCTCGCCGAGCCGGCGCTCGTTTGCCGTGTGGATGTCCTCATCTACGCCCGGCACGATCACGAATTTGCCTTCGTCCCACTCTCGCATCACGGCTTGTAAGCCTGATTCGATCTTGCTGAACTCATCGTCGGTCAGGATACCGCCTTTGTTGTTGGCGCGCGCGAAGGCGATGCTGCCGAGGATGTCTTGCTTGTACAACGCCTTGTCGAAGTGGATACTCTCGTTGTAAGCCACCATGAGGGGGTCGAGGCCGCCTAGGAGGGGTTAGTTGGGAGCTAGTAGTAGCAACGAGATGTAAACTCCGGTTTTCGCATTTATGACTTAAAAATCATGTTTTTAACATCCCATCGAGAGGCAATATATATGTTTTCATCTGATTGAAAAGTTAAGATAAAATAAACTGTATACGTACCTGTGAAGCGACCTCCCCATAGCATATTCTCGCCGGGTTTAGTAGTAGACGCCATGGTTTATGCTTATTCCCCCGAAATAAATCTGAGGAATAGAATATAAAAAGATGAGTGAATTCACAACCTCGCTGTTTATGAAGGTGTTAGGTGACTCATATAGAAATGTGTCGATGCTTGAGGCGCTTATCAAATGAAAATCAAAATGAAAATTGATTCACCCGCACATCAATTGATGCATATCTCTATCTATTGATAATGACTTGATAAAAGGATATGACCAAAAGGGTGGGCAAATATATTAGGTAATATTTGATAATGATAACCCCCAATTATGTACTTAGACATCCCGGTTTCTTCCTCATTTTATTTCTTCAAATCTACAACCACCGGACAATTTCTTGTTCATCGCCAACCTAACGCTTTTCGCAAGAGTTATTTTTAGGCAGAACTGTGTAGAAAAGCGATCGCGATACCTCGTGGACATTCAAAATTCTAGATGTCCAATATCGGATGCAATGCTTCCCCAGCTCCCACTAGACTTACATGGGTGGTTGCACTTAACGGTAACAACCGCGATGGAAGCCGTGGGAGCAACCGTTTTCTACCACGATCTTATCAAGAAGAGAATCCCGAGATGACTTTGTACGACCTACTTGACACTTCACCTTGTATCTGATTAGCAATTGTTAATTGCTCATTGGATACCTATTGCCCGGTACGACAGACGCCATAGATGATGGCGTCTTAGTTGGCGTCCTTAGGCTATAGGTACCTGGGTACATCAGCTGTCTCAACCGTCTTGATGACTGCATGCGGCTGTCCGAGTCGGGTCAAGAATCTGGGGAAAGTTTAAGATCGATAGCCCTAGGACTAACACCACTATTTCATGATTTCCCCTCTCCTGACGGACCTGAATAGGCTTAACAGGGGAGCTCCGTTACTCGCGACCCCACTATCAGTCCTCTGTCTTCACCCTTCAACCGAGTGGTATGACGTTCACGAAAACTGCGCGAAACGGAGTCGCCGTTTGCCTTTGCTCTTGTTGCTCCCGTTTTAACCCTGAGTAGTTGCTGAAATCTCAAGTTATCGTCCCACATTGCCTTGTTTGTGACATATTACCGATTCCATTTAATTAATTTTTTCCATTTCTTCGGTAGCCAACAGAACTCGTCCAGCTCACGGGGCAATCCCCATTACCACTTTCAGGCTCATCACATGGGAACACCGCCAAAGATTTACTACTTAAACGTTATCAGTGGATCCATTACGTCGGAAATGAGTGATATCCTCCACCTTCTATATCCTTGAGCTTTGTCTTTCATTCAGCCCTATAATCCTTTTACTAGGTATCGACATCGCCTTCCAATATTCATCAAATACATGGCGCCATCCATAGTACATCTACCGGACGGCCAGAGCTTCACGGTTCAACCTGTATTCTCTGGCCTATTCTTCAAATCTCACGAAATAAACAACCACGCACCATTCCCTGCTGGCTGGACCGTTGTCTTACATAGCGAAGATCGTCCCGAAGACCATCTGCACAACCTCACTCTCCAAGACGATGACAGTGAGCCCCGTTCCAGACGAAGTCATATTCACAGGTATAGCCAGCCGACCTTGCAAAATGACACCATCTTCATCTCTTCTATCTCGAGCCCCTCGAGCAGTGAATTTAAACCCCACGCCAGCCAGTCGCGACAAATAGCCATGATGATATGGATATCGCTGTACTGGTATTTTCAACAAACTGAACCGTCGCCGTATGTCTTGACTGAACAGTCGAAACATGCTCCGCCAGAGGCAAGACCAAGGGGCGAGTGGCGCATTCGGGTCAAGAGAGAAGGTGTCCTGCGCACGCGAAACATGATCCCAAAGCTGGAGAGGATGGGCTTAATATCGACTTTGGATTCAGCTGTCGGAGAGAACTCCAGCGACCATAATCATGGATGGGATCACATGTTCGTTACCCGACGCATGTTCTGGCAGATCCATACTGGCCTATTTCTCTTCAGCCTGCAGCCACTGAAGCACAGCTCTTATCCTGGAACGCCGAGCAACAGCCGACCTACTTCACCAGTTAGGAGCGAGACAGGTCAACTGTCATCCTTATCCAACGCCTTAACCCCGGAGCTACCACCCTCCCCCATCGGGCCATATCATTCATCGTCGCACTTACCAACCTACTATCCTCCGCCGCCATTGCAGTATGTACTTACTAACAATGTCCGACATCCACTACGGCAGAAGCCGCCGCATATGGGCGAGGTCTTCTACACGCGGTTTATACCAAGCGTGGGAAAGTACCTTTCATTCCGCGTGGCGTCACTCTCCCCAAAGCCTGTACCATGTCTTGGGCCTGTCGGACCAGGTGAAAAGGAGCATACTCATTTAAATACCTTGTCCGATTGCTCGCTCCTTCAAATGTGGCTGTCAACCCCTAGAGTTGCGTCATTCTGGGGTCAGTATCAGCCTAACTTCCTCTCAAATGCTCTGCAGTCGCGCCACTCGTTTCCGGCTATCGGGATGTGGGATGGTGTACCGTTCGGATACTTTGAAATATACTGGGTAAAGGAAGATAACTTAGGCCGCTATATGGGCAACGACGTACAGGATTTCGATCGGGGAATACACGTTTTTATCGGCGAAGAGTGGGCTAGAGGGAGGGTGCAGCAGTGGCTTTCGAGTCTTGCCCATTGGTGCTTCCAAGCAGACTATCGCACAATGAACATCTGCCTTGAGCCTAGGGTGGATAACGCAAGGTGAGTTGCATTAATAATTTCCGGTGGTTCGCAGCTTGCAGTTCATTGACACGTGTATAGGTTTATTCAGCATCTTCAATTCGGAGGATTTGCGAAGGAAAGGGAGTTATCATTCCCACATAAAAGAGCATGGCTATGTCGGCTACGAAGAGATGCCTGGGAGGGACCAGCAATGTGAGGACGGAAGGTTTGTTCATGGCACCGATGGTTTAATTTCTTTTGCATATGGTGGCGTGGTCATACGGCCTCCATGCTTTCCAGACGAGCAAGCGATGCATGCATTTTCGTGAAAGGCGCCTATGCATATGCGCCTAGGGGAAAGGCGATGTTAGACTTGATTTTTAGTCACATCTCGATTTCAGCTCTCGACCGCCCTAACGAATTAAGAGCTATCATTTTTACACAAGAAAGCACTAGGTAAACGATGGATCTTCTAACAAGAAACTGCTGATCTCAACTCAGCTATGATTAGACTACACACCGATAATGGCCGAAGCAAATATTCACATTTCAACAAAACTCATGATTCGTGTCGTCGTTTGACTCCTAATTTGTTTCCAGGACTCGTGAAACGTTCCTTATGCAAACACCCGATGCTCGCGTAACTAGCCGTTGATACGCGCGCTCGGGACCGAGAGCTTCGGGGCTAAGACAGTGGCGTAGGCCGTTCTTAATTAGATTGACTTCATCGATAGGGTTCAGACGTTTCCTTCGCTGTTTTACTGCGCCTCTCCCCCCTCCAATTACCTTCTAGAACAGACTCGGAGGCGTAGTCCCGAACACCGCGTCTCATAAGTTGAGGTCCCGTGTAAATGGTAATACGAGCTAGACCTACGAACTAGAAGCTCAAGGCTCGCGGATTATATTTACATTCGGGATGTGCACGGGTAGCTGGCGGTGCAATTGCAGTGTGCAGCGTGCAGCTTGCATACCTAGGTGGTGTCTAATATACCTAAGTGCACTGCATATTGATGAATCCTCGTCATCCACCGCTACGCCAACGAGGCTGCTCCGAAGATGGGACGGGAAGTCGCGTACTTGGGGCTGATCCCTTTAACAGGGTCGTCCCCTATCCAGGGCGAATGTTAATAATAGGGTCGGCGAGGCGGCTTCTAGAAGCTGCGTGCGTCCGAGCAAGGGCTTGCTTTTGATTGCCCTTAATTAGGGCTAATCGACCTTCCGTTTACGACACGAAAAGCTATGACCGTAGTCATACCTAGCACCTAACCTTAAGACAACTCGCGAGGTTCAACAGAAGTTAGGCCAAGCAATACCAAGATGTCTACGTCTACTCCCTCACGTACTATCCTGGTCGTCGGCGCGACAGGCCAACAGGGGGGCTTCGTGCTCTCAGAGTTGGCAAACCTCCTATCGAGCCTATCTTCGGGTACCAAGCCCGAGGTCAATGTCTTGGCCTTAACCCGGACTGCCTCCTCGCCTAAGGCTCAGGCATTACCGTCTAAGTACCCGAGCCTGCATCTGACGGTCGTGGAAGGCGACACTCGGAACCCGGCCCCGATCTTCGAGGCGTACCCGCAAATCGACTCGGTGTTTAGCTACACGACGCCGCCGGACGAGGAGCCGCAGGCCAACCTCCTCATCGACGCCGTCGCGGCACATGTCCGAAAGACCGACACACAAACCCCGCATTCGAAGAAGATCCACTTCGTCTTCTCGAGCGTTGACCGTGGCGGCGAGCCACAGAGCTGGGAGAACCCGACCGATATCCCCCATTTTAGGGAGAAGCACAATATCGAGATCCATCTGAAGGCTAAGGCCGACGAGTCGGAGGGCCGGCTGACGTATACGATTTTGCGACCGGTCGCTTTCATGGATAACCGTGAGTTCTCGTCGGCTTTATTCCCTCGTATCGAGGTTCCCTATATCCCTTGCCTTGCACTCACCCGCTTAGGACATACACCCATATACCTACCTCCTATATAGTAGTTAAATATCATACTTACTCAACACTAACCCACCACAACAGTAAACCCAGGCGGCACCTTCGGCATGGTCTTCGCCAGCCTCTGGAGCACCATGCCGGCATCTCAAAAGCTCCAACTCGTCAGCGTCCGGGACATCGGGCTCTTCGGCGCCGAAGCACTTCTCGCGTCCCCCGCCTCCCCGCATTTTCTCAACCGCGCCATCGGTCTCGCGGGCGATAACCTCACGCTTGGAGAGGCGCGCGATATATACCGGCGCGTGAGTAAGGGGAGGGAGTTGCCCCAGGCTTGGTGGGTTGTGGGGTGGGCCGTTCGCGGCCTGGTTGCGGCGAAACATGTTGGTGCGATGTTTACTTGGTTCGAGACGCACGGGTATGGCGTTGATGTTGAGGCGTTGAGGAGGTGGGAGCCGGGGGTGCTGGGGTTTGAGGCGTGGTTGAGGGAGAGTAGTCGGTTTGAGATTCCGGAGGGGGGGAGTGAGAGGGTGAGGTGATGGTTGACTAGGTAGGTAGGCGCTTAATGGGAAAGTTACTGAGGGAGATACATACTGAGGTTTTGGGGCAAGTATGTATGTCTGTATAATCGGGCGGTTCTATGGGTTTGATATAGTGAGTAGTTGAATTGAACTGGTGTGAGCTCTCTGCGGAAAGGGGTGGGGTCTAGCAGATGAAGCTGAAAATCCTACACAGAGTATTAACTACCTATGAGTTTCTATTACCAACGAATTGATTACGAAGTCCAAGTGAGATCTAACTTACCTATCTCTAGATGCCATTCTTGTCGGTACCGAGATTCATGAGTTTCAGGCCTGCAGAATATGACGTTATTTAAATCCCTAGAATGATTCTTGGTTTAGAAATTGGAGGGTTTAGTAATACGTAAGCGAAAGTTGGGGGACGTGTTTCTAAACCGACAAGCCTACCTAGTAAGCTTCCTGCCATAATCATAATATTCAGCGGCACATATTTTTGGGGGCGATCATGGGTATTGGATTATAAATATTCAACCAGTCTATACAGAGTGAGATTTTCTCCAAGGTTTCTTTCCATAAACCGCGATAGATGCCTGGGTGGGATTGTCGATGATTCATGACAGGATGAACTAATATTGCAATAGGCCCCAAGCTAAAACATGAAGATGATCTCGGTTCCAAAACAAACGAACAGGACAATCAGTTACCGAGGCTTATATCTACTGCAATATTCGAGCGGTTACTCTACGATTTATAGATAGATATATAAATGCGAAAGGAAAGCGACGGAGATAAAGAGGTATGTTTCAATATCGCTGGCGGGCGATCCCTTGGCATTTCGCACATAGCCGCTGACTGCATTTAGTTTAGGAGAATTAGAACGCCCAAGCGATCATGGCAGTAAATGTAAGAAAATATTGTCCTGCTGAAATACTGGTGTTGGTAAGACGAAGAAACCTCGAGGGGCAAGAATGCAACCCCTTACTGTTGCAATCGTCAGATTTGGTTGTTGGGGGCATATGCCAGAGCCTCGGTGATGCTTACCCACCTAGTATTTGGATAGAAATCTGCAACAAATAACAAACATTTTTTCACCTACTTCGTCTATCTATCTAGGTAGGCGGGGATGGAGATGGCTTGATAACTTTCAATTAACATGAGTAGGTAGGTACCTTTCCTTACCTAGGTAGCTCTGCAAATTGAAAACTAGGGTGCCAAACAGCTTCCTAAGCTTAGTCTACCAAGTTCCAGGTTGAAGTAAAAAGAACCGTTTTCCTACTTCTCAACGAGGGCCAGCATTGGCGTGGCTAGCTTCCAAATGGTTTATATTCACTCTTGAACCCGAAGCAGTTCTCGTCGGCTCTTTCAACTCGAACCCACCCCCCTAAAACCATAGAAAATGGATGTGATACAAATACGACGACGATATCTCGATGTCAACATCGCCGATGGGTCGCTCTGCCAGACCATTGCCGCGATCGTCCCTTGCATGGTACTTGGCTTCGTCGCGCTGGCGATGCGTCTAGCTTCCAGACACGCCAAAGGGGTGAAATATCTCATGAGCGATTACCTCGCCATCTGTGGTTTTATCTGCTCATGGGTCGTGTCTTTGATTGTGATACAAGGTGTGTATTTCACGAAAGCTTTGATATTAAGCTTGTATATGCCATTCTAATTCTCGACTACTTTTCAGAGGCAAGATTTGGACAAATTCGCCCAGTGACAGTCTCCCTTCAACGCGAGACCCTCAAGATCAGTTTCGTCTCGGGAATTCTCTACGGCACTGGTTTTACCTTGATAAAGTTGTCCATTATTATGCTCTACCGACAGCTTTTCCCTACGCGCTTCATCCGTATAAGTACTGCCATTTTGGCTGCCTGCGTCGTAGGGTGGGGTCTTGCACTTGTGCTTGCAACCGTCTTTAGCTGTCGGCCTGTTAACGGCTTCTGGGACGTCGATATACCTTCCAAATGTATCAATACGAAGTGGTTCTGCGTTGGCAACGGGATAACTAATATGATCACTGATATGTTTCTATTATGTCTGCCTGGTATGAGCTTTTGTTTATCGTTTTGGACTAGGGGCCGGGGGGCCTTGTCACCGCATGAATATATGCTAACTCTCTCCATTGAAGTGCGCGAGGTATGGCGTCTTCAACTTAGCTGGCGTTCCAAGGCCGGTATCAGTGGTCTTTTTATTTTGGGTGGTTTTGTCATAGTCGCAAGCGGTCTTCGTATTGGCTCCATGCTAGTCACCGAGTCTAGCAATCTCACTTGTGCGTTTTCATCCCTAGATTACGAAGGAGAGTTCCTTTTTTGTTACTAACATGGCTTCTAACAGGGACTTATGTTGATGTTAGTGTTTGGGCAAGCATCGAGATAAACGTTGCCGTTATGTGTTGTTGCTTTCCCACTGTCCGGCCAATTCTGGTTTGGCTTGTACCCCAATCCTTCAAACGCACACGCAGTGGAAAGCCAGATGAAACGGATCAACCAAGTTATAAACTACTCCCCTTACGTATCAGACCTGTGACTGGATTTGACCTCAAGATCCATAACACTCAAGATAGTCTTGCCCCGTTGCAGAGTGTGGTTGCTCGGTCGGACTAGCGGGAGAAAAAGAATAATCTATTATAATTAGACTGTTTGTCGGGAAAGAGGTAGATATTCAACTTGAAGCAACCACTACAATTTGATGTTGTGAGTATAAATGGGTATATGGAAATACATTGTGATGTTAGAACCTTAAAGGAATATTGAACAAGCTAATTCCAAATATCGTGTGGCGTTGGCTCAGCCCCTGAAACCTAGTGGATATCCACTATATCTTAGTTGAGTTATAGGTGAACAGATCACTATTTGGTCAGAGTCTTCACCTAACGCAATACAGCTAGAGCCCTTATTCAGCGATTGCTTCCAACCATAAAACTCGACCACCACATGGGCAATTTCTCCAGCGCGATTACGCCTATTTTATAGCGCGGTCCTAGGCTATTCAAGCACAAACTCCCTACCCGTCTACGCCTCAGATTTCTTTTCGTCCTCCCCACCTTTATCAGGCGCGTCTTGCCTAGAAACCTCTTTCCTAATATCCTCAAGGGAGATATCCCACTCCTTAGCCAGCGCCTCCTTCCACGCCTCTACGGTAATCTCTTCACTACCATTCTCATCATAATAAATCTCCAAAATCCCCTCGTCTCCATTTCTACCTTTCACTTCCTTCGGCACCCGCACGGTCTTCGTCTTTAGGCCAACGTACATGTCGTCTCCCTGCGGCGGAATCCGCATCCACCGATGTTTGGCGCTACACACCGTGATCCCGGAGTCGGGAGTGGGGGCGCGTAGTCGCGCGAGACATTCGGCGCAGAAGTCCCGGTTCGCGCAGTATATGCAGTGGTAGAATTCGCGCTCGAAGCTGGCCGTGTTCTTGCAGTGTCTGCCGTCTGGGTTGCGGCCGTCGCAACTCCACCACCAGAAGGCCGTCACGTCGATTTTAGATGAGTGTATCTGTTGTAGGGTAGATAAGCGCGTATGAATGAGGCTCAGAGCGGAGGCAGTCTTGAGTTCTGAGGCCGTCGGTTCGTCTTGACTTTCGGGCTTATCGGCTTCAGGTTTGGCTTTGGCACTTGCCTCGGCTATGAGAGAATCGATGTGTGCTTTAGCAGCTTCGATGCGTTGAGTTTGTTGTGAGAAGTTTGGGACCTGAACCTTAGCGACTTCGATTGTTTCCTTGGCTAACTTATTAACTATATCTAACAGCAATGTATTGTCTGCGTTGTCATCTCCTGCAATGTCCTTAGCCTCGAAATATAGTTTGTCAGTAACGAGATCAGGGGTGCCCGCCAAAGACAGGGCAATGGCCGCGTTACCAAAATCAAGGTAGTGATTAAGCGTCCTCGATATGATTGAGTACCCGTACATATCGTTCTCTAGTATATCATCCGAGAGAGTACGGAACGCCTGTCTCATCCACCCCACTAGCACTTCTCTAGCATTTTTCTTCATGTTCTGTCGCGCATACACTGTGCCTAAGAATCCAGTCGTGTCGTCATCATAGACATAACTGCTAGACTCTGCCTCTGTTAGTCTGGCTAATGCACTGACATGGTCCAGATGGTTTCCATCCATCATATCTTGGAAGTAATGTTTTGCGAGCGCTGTGGTGGCGTCACGTCGCGCGATCGATGGATTTTGTCCACCAATGTTAGAAAGCAGATCGCGGCTCTCCTCCCACAGCCGAAGGGCCTCGCGGACTGCATCAGTGCCGTCGGACGATACATTATACGTATAGGCTGCGACGCCCCGATCATAGAGGAGAACCCCGCGAACCTCGTCATTGGCAAGGAGATGGTTCTCATTCAGCACAGGCGGTGCCGTCGCAGTTTCTATGTCGCGTACAATCCCTTCGAGAAGGTATGGACTATCCTTCGCCACACTGAATATCTTGGACATGATCATATCGTGTTCTGTGTCTTGCGCAATTGTCTTAAGCACGCTTACCATCGTTCCCTCCTTGCCATCGTTGGCTAATTTTCCCTCCAATAAATGCCGCATCACCTTTGCATCTAGGAAACTGAGTCCGGCCTTCAGATAGCCTAGCTGTCCCTGCTGCGCTTGCGCCGAGTCCTCACTCTCGCACACAACTTTATAGTAATCAGCCGCCTTCTGCCCATCGCTACCCTCGTAGGCATACTGCCCCAAGAGTAGATACAACTCCATAATATCCTTCACTTCCGGCTTGGGCATGGCACCCTCTTGTTTCGCTTCTTGCAGCGCTCGCTCCATATGTGCGATAGCTTTCTGTGTCCAGCCCTCTTTAAAGCACGTTTGTCCAAGGCCACGGTAGCATAGCCAACTAGGATTATCCTTTTCAATCGCCCGTGCGTATAAGGACAAGACTGTGTCTGCTTTACAGTATTGCAAAGATGAGGCTTCAGCGAGCCGCTCATACCAGAGTGAGTTGAGCTCCGAGTCTGGAAGTCCTAGAAAGTTCTGGCACCAGGCGCTGGCACGGTCCCAGTCAATGTCATCAGGAGAGTTGATAACAAGGGGAGTGACAGATCTAGAGGAATCTTTTTCGTCGGCTCTTAGATGCTCGTTAGTCTGCTGGAACTTTATATCCTGTTGTCGGTGAAATATTAGCGCAGGTAATTATATCGAGGGCATGGATCAGATTGGAAACGACTCACTAGTTTCATAAACTCATTAATCCAACCATATGAACTTTGAGCTTCCCAGCTCCTTGCCCTCAATAACCCTTCGACGATCACCTTTACGAGATCTTTCAAAAAACTCCTTGTCGGACTGATAAGTAGCTGCACCCCACTCCGCCATTTCTTGTCTAATTTTCGCACAACAGCGGAGTCCATCAACCATTTCTGCATGTCTTCCATTTCACCCACAAACCACCGTGTCAATTCGAAATTAGTCTTGTGGCGTAAAACTATCTTCTCATCCTTGAAGAGTTTGTACAGACTCTGACCAATATCGATCTGCTCGCTGGGTGTCAGGGCACCCTTTTCTTCGTCCTCGAGCTGGCGGAGCTGGTTCAAGTGATACGGCAGCCAGCCGACTAGATAATTTCCTACATCCTTGGTCCGGTCCTCATGCTCTTTATCGAGGTACTCAAACGCGCGGGTAACAATAGTGTGATGTGCCTCAAACTCATCTGCCGCGATGGCAGCCTGGTTGCTACCATAGAGAGCGCTGTTGGGAGAAGTGGCATCAAAGTCAAACTTGAATTTTTCCCGAATAGCTTTATGCGCGAGGTCCCAAAGGAAGTGTGCGCAGAGCTCCTGGTCCACGTTATTTATGGAGATTTTCATGCTGATGGTAGAGCGGTCTTTAGAATGCGATGCCTTTCCCGACATATCTTTATCCTTTTGCAGGTAGTCTTTGACGCCATCTTGGCCGTAGACATAGCCATTTTCTAGCTTCAACACAGCGGAATACTTATTCTTAATGATGAATTGTAAGGATGCAAGGGACTCGGTACCAGAATAGAGGAACTTTCATGCTTTTGGTTAAATTTGCACTTTTAGGTTAGGATCAGAGTGCTCACCATGGCCGCCTCAAGTTGGTCTAACGTCATGGGTTCCTTGCAAAAGAGAACCCACTTAAGCAACTCGTTCAGCTCGCCAATCTCATCCGCTGTCAGCGACCGCTGTAGGTTCTTGATAGCCGCCTCGTGACTACTCATCGGCTGGCCCAGCATACGGTCAAGCTCCTGGGAGGTAGTGCGTGTACTCAGAAGGCGGACCACGTCATCGAGCCCGAATTGTAAGCGGGAATAGCTTCCATTAACAATCTGCGGCAGCTTCTGAACGATCTTATCCCGCGCTCTCTGTTGTTCCGAGCCAGGCTTTGGGCGCTCCAACATGCCCCGCTTGGTGAGCGCCTCATCGACCACGATGCGCATATCTAGCCCGTTGTGCTTCTCCATTCGGATTCTTAGAGCCTTGCTCGTATTAACGCCTTCAAGCTTACCGACGAACTGGTCGTCAGTCCCGCTCACTAGGATGCGCACGCGCCCGGCTGATTCATCCGTTAGCTTAGAGCCAAAGACGAATTTTAGCAGTATGTCAACCTGCTTGTAGGGAAGATTCTCGAGCCCGTCGAATATAAGGTAGTATGTGGCACCTGACACGGGCGTCCCAATCTTTAGGTCCCCCCATAGTGCGTCCAGAGTCTCGAGACTGGCTGAACGCCGAAATACACCGGAACCAGCATCACATGTTTCGCCGAGCGGCTTTTGAACGGTAGGATCAACGCGCGCTATCTGAAACGCCATATACTTTAACGCTGAATGCACAGGCAAATCCTTTTCGTCGTCTGACTTTTTTATACTAGGTGGGAAGAAGTAGTGCGCCACATATGTGCGCCCCTTTTGCTCCTCAAGGCGCTTTGTAATGAGGGCGCTGGCTGAAGTCTTACCTGAGGACGCGGGTCCTGATAAGATTAAAATATGCGAGCTTTCCTTGTCCTTATTAGGTGCTATCCATGTGGTATAAGCATCGTGCGTCCAGATCCAGGACCCTGTGCGGTTGTAGCATCCTTTACAGATATCGGTGCATGTTTTCGTAGTGTTAGTATCAAGCCGCACCGTTGGCCAAACTTCAAGTGCGTTACGGATCTTGGTCAGTCTCTTGATGCGGTCGGCGTCGTTCTTGAAGGACTGCACGTCCTTTTGCGCCTCCCTTACCAACTGGTGGGTCTCCTCGGTCGTCTTTCCGGAGACGGCATGTTGCTCTCGGAGTATCGCAACATCCTGGTTTGTCTTAGCCACCATCGCGAGTGTGACGGTTCCTTCTACGTCGTGTTGCTGCTGCAGTAACTTTTTGAATTTAGCCATCTCATCAGACAGGCCCGAGTCATCGTCGAAGATAGACTTGACCTGTTGCAAGATGCGGTCCCGCTTGCGGCCCTGGCGATACTTGACAACATGGGCGCAGAGCTTGACGAGGCTGGTCATCACTAGGTGGATTCTCCGAATAAGCTCAGGATGAATATTTTGTATCGATGCGAAGACTTCGAATTGCGAGAGCGCCGAAGACACCTCGCTAAAAACCTGGTCAATGGCGTCATTGTAGCCTTTGATAGCCTCGGGAATGTCAAAGACGATACAGAGGGCAGTGCTAGCAATAGTAACTGCCGATGCGGGAACGGGGATCTAAAAACGTCAGCAATCATTGAGATAAATGTACCTATACAATCCAACATACAATTGAAGCTGCCTGTGAAGCAACTCCGACAAGCGCTCTCAGATATTTGAGCGAGCTGAGCCCGGCGCTCTTTGCCTTATCCCATTTGTCTTTCTGCTTTACGTCGTATGATGCTTTGCTGATGCCCTCGATCTTCTTCTTCACATCGTCCAATTCCTTCACGTCGCCTCTCTGCAATGATTCGCCACATATGTCCTGAAACGCCTTAGCAGCCGCATCCCACATGTCTTCCACCGAAGTTTCCTGTTCAGATGCCTCATTTACTGCTCGTTGTTGGTCGCTCATCGCGCCCTATCTTAATTGGGGATATAGGTAATTATTGAGAATTCAGAAGCTAAAGCCATGAAAAGAGCCTGGATGGCAGTTTAAAGAACGATGAAAAGAATGGTTGAGACTCCTCACCCCTCAAGTATAAGCCCCGAAGAAAATGATTTTCTCGCATCATCGACCCAAGTATAGTATAAGGCTGTACTTATGCTGGGGATGTAGTTGCACTGCAGCTGACGGATTAGGCACCTACCTACCTACCTACCAACTGAATGTCAGCGATTCAGCGAGCCTTGGGGCCTGCATGAGGTAGCCTTATTTTGAACCAAATTTCATCAACCATAGTGCTTCGTTTTCAAAATCTTGCCTAATGCTGACAACGGGCAAATGCGTCTTGCAAGGTTAAAAGCCAGAAGATGATCTTCATGGTGATTGCGGCGCAACACCGTGAGAGTGCATTGTGATGACCTAGCCATCTACTGCATATGTACTAGGTAACTAGTAGGCACCTATCGTAACATACAAGATGCCATTTTACACGCTGAAGCCTAGATGTAAGCTCGTTACCGATGACTGAACTAACCAGAAGGAATTTTTGAGCGGTCTCGATGACTGGAAGACTCGAATGAAACTACACCGAAAAGGCTTGGAATGAACGGTTTTATGCAATCCAAGTAAAGTTGTAGGTGGCGATGATTTATGATTTCCACATGAGGTTATAGACACATAAATGTGGTGTGGAAGATGATGTTGTATTGGGAAGAAAAGCTCTAAAAGCTCTCTAGTGGGATTAGCCTTGAAAGTATGCGCGCAACACTGTACCCGCTATTTATTAAGGTTCGGGCCACGTCCTTTGCCCAGTACGCGATTAGATAAGCGATGAATTTATATTGTATTTGGTCTAAGCTTTTATAAAACCGAGACCTGACAGTACTAAATTCTGGTAGGTACCTAGCTGCTATAAATTAAGCCTGCTTAGGGGGCTTAGCCGCTAAAGAAAAACGCCACACAGTTTCAGTTTATACGGCTTTGAACCATCAGCACATGGTCCAACATTTTGCCCCGAACCTTCAAACCTGATAGCACAAAAATACACGAGTTCATACCAAATTTGCCGCGTACAGTTGCACCCGCAATGCTCTGACATACGAAACGGTACCTCACCCAGGCTAAGGGGTAGATAGTTGCCCAGCGCCAAGAGCTCAAATGAAAAGGGGTCAAGGGCGATATGTCCGAGGATGAAAGTACGCTCAGGATGGGTCATTGTTAGGTGGAATTGATGATGTGTGATATCATATATTGTTACCTGCGAACATTTGAACTTGGTATCAAAGGGTATATTCTATGGCTAACTTGGCGGAGCAACGCCAATAATCCCGACTTTCTTCAACGGGACTTGCCAAGCTAGCCGTTTACTTAGGTAGGTTGCAGACTAAGGGCGAATGCTGAAGGATGATGCTAGTATTCCAAGCAGCTCCTATGATATTCCAACCTTGAAATATATCCACCCACAGCCAGCACCGTAACTCACTCATCATCCATCGCGCAGAAATGAATCATAAACCTTGAGTGCCTTCTATCCAACTCCGGCCATAGTGAATGAAGTCTAAGGAGGTTGTGTGATGCTGTAGCTTGTCTATGCTTTACGAGCTTCTTCGTCCATATGGCTCGAAGGGAAATATCGCACTAATAACTGCCATTGCAAGAAAAAGCGCCGCACAGATGTAAATAGGAGCCACAGACCCTGTGTTGGCGGTACTGTCTACTACAGCGGATATGATACCCATGATACGATTACAGCCCACAGCGATGCCATTTCCCGTGGCTCGATGAGCACTTGGTAGCACCTCGGGAGTGTACTATAGTGACAGAAGTTAATGATTGCTATTCTCAGTTCCTCGAAATACTTACAGCGTATAATGTTCCGTAGTAGATGTTGATACAAAATGCGATAGCGCAACTAAACCCGACGTTTTGCGCCGGGGTTGATACGGCAGTGTATGCGAAGAAGAAAGCCATGGTTATCAGTGCGCCTACTACCATAGTATACTTTCGGCCGAGGACCTTCATGTTGCACATCCATGCCGCTAGAACTGGTCCAAAGATACCAGAAATATTCGTAAGTGTATAATTACGCCATGTATCGAAAGTACCAACACCGTCGGTGGCTCCGCGACTAGCGAGATAAGAGCTGCAATAATATTAGATATAAAACCATAAAAACAAAAAGTATTTAAACATACTTTAAGAAGACGTAGAAGAGAGGGTAACTATAATCGTAACAATTAGCTTATCCTTTTGGATATTCGTTGGAAGAAACATACGCAAGCCCAATCAGTGTCCAGGAGAGCCAAATGAGTACAGTTGAAAGACCAATTTTCCTTGTAGCGAAAAGTCCAGAGATATGCACGAAGCTCTCAGAGAGAGAATAGCGGCTCTCACTGTGGGCTGTCTTGACCGTCCCACAAGCTTCCAATTTTTCCAAAGTCAGCGTACAGGTACGATTATATCTCTTCGCGATAGAATGTAACGTCTCAACCAACTCAGCATCTTCTCCTGTCCCGAGGCGGTATTTTGGTGTTTCTTGTAGCCGAACGACGGTGATACGCGCAATGGACATGGCAAAGACAAGGGCACCAGAAGTATACATGACGTATCGCCAGCCTTGATTGGAATTTCTCGGACAGTTGTCGGCTGACTCGCAGTTCCACTGAGACGGAACTGTAACCATATGAGAACCTGGCCAACAACTCAATCATCATAGGGAAAACTCACCTAAGAAACCCCAACAAATGAAGCCAGTGACGGCTTGACCAATACCCCACCAACAGGCCAAGAAAGTCAACGCCCACTGCTTGTTGCTGGGGAGGTACTCGAGAAAGACTGTGGTATCTAACAGATTAATGATAATTAGTGACTTGATTAATATATATACCATTTTTTGAAACTCATACCTAGGATAAGATTACCACCAGCACCGAATCCCACCATGGCAGTAAAGAACCCTAAGGATGCCCAATTTGGAGCCGCCCCAGAAACAATAGTCGCCACAGCAGAAATGAAGAGGGATATGTTGAACGCCCAACGTCGGCCTATGATGTCGGCGCCCATACCCCAAAAGAGCGCTCCTATGAGCATTCCGACGTATGTTGCGATTGTTTGGGCATTGGCGTAACCGACCTCACCAAACTCCTTAAAGGCCGGACCTGCAATATTGCTCTGTAGTAAGAGAACTAAAGAATCGACAGCATATCTATGGGGTCACCGAAGGTCGCGTGAGCATTTGAAGACTACCTAGCATTTAGAATTGAGTGTCACTCTTACCCAAATCCGTTCAAGACGAATAGTTTCCAATGGTAGTTAGTCCAACCAATCTCATCAATCACCTAGCATATGGATGTTAATAAGCCAGTCTTAAGCTATCACAGATGCTCATAAACTTAGTCTCACGTTATTGACAAGGTGCATTTTCGCATTGAGCGCAGGGTCCAAATCCTGAAGAGCTAAAATGTCCTCAGCATCGCCTTGACCTAGAGAGGAATGAGCATCGTCGCCCATTCCAACGTCTCTTTCGAAAAAGCCAGGGTCCTCTTGTCCCTTGCCAATTGACTTCTCCTCCGTGGCCATTTTCGAACTGAAGAATTAAACCGTGGCGTTTTACTTCGAAACTAGGTGATATTGACTGCGTGATATATGAAAAGTCATGTAGCAGTTGAGTTATACTTAGGTACGTGTGGTGGAGGATGGCGTTTAGTAGGAGATCGGCAAATAGTTGGAATGAAGAGTAGAGAAACTCAAAATCAACAAAATCTACCAAACTCTTGGAATATTTGAAGTTGTAAATGGAGAAAACCCGCCAAACAAATGGCACTAGGTAATAACTAATCACTACGTAATGGCCATCTCGAGTTCGATCTAGCCTAACGAAGGCTTTCTCTTCCGAAGAGATAGGTAAATGTCAAGGATTCCTCACTAGGTAGGTGCGAGGTACCGGGGTAAGTAAGACCTCTAAGGTTAAAGCTTGTAAAAAGATTGCAGGTGCACGAGATATTCTTGCCATCTTGGTTAGCAATGCAGCTACCTGCTGTAAGTAAGATAGAGAAGATCCTCGTGCTAATCCTCGTGCTACCTAACCTTCACGTTGATAGGCTAATTCCGGACCGATCCTCTGTAACCCCACGCTACGCGGATTGGCAGATTGGCAGATTAGCGGCGCTGATGTCTTAATCCTCGACCGATAAGAATTGTCTACTGCTGCAGTTTGTCGCCTGTGGCTTTTTAATTTCCCCGTAAGCTAGGAGTCTCAAAATTTATATAATTATACCGACCTCGTTTATGAGTCTAACAAAATAGAATTAAAGAAGTTTAGTTTATAATACCGGTGCCATAGCGAACGATTAGGACGTATTCAGAATTCGATCCCCCGCTTATCGGTGGCTTTAATCTTGTAGCACGACGCACGGGCTAGCCCTGGAGTTTTAAACAGTGTAGCCACACAAGTAACCTTGGAACGCACTGTACATGTAGGGAAGAGCCACTGACCTCATAATAAGCATCCATAATAACCTTGGAACGCTGAACCTTGAAAGTGTACCTAAAGGTAAGCATAAAGTAAAGGTTAAAACTTCATCCTGTTTTTTCAATCTTTATTTTCATACTTACCCCGACACGATTAATTCAATCCCAATTCACAACTTCATTGGATCTCGCATATAAGATACGTATCTCGTGTTATCTTTCCCGAATAGATGGATAAGATAATTACTACGTACCAAACGTCAGGGACTAGGCAGCTAGGTACCTAGACTTCGGAACCCAGCTCTCTGGGACTACCGAATTGCTCACTAAAGCGGAATCTTCCGCACGTGCAGCTGTGTGACCGGCTCCGGCACAACGACCCAATAGACACAACCAATTCCTGCACGTTTTGCGGCTCTACCATAGGCCTCTGGATTCCTCATCGGAAGATATTTCCCACCGAGCTGGTTCCCTTAGGGGATTTCTAGGTATTAGGTATGCATCGGAAGCCGGAATGCACCGCCAGTTCAAAGATCGGTCCCTCTTCCTTTTGGAGCTATATCCAATCACGAAATCGATGATTACTCCCGGCTTTCCCCTCTCGTACTACTGCATTGCATCCAGTGATGTCTGCACATGGTGAACATATCCCAATATGTTACCTACTTTGGGTACGTCGTATTGAAGCATTTCAGGCAAGAGTATAAAGGAAAGCCGTGTCTATGTCTTCCATTCAAGTAAATATCACGGAACATGGTTATCGCACAGCTAACTCACCATGGCTCGTAACTTACAATACTTGACCTTCGTTAGCATTGCTTCAGCAGCCTTCACTGGCAACCTTAACTATGACTCTCCCTCAAAGCACCATGCATCACTAGGTGTCTCGATCAACAGGGTAGCTAAGCGGACATACGGCAACTCTCCTTGGAATTCAGACCAACTAAATTTCACTCATGGCATTGCTTCCGGTGACCCATACGACGATAGTGTTATCCTATGGACAAGGGCTGCGCCAAGTAGCGATAACAATGAGAGTAACGTAACCGTGTCGGGTTATGTTCCGCTCTATGACCATTCGACTGAGCAGTATGTGGCAAAGAGCGACTCTCCAGTCTGTGTCGATTGGAAAATCAGCGCGTCAAAATCATTCAATGATATTATTGATTCTGGGAAAGCATATACTAGTTCTGATATTGACTACACTGTGAAGGCAAGACGCCTGCTTCCAAAAATGTCAGTGCGATGTGCTAATGGGCGTTTAGGTCGAAGCCAAGAAATTGAAACCTTCTACAACTTACTGTAAGTGCGCAGGTCATGGCATCAATTAAGTTTTTCAATTGAGTTTGCCATCTGAAGAGAGTAAGTTTGAACTTAGCGTTCGCTAACTGTTTCGTTAGACTATCAGTTCAATGTGTGTAACTCTAACAACAGTTCACCTATCGGCCGTACCAAGACAATTCCCTCTGCCAATGACGAAGTATCTGAACCAGTGAGACTTGCTGTGTACTCCTGCAGCAATTACCGTCAGTTTCCATTCGATTGAGCACCTGCCTAGTCCCTACCTATTACACCATCTGTATTACTTCGGGGCTAACTTGGGAGCGTAGCATTTGGTTTCTTCAACGCATACGGTAATCCGGTCAGGAAGGACTCTGTCGATTATGTGATCCACCTTGGTGACTATATATACGAGTACGCCAACGGTGAATACGGTTGGGGTAATTCTTTTGATCGTATCCCGCTTCCGGACAGGGAGATACTCACGTATGAAATATCTGAAGGCATTTAATACCGAGTCATCTAACGCGCACGCAGTCTATATGATTATCGAAAGCGTATCGCCACATACAGAACCGATCTAGACTTGCTAGCAAGCCATCAGAACTTCCCCTGGATAGCCGTATGGGATGATCACGGTAGGCCAGCCCCGCTTGAACGTTGGTGGTGTTTATTGCTGACTGTCTATCTTCTAAAGAGGTTGCTGATAATACCTGGCGTAGCGGTTCGTCACATATGAACAATACTGAGGAGTCATTCATAATGGATGGTGGCGTACCAGTTGACCAGCGGAAGATGAATGCTGTCCGAGCATATTTCGAATGGAGTAGGTTTATGATATGATATTACGCCTACCTCTATATCTTCACTAATAGCGAAACTCCTAGTGCCCATTCGACAAGTTGACATGGATGACAATCTACGAATATGGCGTAATTTTAAATTCGGCAACTTATTCGATCTTGTGATGCTCGACACAAGGCAATATGACCGAGCCATCACCGATGTGTATTGGAATACTGAATATCTAGGCGAAATCTACAACGATGCTAGCCGAACCCTAATGGGTGCGCGGCAAGAAGCTTGGTTCTATCGTACATTGCGCGAAAGCTCGACACGAGGCGCCACCTGGCGTGTCATAGGCAATCAGATTGTCTTCAGCCGAATTAATTCAAGCGCTAGCACTGGTGCAAATTTACCTTACAATTACGATCAATGGGACGGCTACCAAGCCAATCGCAACCGCACATTTCATACTATTTACGAGAATAACATAGGAAATAACGTTTTCCTCGCTGGTGACTCGCATGCTTCCTGGGTATCTGACCTCGTGTGGCTTGATGAGCATCCCTACGATCTAGCTACTGGATCCGGGTCAATGGGTGTTGAGTTTGCAGGATCTGCTGTTAGCTCTCCGTCGCCAGCTGGACAGAACGTCACCCTAGATGCCGCCATGGCCTACTCAGAATGGCTTACAGCTGCAAATGCCGAGCTTCAGTGGCAGGAACTATATTACCGTGGTTATTACGAGTTATATATCAGCCACGAGAAGGTTGACGCCTCATTCTTCGGTATTCCAACTACCACTCTCCGGAATGGATATGAGATTCCCCTAGCCAACTTTACTGTTCTTGCAGGTGAGAATAAGTTACATCGAACTAACGGGTCTCCCAGTGTGGGAAATGTAGAGAGTGGAAGTATTAAAGGTGGCACACCTACACATTCAAACTTAACATATGACACAGAGACTAAAAAATGGTTTACATATACCGACCCTTAGTTGCTTACAGGAGGGTAGAGCTCACATCTGCATGTAGAGTACCTCCCTACCTTCCTACCTACCTAGTAGGTACCCAGGCAGTATACTGACGCTTGTGGAATCCTCGGCGATTGTTAAATAGGTACCTACCTAGTACATATGGGTAATGGGAAACCCTAATTGATCCATCGGTAGACATCATGCATGGCCTCTTTTATGCATCTTAAGATCTTCCGAACAGATTCACTGTTCATAGGTCTTGAGTCCAAACCCTCCCATGTACTTAGGAGGTAACTTCTTGTTCATAGCTAATGTGAATGGAATTAAGAAACTTAATACTTTCTATCTGTCAACATCTATCTTTTGTGGCTTTTGAGCTACGTTTCCGGTTTATATGTTTATTACATCCCTAAACCCCTTTCAATATTTTTAACTTTTCTCAAAGTTTTTGCGTTTAAAATACCGCCTCAAACCTTCGTATGTCTCGATTTAGGTGTACAGTTGTGACACGGCTGTCAGATGCCATCCCATCTCAGACATCAACGTTAACGTGAAAGTTTACAACACGACGCCATTCCCAAATTCGCCAATATTTGGTGCGAGGCATCAGGCTATTGGGGGGGCTTTTGTCGCCATTGAACCTAACTGCCAGATTTGAAATTAAGCTGGATGACTCTAAGGTTGGGCTCCATGAACCCCTAGGTATAAACTCCAGCATATTTCAGACCATTGATGTTTCTCTGGTGATGGCCATTAACTCAAAATTCAGCCACTCATTCGGTCAGTGGACTTGGGGTATAAATAGTTCCTCACCCCCAGGGAAATTCAGAACTTCTTCCTTTCTTTCCCCAAAGCACACTGACAGACACACACACACACACAGCTATATTTCTCGGAACCATCAAGAAATCTAGCACCTAGTGCTCAAACAACATTGATTCAACGAATCTCAAACAAACTCTCATCTTATTATTCTTCTACTCTCATCTTATTCAGGGTTCTTGTTTAAAACAACACACCATGGCGTCTACAACACCAACCCACACGTTGCTCACTGGCAAACGTCTCGTCTCTGCCCTAGACACAATGGACTATCATCACAAGCTCCTGGAACAGATCTTCACTACCGAAGATGATCCAACCCAAGTTCTCAGAGAAGAGTTCGCCGAACTCTGCGAGACACTTCGTCAAACTGTGTCCCCGGAAGTTGAGAAGCTCTTCATAGCGTCACCATCAAACAAAAACAACCTGCGCTATGACTACCAGACTAGATGCCGAGTCTGGGATAGCATCTACAGGCGAATCTACGCTCCTATCGGCAACCCTTTCCGATTCTCCCACATCAGCTCACACAGACACGTGCGCCTCGATGACCGCGTACAAAACCACTTGAGCGAAGACCTCCAAAAAACTCTACCACTAAACATGGATCCGTATGGCTATAACCCCCTAAAGAAACTTCAAGGGGGCGCACCAAACCGCGGCCCACGTCCATCAACAACAACAACGGCAGCAGCTGGCAACGTCATCCGTGGAAACTACGTCCACGATGACATTATCTATTCTCCTACAGCCCAAGCCACGACACGCGCAAGAACGCCCACGTCAGAAGTCTATCAAACTTTATCTCTAGGCGAACTTCGCCGCCCGATCAAGATCAGCAATTCGCCCCGAATACCGCATGGGGACCGGCAACCAACAGAAAAGCCACAAAACCCAAAAACATCCACAAAATCCAAAAAGTCTCTCTCTCCTAAACAACCTCAAACTTTCAAGAAACCTAAATCTTCTACCGAGTCTCCAAGAACTCCAAAAGACAAGATTATTGCGACCTATGCGGGACACGTCGAGGGCGAATCAAGCAAATCTAACCCCTCTATTTCTAACACGACCGATGACTCTGACTGGGACGACGCCACTGTCGTGTGCTCTCACAGATACCACTGCCAACTATGCCGCAAATACCAGCGCTTAAACGCCATTGTCGACTCCATCCGCATTGAAAATGCTTCTGGAGCGACCGACGGACCGAACGTCAAGAACACCCATTTCTTCGCAGCACAACAAGTGAAGGACTACCAATACATATTACGCATGATGGAAAGGAAAACAACAGTCGACAATCCCACCTACGACCCGGCCGACACGCGCCTGTGGTCTTCCATCGCCGAAAACATAACGATGATGCTGGAGACTCACGAGCGAGACGAAAAACAGGCCGCGTTATACCTACTAAATAACTTCCGCCGCACAACCTTTGTGCTGGTGGAGCGTGGCAACGTCTATGATGAGAACAACCATGGTACTCTCACCCAAGAGCTTCCACTTTCGGGTGATGAACTCGACTTGTCTGGCCCGATGCTAGACCCTGAGCAAACGGTGATTGACGAAGCCACCGATGAGGAGAGGGATCGCTTCGAAATTTCGAGACTCCCACTCTATTATTTCTTGAACAGCAATATTCTTGTCCAGCATCACTGTCCTTCTCCTTGTCCACCACGTGAATCGAGGGCGAGCAAGAACCAACAAGAACCTGAATTAGAACACGAACACGACTCCGGATTTGAAGACGACGACTCTTTCTGGCTAGATCCTGATGATGACGACTCTTCTTGGATGGATTCGGAAGACGACGACTCTTCCTGGATGGATTCGGAAGACGTCAATCTTACACTTTTCGAAAACTACTAAAGCGTTGCACATATGTCGCTTATGAGCCAACAAATTGAATGCTCACACGACATCAATGCTTTTCAACCGCAAACAGAAAACACGAAAACCCGACAAAAAACATTGTTTTGAATTGAACGAAATGGAAGTTGCAAGGAACGAAGGGAATCATGTATGAAGGAATCATGAGTTTATGGAACAGCAAATTGGGACGAAGCATTTTTAACAACTGTACATTGGCGGAGGACTTTCATCATCATCAATGATTGTCTCATCATCTCTATCAATAGAGATGACGTCTCCGCCGGGTTCGTCACTGACGAAAACCCAACCAACCAGGCGAACAAGTTTATTCGGAGTATGGAGTTATGATCATGAGCATGGGGCTCAATTTTGTTGGAAACGAAGGAAGCGAGGAGGAATTGTAGGAGTAATGACATTGCTAGTCAGGGACTATTGGAGTAATGACATCTAGTCAGGGACTGGAGGAGTAATGACATCTTGTCAGGGAGCGGAGGAGAAATGACTTCTAGTCAGGGACTGGAGGAGTAATGACATTTCTAGTCAGGGACAGCGGGAGTAATGACATTGGCAGTCAGGGGAAGGCGCGATCGTCAAGTTCAATGCTCATAAAATGAAGCAGGGCTTGATGGTTTTTTGATACCACTCATCAATGGGAATCATTCGCCTTCAACAATGCATTTGATCTCATGAACTGTGTGACTTTTGTGACTTGTGAAGCAGGTAAGCTGTAGTTGAAGGTTAGTTGTTACTAGGTACATGTAAGTGAAGATGTCAACTTAAACTCGGGGTCGAATAGAACCTTGAAGTGACCAGTCTCGTCTCGTTTCCCGCTATCGGGACTTGCCTAATTGCGTAGTAGCCGAGTACCGCAGCTGCCAGCTGGGTTAGGCTTATTCTGGTGGGATAGTGGTGGGATCGAGGTGGGGCGTGGCCCTGAATTGGCTCCCCTGGCGATCGCCCTTACCCCTCTGCCGTCTTCTAGCTCCATCATAAATAAAAAACATCAGTGCCTGACCGTTCTTTTCTCTTTCCTTATACAGCATACATAATAATAAACTTTATACCATATACAATATTTGAAACGATGGCTGACACTATCTACAAGGCGAGCACTACTGCCCCCGTAAATATCGCGGTGGTCAAGTACTGGGGAAAACGCGATGCGAAATTGAATCTTCCCACCAACTCGTCCCTCTCCGTCACCCTGTCACAAGCTGACCTCCGCACCCTCACCACCGCTACATGCTCCGCGTCCTACCAAGGCCAAGAAGACAGCCTCACCCTCAATGGCGAGCCTTCAGACATCACCGGGGCCCGCACCCAGGCCTGCCTGCGCGAACTGCGTTCTCGGAGAGCCGCTGTCGAATCGGCCAACCCGTCGCTGCCCAAGCTCTCGACCTACCCCCTGCGCATCGTGTCCGAGAACAACTTTCCTACAGCAGCCGGTCTAGCCTCCTCCGCAGCCGGCTTCGCAGCCCTCGTCCGCGCCATCGCGAACCTATACGAGCTACCGAGCTCGCCGACCGAACTTTCGCTAATCGCTCGCCAAGGCAGCGGCTCGGCTTGCCGCAGCTTGTTTGGCGGATACGTCGCCTGGCAAGGCGGTGAGCAAGCCGACGGACTGGACTCAAAAGCAGTAGAGGTCGCGCCCGCATCGCACTGGCCCAACATGCGTGCCCTAATCCTAGTCGTGTCCGCGGCCAAGAAAGGCGTCAGCTCGACTTCCGGCATGCAGCAGACCGTCGGCACATCTGACTTATTCCAGCGACGCATCTCGCATGTCGTGCCCGCCCATATGGAGAAGATGGAGGCTGCGGTGAAGGATCGGGATTTTGCGAAGTTCGCGGAGGTTACGATGAAGGACTCGAATTCGTTCCATGCGTGCTGCGCGGATACTTACCCGCCTATTTACTACATGAACGATGTTTCTAGGGCGGCTGTTAGGGCTGTTGAGGCGATTAATGCGGCTGCGGGGAAGGTTGTCGCGGCGTACACTTTTGATGCGGGCCCGAATGCTGTGGTGTACTATCTAGAAGAGAACAGCGGTCCTGTTGTGGGAACATTCTACAAGCAGCTCCATGCGACGGATGGGTGGAAGGATGGTGCTGACTCTTATAGCGCTGCGGCTGTAGCGTTGGATGAGGCTACGTCTAGCTTGCTCCAGGGCGGCGTGAGCAGGATTATACAGACCGGAGTAGGTGAAGGTCCGATAAAGACGGAACAGCACCTGGCATGAATAGTCGGTACATCAAAAGAAGCGACATCGTAGGGACGACGTTTTAGATCTTGGACTGGAGTTCACGAATCTTTTGGTTTCATGATGAATAAGCCTGTTGATATCAACATCGAGGGCTAGACAATATGAGCGGAATTTGTCGGTTACAAATATACAGAGCGCTTTGTTTGCATTAGAGGCAAAAGTGGAAAGGACGTCGAAACCTGATATCAATTTTAATATACCATTTAATACCACGAAAGCATTGCACCTGCATGTTTCCATTTATGCACAGTCCCTCCTTGCCTTAAGGCTATTCTATGGCAATTAAAACGCACTAGGGTGGACCATAAGCCCGTATCCGCCAACCCGCCAATTCAATTAATGTATTGAAATGTACATAGTATTAATAAGTAGTATATATGGAACTTATATTGTGTTTTATAGTTTATAAAGCGTTGTTAATATTTAATGATAATATTTTTAATATTTAAATAAATATATATTTATTATAAATAAGAATATTTTTTATTTTATAAAGTTTTTAATTTAATAAGTTAAAACGGGAAAATAACGTTAATTTTTATTATTAAATTTTACGGTTTATTAATAAAAGAAAAAATAAAGTAAAAGTTATATAAGTAAATATTTATTAAATTTAAGGAAAAATATAATTTATTTTTATTTTTTATTAAGTATATATTATATGTTATTTATTTTTTACTTTATTTTTTAATTTTACGTTAATATTTAAATTTTATAATTTATTTATTTAATTAATTTTTTTATTTTAACGTTATATTTAAGTAATTATTTAAAACTTAATACGAATTAACGTTAATAAAATTAATTATTTCGTTATAAAAAAAATTATAAACTTTTAAAAAAAAAATAAGTTATTTAATTATTTATATTTAAATTTCCTTTTTTTTTTTTAAATAAATATTATTAAATATTAAAGTTATAAAATCTTTTATTTTAAGCATTTAATTTTTAAGGGGTAATTAGGAAAAATTAATATTTATTATATTAAATTTTTAATTTATTTTAAAATAAATATATTTTATTTTAATAATAAGTTTTATTTAAGTGTAAAATATAATAATATTTAAAAAAGTTTATAAGTATAATAATATTTAAATAAAAATTAAACGATTTTTATTAATTATTATTTATATTTTTATTATTTAAATTTTTAATATTATTTTCCTCGTAATTAATATTTAATTTTCGGGAAAGGTTATTTATTAATTTAACGTGTTTAATTTAATTTTTTCTTTTTATTAAATAAAATAATAATAATAATAATAATTAATATTAACGTTAAGAAATCGTTATTTATATAATTATTTTAAAGTTTTATTAAAAATATATTAAACGTATTAAATTAAGTTTTATATTTTATACTTAAATATAAAATTTTTATAATTTATTTAATAATTTATATTTTTAAACGTACGTTATAACGATTTATATTATATTTTCCTTATCGAAAAGCGAAAAAAAAAAAAAATATAAAAAAAACGATATTATTAATAAAATTAAACACGTATTTATTTAATAAAAGCTACGTTAAATATAAATTTAATTACTTTAAAATATTATTATTAATATATAATATCGTTTTTTAAATTTATTAAAAATATTATTTTTTATATTTTTATAATTTTTTCGTAATAATAATAATAATAATAATAAAAATTATAATAATTAACTTTATTACGAAGTAAAATTAAAAAATTATAAAATAATAATATTATTACGCGAAAAGCTTTTAATTATTTTTTTTATAAAAAATATAATATATATATAAATGAAATTTTTTATTTATTTTACTTTTAAAATTAACCGTAAATAAAACTTTCATAAAAATTTTATAAACTTAATTTTAATTTTATAAACTTTTAATTATTAATTTAAAAAAAAATTAATATTTAATAAACTTTTTTTACGTTTAAAATTTTACTTTTAAATAATAATTTAAATTTACGTTTTTTTAATTTTAAATATTTTTTAATAAAATAAATAACCTTTAAATATATAACTATTTAATAAATAAATTATTATAAATAAATATTATAACTTATTTTTTTAAATAATAATTATTTACTATTAAATATTAAAACCATATATATATATTTATTTAATAAATAAATTAAACTTAATATAAATATTAAAAAATTAATTATATTAAAAATATACGTATTATTATTTATTTTATTTTATATTATTTAAATTATAAAGTAAAATTAAAAAACTTAAAAATAATAATATTATTACGTAAAAAACCTTTAATTATTTTCATTATAAAAAATATAATATATATATAAATAAAGTTTTTTATTTATTTTATTTTTAAAATTAAAAACTAACGGAATTTTTATAAATTTAATAAAAACTTTATAAATTAAATTTCGATTTTATAAATACTTAACTATTAATTTTTTTTTTAATTAAACGTAAAATAATTTTTATAAATAAAAATATAATAAAAAAAGTAATAAAATAAGTAAATATTTAATAAATATACGACTTTTATAATTATATTTAATAATATAAAGTTATAATATTTTTTTAATTAATTAAAATTAAGTTTTTATAAAAGTTTTATTATTTTAATAATATAATTTAAATTCGAATGCGTGTTTTTTAATTAATCGAAATATTTATTAATAAATCCCCGTATTTTTAAAATTAAGCTTAAATAATTAAATATATAAATATTATTTACGTTATATAAAATTAAAAAAACGCCGGTAAAACGTATATATATTATTTTATATATATTAAATAAGAAATTAAATATCGTAATTTAAACTTTTAAACTTAATTTTAAAATTTATATTTTTTCGTAATATTAAATTTTTAATTAATTATTTCGCATTTAAAACATTTTTAAAAATTTAATAATTAAAATAATTTAATTACTTTTATAACATATTTTTAAATAAACTTAATTACATTAAAATTAATAAAAAATTAAATCGAAGTTTTACGATCGAAATTAAATTAAGTTAAAATTAATTCGAATTAATTAAAATAATAATTAATTTTTAACTTTAAATATTATAATTAAATAGAAATTTAAAAATTAAAAAAAAAATAATATATAATTTAAATTAAACGTTTTTAATTAAATTAAATTAAAAAAATTAAAACGTTAAATTAATTAAGTTATAAATAATTAAAATTAATTAAATATATAATAAAATTTTAATATAATTTAAAACGCGTTCGAATTAACGTTAAGTTTTTTTTTAATATAACGCGCATATTAATTAAAACTATATAACGTAAGTAATTTTAATTATAAATATTTTAATATTTAATTATTTACTTTTTTTAATTTTTAACGAATATATAAAATTTACATTATTTTTAAAAAAAAGAAAAAAAACTTTATATTATACGAAGTAATTTATTTAATTTAATTTAATTTAATTTATAATAATATATTTTATTATATTATTATTAATTTATAACGTTATTTATAATGTTTAAAATAAAAATTAAAAATGTTTATATAATAATTATAATTATATATATAATTTTAAACTTAATTTAGTTTAATTTTAAACGATATAACTTTTATTTATGTAAAATTTTTTTTATTATATATATATTAAAAAGTTTTAACTTAAATACTTAAAAATTTATTCGGTAATAATTTTTAAAATTATTTTTATTATAAAAATATTATTTATATAATAATTATTTTAAATTTATATATATTTTATATATTTTTTTAAATATATTAATTATATTAAATTTAAGTTATTTTTTTTTATAAGTTAAAAATATAAAAATAAATATTTAAGTATAATTAATATAATATAACGCGTGGAATTTTTATTATTTATTTTTATAAAAATGTTTTTTTAAATAATTTTTTTTAAAACTTTATTTATTTAAATTATTAACTTAAATATTATTTTTTTAAATTTTTACTTTATATTTATTATATATATTATAAAATTAAAACTTTAATTTAACTTTTTAATTATAATAAAATATATATTTTAAGTTATAAATAAGTTATTATTATATAGTAATTTATTTATAATTAATTATAATTAATAAATTATAATTATTTTTTAAAAAATGGAAATAAATATTAACATTATTAAAAGTAATGTTTACACGTTTAATATTAATTACTACGTTTAAAATAATTAACGAAAACGTAAACACGTTTAAAATTAATGTAATAAAATTTAAAATTAATATTATATTATTAAAAACGAATATTATAATTTTAAAAGAAAATATTATTATTTTTAAAGTAAATATTATTATTTTTAAAGTAAATGTTATTATTTTTAAAAAATATATTATTATTTTTAAAGTTAATATTATTACGTTTAAAATAAATATTATTACGTTTAAAGTAAATATTATTAATATTAATATCCGGTTTAATAATTTCGAATTTTATTTTATCGTTTCGTAAGTTTTTTTTTTTAATTATTATTTTTATATATTAAAATATTAATTATACGTTTATTATAAAAACGAAAATATAATTTCACGTTTTATTAATAATAACGTTAATAATTATATAATTACGTTATAACTTTTTAAAAATTTAAATAATATAATTATTAATAAATTTAAAATTATAATTAAGAAAATTAAAAATATGTTAAATAAAAGTTTATATATTAATTTATAATTAATATTAATTATTTTTTTAAATTATAAGTTAAATATAATTCTTTATAAATTAAATATAAATAATAATAAAATTTATAATAATAAATTATAAAAATTTATATATATATATAATATTATTACGTTACGTAATTAATGTTTTAATGAAATTTAATAAAAAATAAGTTTTAAATTTAATAAAAAATAAATTTCGGGTTTAATAATTTTTAAATGTTTAAATAAATTATAACTAAATATATTAATTAAATATCGTTTTTTTTTTTTTTTATATATTTAAATAATATAAAATAATTAATTTATAAAATTAAAAGTCATTTTTTTAAAATATAATAATAATTTAATTATAAAAGTTATTTTATTATAATAATTAATTAAAATTTATAGTAAATATTTTATTATATAAATTAATTAATTACGAAAATAAAACGGGATTTTTATATAATGTTTTATTTTTTAACGAATTAATTTTATTAATATATTTATTTTAATTTTTTTTTATTTAAATAATATTTTTTCGAAATATAATATATTTATAAAATTATTTTATAATTAAAGTTTTTAATTTTACGATTTCGAATATTTAACTTTTAAATTATTATAAATTT